ACGGACCGACGTACGCGAACCTACGTCGGCCCCCCCCCCCCCCCCCCCCAAAGCCCAAGCCTTCCAGGGGAAAGCAAACCAGAAGCAGAGCAGAGCAACCCATCCAAATCCAACGGCCACCCGCTTCAGGCGCGCTCTGCCTCAAGCACCCAGTCTGTCTGCGCTGGGGCCCCCAGACCATCGCAAGCGTCGACGCACACCTCTGCTGCTCTAGGTGCGACGGCCGTCACTCGTCTCATCAAGTCTTCGTCAAACTCTACCTCCTCTTTAGCCATAATCCGTCCTTTGACTACTATTGCTATCCTTCGAATCCCAACCCACATGCGCACGCATGCGGCCAGTCCCAACCATCGTTTTCCCCATAGTCTTTGCTCTCAAGAATAGGAACCTTGCGCAGGCGTCGTCCGCATAAGGCTGTCGTCGCTCGCTGCTTGCGTGGGACTATGTAAAACGACCCTTTCCCACTGGAACTCCAATTGATTGCCTGCTGTTCGCTCCGCCCGCGAGTCAGAGTGTACCGTGTTTGCCCACACCTTTTTTGTGTGGACCGATTCCCGACCGGCGTATCCTCTGGACGATCAAGTTACGCCTGCGCACGCGCTTCTCTTCCAACCATCAAAACGATATCCAGTTTTGGCGCCAAAAAGTCTGCACAAATGCGCTGCATCCTACGTGAAGTCTTAGACTCATAGTCATTGTGCTAGGAGGCCGTTCGGCTTCCCGCCTGGGCGTAGACACTATGGAGCACAATCACATGTTGCCCCGGCCGGCTAATGGTCCCATCGCTGCCGGACTCGATCATAAGCACGATCTCTATCCCACGGAGCGCCGAAAAACACCTTCATCTGACGTCGCATCCGTCTTCAAATCACTCGACCGGCCTTTCAAACTTCCCATGTATCCTCCTCCGCCTTCATATGCGCCTCTACATGCCGATCGCAAGTCGCCAGCCGGATTCCCGGACACCCCAAAGACGGAGCTTCCTCCTTTGAAACTCAAGAACGGCTACTATAATGAGAAGAAGGATAACACACTGCCGTCGCTATCCTCATTGACAGTATCGTCGCCAAAAGCCTCGTACATTAATCCTCCGCCGACAACACAAGCGCCAATCCGACCGGCAATACCACCACCACCGACATATGCTCCACCGCCGCCTCCGGTCCAGCTACAGCCAACCCACTGGCCGAGCTTAAATCCGTATACTGCATATTATACTCCGAGCCATGTAGAGGGTAAAGCCGATCCACTGCGAATGGAAAGTGACTCTCCGGGCAACAGTGCAATCAGCGCTGCTTCCCCAGAAACCCTCGATCATGATCGATCGAGCAGTGTCAGCCTCGATGACCCAGATGTTAGGCTTGCTGCTGAAGCACTGGGTGATTTGAGGGCAGGTCAGTATAGTCGCCTGCCAATAGCAGCGCTTTGTTCCGTTGTGGATGCATTATACGCTAACACATCTCATCGTAGACTTTGTATCTTCGCCTCGTCATTTGGACAAATCACTACCTTCAACACCAAGGTCACGATCCCAAGCTCCCCCGGAGCCGTTGTTGCAATTATTAACAACGAATCATCCGCTGCTTGGAGGGGTGATAGAGGGAACACAGACGGCGTATGTTGCTTCCAAAAACTACTCACCAAGATTCAAGACCAGTGCAGAGTATGTCGAAGGTTATGTCACTCCTGTTGTCAATACCGTTGGGACGGTCGGAAGAGCAACTGGCGTCGAAGGTGGAGTAAGGTGGTTCTTGGGAGGTGGAAAGCGACACAAATCCCAAAGCTCAGCAGATCTTGAGACAGGTTCCAACAAGAGGAGAAAGGGAGACGATGGCACAGACACCATGCTGATCGATTCGGACGAGATGACATCTGGAATGGAGACTCCCAGACCCACATATGACCCCAACGATCCAAGAAGGCTGTCAATAGCGAGTACCATTGATACTCTGCCGGCTTATGACGAACACAGATCACCAGCCTATGAGGCGGAACCAAGACCCAACAGCTCATCGGCGTGGCAGTCTCGTTTGATCATGTCGACGTCGGGGTTGAGCATTGCGATGAGCCAGGAGAGCCTGCGTAGCTTGAAATACTGCCTGAGCTGGCTTCGATGGGCAAACGTGCATATTGGCAACGTTATCAACTCGCTCAAAATGTCACTGGATAGATACGACAAGACTGCCGAGTCCTCGTCAGGCTCCAGCAGCGAAGCCGACGACAGACAAAAGCTGGTTGACAGAATCAGCTCTCTGAAAGCCGATGTCTTGAAGACACTCCAGGATGTCATCAACACCGTTAGCAAATACGCCGGTGGTGCTCTGCCTGAAAATGCTAGGGCCTTGGTTCGGCGCCATCTTACCAGCCTGCCCCAGCGATTTGCACTCGCAAACATGCTTGTTCAGCAGCAGGCCTCTCGTGAGGATCAGTCTGTTGAGGAAGGCAGCGTCGGCAGAGACAAGGAGATGCGGGACAGCGCGCAGACAGTCCTCCTCATGGCCAAAGAAGGTCTTGACATGATGTCGCAAGTATCTGGAGTTCTCGACGGCACCATTGTGAGCGCCGAGGAATGGTGCGAGAGACTCGGCAAGAGGAAGCAAGAGCAAAAGGAAGCCATCTACCATGAGGGACCAAGCCACGCCCAGTATCCTTTGGAGTCCGTCAAGATGGGCTGAACCTCAACGGAACAAAAGCAAGAGAAAAGCAGCGTTCTATTTCTGGAGTTCAGGGGCTTAAGACAAAATGCTATATCGACATAAGAGGAAGGTCCTTTACCTTTCAACCCAATCAACAAACCACAACAAAACATCGTTACTAATGTTTATGGACGGCACGCGAAGCAATGCGATGCATCCTAGTTTTCTTTTACGAGATTCAGTCATCATCGGCGTTGAAAGACCGACCACTGAGGCGTACACAATTGTTTCCTTTACTCCATTATAGGTTCACATCATGATGATGCTTCAGCCTTTTTATCCTCCGAGCATACATATACAACAATGCTCATGTACTACATTTACACCACAACGCGCCACTACCGCGACACCACAATCGCTTTTATTTTTCTTTTTCACAATTTTTTGGGCATATCAATTGGGATTGGGCTATGGATATGGTGACGGGTTTGCAACACAATGCAGAGACTAGTTGTCGATGATTCTGGGAATGGAGTTGTGCGGTGTCACTTTGACCATGCATATATCCTTGTTGTAGTTGGTATCCCTTTTGCAAGGGAGAAGTTGTTTCTACTTGTTGATATAGAGATCACATTCGGACATGAGAAGATATGTCTACGGCATTTATCAACATACCAACCAAGACAGACATGTAGAGTTGCCTGTTTATGGTTAGAGAATACAACTCGGTGAATTTAGTCTACGTCTCAGAAGCTTAAGTGATAAGTTATGATCAGAACCGGTATCTTCCTTTTGCATTATCCATGCTAGAGGAAAGGTAAACTTTATCCCTTGCCACAAACGCAAGATTCTGGGTACCAGGATGAGATGGGTACTAGGCAAAGACAGCAAGATGGATCTGATCAACAATGTCTTCTTGTCAGAACACTACTTCTGGCTTTCCCACAGGAGTTGGAAAAAGTCGAAACACCTTTGCCACTACGGCGTCACACTGGGCCTCATATATCGGGACAGAACTAAGCACCACTTGAACACACAAGCAAGTGACGGTGGTAGCCTGCATGTAAGAGATTGACGCAATATTCCGGTGTAACGAAACACTAAAGATCAAAGCGCTTCCATATCCCCGGATGTGGGGGATGATGGGATTTGGGGTCACCATGGCAGGCGAATGACCCCCCTTGAATCCTCCAACCAGGAGTCGTGGCTCGCAGTTCGGCCCCAGATTGAGCGGTCTCCGCCTGCCTATGCCCCAAAAGATATCGCGACCTCTACTCCGCACTCCGGAAAAATTGTATAGTCAATCCACCAGCTCGTGCCAAGAGCTCGAGAATGCTGCATCGTGTCGGAGAGTCACCAATGGATAGATGAATCGTATTATCTGGTTGGCAGGCGAGTCCGAGTGTATATAAGCCTCAATAGGGATCTTGGGTAAGTTGGACTTCGTATTCGCAGATTGTAGCTATAACGATTATCTCGAGACCTATATTGACCAATCTGTGCAACATGAAGTTACTCGTGCTCTCATTGCCGGCCGTGATGGCTGCGGCCACTCCGTTCAAGCACCACAAGGGATACCGCCAGGCCAATGCGACAACACCGGCTTTTATTCTTGCTGGCGACTCCACAACTGCAGTTCAGTCTACTGGCGGTGGTGGTTGGGGAAACGGCTTCTTGTCGTTTTTGAAGTCACCAGCGTGGGGAATCAACCTGGGTCACAATGGTGCCACGACTGTGAGCTTTGTCAATGGCGGCGACTGGGCAACCGTGACGGGCTACGTCGATGACAAGACTGCCGATGGCTACGATGTTTACGTGACCATCCAGTTTGGTCACAATGATCAAGTATGTCTCATTACCTTATTTATGAAAAGAAAATAACTGGCAACTGACAGTTTTACAGAAAGCAGCAGCCAACATCACCCTAGACGAGTACCAAGCCAACCTCGAGAACCTCGCCCTTGACGTCAAGTCCCACGGCGGGACTCCGCTCCTCGTGACCCCTCTGACCCGCCGGGCGTTTACTTCAGAGCACAATGCCTCGGATTCTCTGCACGACCAGCGCATCTACACCATTGCGGCGGCCGAGGCCACCGACACCACGTACCTGGACCTCAACAAGTACTCGCTCGAGTACGTTGATGCCATTGGCAACACGTCGGCTCAGGCGTATGATCTTAATGGATATGGTGCCGACACTACGCACCTCAATGCTTATGGCAGTATTGTCTTTGGTCGATTAGTGGCCGACTTATTGTTGGAGAAGCTGTCTGTTCTGGATTCTTGGTTTATTCCAAATGAAACACTGAGCTATGATTTGGCGAATGGCATCGCAGCATAAGCTACTATACTGTACAGAGTATATAGATACAAATGGAGTGTTGGAAAATGCCAGGTCCATGGCCTCGGGAATAATTCTAAAGCACTCGGGGTCGGGGTTTAAGGATTGCTGCGGCTCGGTGCGGCATCGCCAATATACCTCGTCATATGATGGGGGAAAGAGATAGAGTTCACCCACGACCGTGCAGATCTGTCCATCTCTCCATTACGATAATCAAAATGATATATCAAAGTGCAAGATTGATACGTGTCTCAGTAACCTGACATCATGTTGTGCCCATCATGTGTTGGTCAGCAGCTTATGTCAAGTGAAGACTCCACCATAGATCGCCATGGACATCGAATAGTGCGAACATGGGAATCTGGCAAACCCACTCATGATTTGGGCTTTGGGGTCCCACCAAAACACGCTACTGCAAATTCAAGGAATTGGTGCAATGATAGGTGAGGGATTTGCAGCTGAAGGAAATTGCAGCTGATGATGATCGTGTTGCTGCTTTTGGTCACTCTGTGTTGATTCAGAAAAAAAGTCGTCAAGTTGAGACGAATATATTCGTTTTTCCCTAGAGGTGAACCTTAATGAAAAAATGCCAAGCAACTGCCAAATCCGGAGCCGTCAACGGATAGTCCGTAGTGGACGATGTTAGGGTCTTGGCAGAAACCGTTGGCGATGTGCCTGGTCCCTTGCAGCGAACAGATGGGCTAAAAGAAGTTCGCGAAACACTGAGATCAACTATTTTTCTGTGCAATTGCAGACATCAAACAACGGGAATAAACGACACGCAAACTCTGTCGTCAGCCCCCTTTTTTCCCGTACAAATTCTGACTCGTTCTAGCAGAAAGCGTTGGGTGTTTTCACTCTAGTTCTTTAGCTTGCGGCTCGCTTGATTGATTCCTGCTACGACCGAGAGCCCGAGGATGGAAACAGATCCACCCAGGAGATCCACAATGACGAACGGCGCCTTCGAGACTTCAATGCTTGGGTCGATCCTTTGTGTACTCGTGTTATTACTCGTTGCTTCCGGGTAATTTGAACTGGCGTTAATTTTTTTTCTCTCTTCCCTCGTATTGACAAGTCGTTTTTTAGATGATGAACTGTTTCAAAACATTTCGGTTACATACTTTCATTTTCAGCCATTATTCGATACCCATATCAGCTCATTCGTGCAGTTGATCAACACGCGATCATCGGGTAACGACAGCATGTATCAGTAGACGCCTGATTCCTTGTACAACTTGACCAGGTCCATCATCATCAAACAAACAGCGTAGGATTCTCACTCATTTATGCGACATTGAAGACGTGTTTCTTTTCCCTGGCCAAACACGCCACATCCAAAAAAAGAAAAAGAGAGAGAGAAAATCACTCGGTTACCGAAGCCGAGCAATTTCGCGAATAACCACGATTCCGGAACGTCCGGAGTTCTTTGCCGTTAATTTTTTTTTCGCCGGGGGTCTCTCTGTCTAGCTCGTCAACATGGCCGAAGGTGCCATGCCGGGTGCGCCCACCATCTCCGGAACGGATGATGCCACACACTTTTACAACCAACCACCGCCGGTCGCTGGTTTGAGTACCAGCCCAGAAGCATCAGATGCCTTGGAAAAGCTTCCCAACATCACCAACGGCGATTTTCACGATGGACAAACACCGCCACATGAAGACACGGGGCACAACGCGCCAGGCCATCGAGCAAGGTTTCCAGACGATGACGCCCAGCTAGAGCAAGTATTTTCAGCACGGCCGATTCCTATACAGTCGAGAGGATCACAACCGCCGGGAGAGAGTGATCGAGAACCGGCATCGCACCGTGGTGTATGGCAGTCATTCCGCAACTGGATAGACGAGTGGCGGGAAGATTTCGGGTCTGCTCAAGCTCATCAGGACATTACAAACTTGATAGGAGATGCGGGAATCGACCCAACCATAATCAAAAAGATCAAGGCTGGTCGAGTCTCGAGTTTGGTGAGAGCCTCATACTCTTATACTGATCCTTGAGAGCTTGGGAGGCTAACATGTACAGGTTGCCCCGTCGCTTATGATTGCAAGACCGGGGTTAGGCCAGCACAAGGACTCGAGTTCAGCCATTCCAACACCTGGCCACCCTTGGACACATTCCCATTCTCGTAGTTCCAGCTCTGGAACTGCCACACCAGGGACTCCTTCGAAAAAAGGCTATGGTGGGGTGGATCCGCACGAGGTGGCTCGCCGATTGAAGAAATTCAAAGACATGGTTGGACACAGCAATGATAGCAGACAAGCCAAATATGTTCAAGCTAAGGCCGAGCTGGCTCATCGCCGGAACCTGGTTCTCCTCATGGTTTATGCCTTCATGGCCTATGGTGCTCCTTCTCATCGCATTGAAGAATATACGCTGGCGTTATTCAAGGCACTCGACATGGAGGGTCGCGTCAACTACACAGTTGGCTGCACGGACATTTCTTTCATTAATCCAGTTGACCCCGCCGATCCATTGACAAGAAGTGCCTACACAACATTGGTCAAAGCCCAAGGTCTCGATATCGGTGCTTGCGAAGTTGCGTTTCGGGTATACAAAACTGTAGTTCACGGCGAAGTCACGGTACGTCAATTTTAGTCAAGCAGAGTGAGAACTTACTAATATGAAATCAATTATAGATTGAAGAGGCTATTCAGAGCCTGATCAACTTGATCGAGTCTCCACCATACTATAGGCCATGGTTAATAGTCCCGTTTTATGGTCTTGCATCGGCTTTCGCCGCCTTGTGGGCCTATGGTGGATGGTGGTCAGACATGGCCATTGCCTTTTTCCTGGGATGTATTGTGGGATTCCTGCAGATCATTGTTGCCGCACGCAACCCACTTTACGCCAATGTTCTCGAGGTTCTGGCGGCTCTGCTTACATCATTCGGTGCTCGTGCCTTCAGTTCCATTGGCGGTCCATCACAGAAGTATTTCTGCTTTGGCGCTATAGCACAATCGTCCATCACAACCATCTTGCCGGGTTATATCGTACTTTCCGGCACGTTGGAGCTTCAGAGCAAGTCTGTCACTGCCGGGTCTACTAGACTCTTCTACGCTGTCATCTATTCCCTCTTGCTTGGATACGGCATCAACGTTGGCGCTCAACTGTTTCTGGTTATAGACGAGAACGCTGTGACATCTGCTACATGCCCTCGATCTTTGGACCCGAAGTGGCGCATTCTACTTGTACCATGCTACTTGGTCCTCCAAGCAATTCTGATTCGATCCAGGCCCAAGCAGATTCCCGTTCAAGTGCTGCTAGGCAGCGCTGCCTACACTGTGAACTACTTTGTCTCGCAGTACGCAACAGCTCAAGTCGCTGATACTGCATCCGCCTTTGTCTTGGGAGTTCTCGGCCACCTTTGGGCACGTTCGCAACATGCCTTTGCATTTGCAGCTGTCGTTGCCGGCGTCATGGTTCTTGTTCCGTCTGGACTTTCGGCCCAAGGTGGTCTTCTCCTGGGAATTTCGACCCCATTGTTTAACAATGGAAGCACCGATGCTCAGACTGTCTACGAACAGAACATTTACCAGAGCTTTAGTGTGGGCGCCCAAATGATTCAAGTTGCTGTTGGCCTTGCGACCGGCCTTTTCCTTTCTGCTCTGGTTGTTTATCCATTCGGCAGAAAGAATAATGCGATGTTCTCTTTGTAATAGACAATAGATGCTGTAGAATACATTAGAATATTCCCAATAGATCGGAAGAAGCGTGGTTATTTCTCGTTGCTTCACAAACTACGTGCGGTGGTGATGAGGTCAATACGTATATCGGTCGTGTTAGAACCGGTTCACAACGGCGAGACGAATAATTCGCAGCATTCTTTCTTCGTGGTACTCATGTTCATCATGTCGTCTACACTAGTCTGAATTACTTGGGTATGCCCCCGGAGGATGGATACGACTTCAACAACCATGACGAGGCTGCATTACTCGCATGCAGCCGAGACCACACATAGGCAAAAAGTTTGTATCTAAATGTCTAAGTTGAGTAGTCAAACAAAGACCACAACGACACACCCATCCGCATAATGTATTGTCCACACGCCACTCCGTTCTCCTAATGGCATGTCAAAGACATCATCCAACACCCTCAAAGACATCCAAGACGTAGCAAAGAAGCATTGTTGAGCTACCCGATACAAGTAGACACCACCTCCCTCTTTGCATGAATGGCACTTATCCAGATCCAACTATTCCAGTCATTCATTTTCAAAGTCACTCTTTTTCAACTCACCAGCCTCATCACTCCTTTAGGTCGTGAGAACTGCAAATCTTGCAGCGCAAGTATTTCACAATGCCTCACTACATCGGCTGGACCTCCTTTACCTGCGGGCATGAGACCTCGGTGAAGGTATCCACGATTCAGCAAATAAAGGAACACTACAACCGCGAGTACCTATCATACCAACTTGTGGACACAAGCGGCCGCGAATATCATGCCAGTGCACCTAGACCCTGCAAGAGTTGCTGCCAGAAGCAACAAGGCCAACAGCAGCCGCCTGTGGCCGCAGGGTACGAAAACTTCGCGCACAAGTGGCGGACCGAATGGGCACCGAAGATTGCCTCAGTCGAACCCAACGAGGCGGAGAATCCACCCCTCAAGAATCTGCTCCATCACATCTGCCCTCATCTGAGGTCGGTGAATAATCTCAGGGAGGAGGTCCTCCTGCGACGGGTCAATAGCCAGCTCAAGCTGGAAGGGGTCAACATCTCCGAGGAAATCACTCCGAGCGATGTCGACCAGGAGACGCGGCAGCGGGTCACGCGCGTAGTCGAGGACCAGCTTCATATGCACCGCAACGCCAAGCTCAAGGAGTCGTCTACCGCATTGCGGGACTCTTCGGTCTTGCAAAAGGCTCAAGTGGCGAGCGCACGTTCAGTCAAGGTGGTCCAGATGTTGTCGTCGAAACGCGACAGCGTGGCCTGTTGATCGTTTCCAACCTGCAGAGTTGTCGCCTAATCCGTGAGTAACCGCGTAGAGAGAGAGAAAGGTCGCTTTGTGTCCGCGACACAAAGAAGTAGCCCATTTTATGAAAGCATGATCCACATAGAAAAGAAAAACCAGTGTACACAGAAATACAGCCGTTCAATGTTTGATAAATCCGAACTTTGCTCAAGAGTATCGGTGCGACAAAGGTTCAAGATGACGCAGATTTATTCGAGGTTTGAAAAAAAGAGTCTCAGGCATCAGGGATCCAGAGTAATATTTGTTGGTGAATTTTCAAATACTTGCTTTTGGAACTACTTTAAGCATTTACAACGCACGGAGTGATTATCCACCTTAGCTTCCTTCCCGATGCAAGTAACCGGGTGTCTGGGATGTGTAAACGCTTATGGCCAAGAAATTATACTCACTCTTTGACACGACTGGACATTGCGACTTGTCAAAGAAGCAGAGACACTCTGGCTGTAAAGGAGAATGGCGATCTGCGGCGGTGAAGAATTCATTGATCGATTTTCATCAATACAAAGCCAAATCTGCAGACAAGTCTTGTTGCAGGGACGGTTTTCTTCTCCTAGAGCGTTTGATGCGGGTTGTTGGTGCATATATCTGCAAACAAAGTCAATCAAACGGTAATGGTAGTAGAGACACACATGTGTATGATACCCCAACAAGACCATTTTCTCCTTGCTTGATGTTCTTCACTTTGCCCTTGCGTGTTTAAGGAAACACTCTTGAGAGAAATCAAACATTCATACCATGGCGGAGAGGGAGATTACTGAAGACTATTATGAAATCCTTCAAATCCATTCCAAGGCAACCGAAGATGAGATCAAAGCTAGTTACCGGCGACTGGCCCTCTTGAAGCATCCGGACAAGAACACTGATAACCTCAATGCGACTGCCGAATTCCAGGAGGCAAGTGTTCTCTGCCTACGATTTAGTTGTGTCCACTGACTGCTAACGGAAGCATCCAGATCAACACGGCCTATCAATGCTTGAGCGATCCCAGGAAGCGAGAAGTCTACGACACCAAACGTGTAGAAGCCCGCGAAGACCTCAACCGACGAGCCCGTACTGGCGAAAATGAGGTCAACCTGCTCAAGAAAAAGATTGCCCATCTCAAAAAGTTACTCGCCGAGCTCATCGGTCGACACTCTGAACTTCTCCTCTTTCGTGATGCCTACAAACGCGACCTCGCCGAAATGGTCAGGGGACTCAACCAGAGCTATGATGACCCTTTCACTACCACAGGAACCGAGGCATGGTGGCAAAGCGTCTACAATACCATCACTCGAGACTCGAGCAGAACAGATCCCCAGCAGACAACCAACGAGATCTCAGAGCTACGCTCCAATATCACCATGCTCAACTCGGAACTCCTGGAGCTCGAGTTCCGCATTCTTGAGACGGAAATCGTTCTGTCGGTCCTGACCGCTGAAACTCGTCGCCAGCAATGGCCTGCACCACGGCGCGCCCAGACGGCTCATCAGGTCGAGGCCGAGAGAATGCAGGCGGAGCAGCGCCGACAATATGCCGCTGCCCAGCAGACAATGAATAGAGAGAAGGAATTGAGTCGTGAAGCCCAGAGAGTGGCGGCCAAGGCCAAGCAGGCATCCAAGCGCGAGGAGAAGAATGCCAAAGAGGAGGCCAAGACCAAGATGGCAGCTTGTGGCCACGAGACGTTTTGAAACAAGGTGTCGGGACGACATGCTTGTAAGAATTGCTTCAAGACGAGTGATCGGGTGTTTTCTTGCCCATCGTGCGGCGTGGTGGTTTGCAAGGGATGTAGGAATGCTTTGAATCATCGCAAAAAGGATTTATAGATTACATGCGAATGGAGGACAATTGGGGGAATGGAAACTGATGCGAAAATATCTTACAAACAGTACGATGATAATCATCGGCGGATTGCTTAGCGCTAAATCCTCGGATCACTTCTTAATCAAATAAAAAAATACAGATATTTGGATGATTTTCTTCTGATTAGGCACTAGATGAATTTTCAAGGTGTATCAGGTCCGGATTGCACAATGACAGTAACCTAACTTCTTTTAATCTAAGAGTCTAGGTAGAAACCTAAACCTAGGAGGCGACCCAGTACATCTGGTGGCACTTGGCCCTGCTCTAATTCTATATCGAGGCCGCCGTCGGGAACATAGACATTATAAAACCAATCAATACGTTCTCGCCCCTGTGCTAAACAACGATCCAGATAAGAGATCTTATGCGGAGTAACTGACATTTCCGGAGGTGGCACGTCTTCATCCTCCTCAAGCTGAGCCCAAGGGTCCTCTTTGAAATCCCAAGCTACGGTGATAAATGTGCCGAATGGGTCTGCTCGAGCTTCTGCAGGGTCCTCTGGCCGTAACATCCTATCTTTGACATGTTGAATGGCTTGCTCCCACTGACCAAACGGTTAGTTTGCCAAGAAAGATGAATGATTCCCAAGCAACCAGATCAACGCAAGAAATTAATAAAATGAAACTTACATCTTGACACAACCGGCTGATTACGTGAACCTCAGACAGGTAATCGCCAAACTCATGATGTCTGTGAAGATACCAATCTCTCATGCCAGGGTTCTTTCTGGATACCATTTCTGCCTCCTCGTGCTCTCTGCACTTGACCGCACGCTCATGGTCGGTGGCGTCTGCAGACATGGGGAGGGCGATCACTTCGATGCGGTCGGTTGCGGTAGTGCGGGAACCGCTACGCCCTTCCAACGTATTTTCGTAAATCGCCGTGGCCACGTGACAGAGACTGTCTACGTTGGCAGCTTCCGGTCTCGTGTCGTAGATGCGAAAGGCAAACAGCGGGCGTTTCGTCATCTTGCACGCTGCGGTACGCTCGTCATTGTCCAGCGAAAGGTACGCTGTCACCGCCATGAGACCGTCATGACTGGGCGCGCGCTCGACAATCATGCGCCTTGGACTTCTGAGCCTTGCCATTGTCAGAGATGAGGTTATCGAGGTCACAAGAGATTTTAAAGTGTTTGGAAAGTAGGAGGCTCAAGTGGCTTCCGTAGACTCCCATTCCTTGATTAAGGCGGATGAGCCCTCTAGGCAACATCCGCCCCGCCTTTTATGCGACTTGACTGTCGGTGATAGTCCAACGCATCATGGCGTATCTAATCCAGGTGCAAAAAGAAAAAAGTAATCAAAGCATCACTTTTTTTCACACTACCATGAAAATTGCAAATCCAGAGCCATACAACTAGCTGGCCAGAGATCAGTCCGTCTTTACAGTAAGAAACTAATGGACCAAATGCCAAAGATGGAAGAAGTCGGTTCTTTCTGAAAAATGGTGTCAAGTGAGGAAAGGGCCACGAGAATGACGAGAATATGTATTAGACGAATAGTCAGCAAAGTACCTGAAGCACATGGCATGGAAGAATTAGTTTCGCAGTCGGAAAAAAAAAAAAAAAAAAAAAGAAAAAAAAGAGAGAGAGACAGAGAGAGAAGCGCAAATACCAGAAGGGAGTTATGACTATGGCTTTAGAAAAGATAAATTATTGCGTCAAACACGAAGCATAGAGATGGACTACCACGATTAATTTCCCAGCCCACAAGTCAAGAGTATATGTTGGTATTTGTCGTGGGATAGCGGGAGTGTCACGCTCATACCCTCATATCTGTCAGGCTGTATACGGATGGCTTCACTTATCAGCCACAAAGCAGCATGCGAATCTTGTATACTTAAGATTACTGCCGTATCTCAATGGACCAGTCCTCGAAGAGTGATCACATCTCCTGCAGGTTTCTCTTTCTAGTCTACACACAGTTGCTTGTTTGTTGCATCATGCACAGCTTGGCGTTTTGATGTCTTGTTGAAAAGGAACTTCAGGGAAATTCTTCTGCGACCAAGTCAAAGTCGTATTTCTCATGCATCTGACATTGACATAGTTATGCTTTGATGATTGATCCAGTCCCTCGTTAATCTGGGCAAGCCAATTGCCGCTCAATTGCCGGAGCACATGCCTGTACGGGTCGTACGGGATGGCGCCCATGTGTCGATCCTCCCCGTATTAATCCCTGAACAAGAGCGGCTATCACTCCACAAGACCCCTGGCGGCGTTGCACTGGCGTGGCCCGAGTTTGAAACGACTAATTCTCCTCGAACCGGGGAAATCGTTAACTCGGAACAAGAAGTTGGAAATGTTGTCAATATACAACGGTAGCATTCACCCCTGGCGGATTCATGTGCTGTTCGTCATCATAGGGGCAATCCCCAAAGGTTTATATGAGGCCATGTCTCATAGCATATTCGACTTTTGGGACATATCCATCACTTCCCGGTGGACTTCCTTTTACTACGGGGAATAGTTGCAAAAATATCATCAGACCAAAAACCATGGCCAAACAATTTGCCCTGAGCTTATTGCTCGCTTTGGCGACAGCATCGCCGACGTCTTCTCTTCGTGAGCGCGAGCTCAAGAAGCGTGCCACTACGCTTATTCCAGACACCAGCTTCAGCTCTCAGGAGACCTTTGAGTCTTACTTTTCCTACAACTACCCATGGGGAGACACACACAATGGTGCTGCTTTGATGCAGGAATCGCAAGTTACCATCATCCATGACGCATATTTGCAGCTACAATCCAACTACACCGGGCCGCAGGCGGATGATAGCAGCCTCACCTATGTCTCGGGCACCGTTTATGCCAAGCAGACATTCGCAGTCGAGGCGGGCGGTGGACTGGACTTTCAAGCAAACTTTGTCGCGCCCGTCGCCGAGGGCTGCTGGCCCGCCTTTTGGCTAACCGCCACCGAGGGTTGGCCGCCAGAGATTGACCTGGCCGAGTGGAAGGGCACCGGCAAGATCTCGTTCAACACCTTCAACACGAGCTCCGAGGTGGCCGCCACGGACGTGACGTACCCGACCCCCACGACGGCTTGGCACACCATCCTGGTCGAGCTGCGTGCAGAGGACGATGGGACCACGGTCAAGGCCAACTTTTACATGAATGGCGAGCTCATCACTACTCAGTATGGCAACGACTATGTCGGTGCTGGGTTCTACCTCATCATTGACTATCAAATGTTGGGCAGCAGTGGAAGTAGTGGGCCTACTGACACGACCTACTTTGATGTGCAGTACCTAAGTGTTGTTAGCTACAATCCATAGATTTCTACTTTTGAATATGGAAATCATTGATGAATTCATTAGTCATCTATCCTTCTGTGTGATCGTTATATTCCCCACAAGTTGATCTGAGTACAGACGATGCGAAAAGCATCAACTCAGTTATTCAAACACCACTGCTATTCTTCTCGATAAAAACATTCAGGCCCTCTTGAACCACAAAGAAGGACGCATGTGCCTTGAGAGGTTGGCTTGGGTGTACCAGCTCAAAGTTGAAATCACGCAACAGTCTTGGTATCACCTTGTTGATCTCAAGTATGGCCAAGTTGCGCCCAATGCAAACATGTGCGCCACCTCCGAACTGTACAAAATCAGCACCTCATTTGAGAGATCCCAACAATCTCCCTTTCAACATGGAAGCGAGCAGACATGACTCACCTGGAACATGAACCTATCCATCTTCTTTGCCTTTTCCTCGTCTTCCAACCATCGCTCCGGTCGGAATACATCAGCATCCTGACCAAAAGTTTCCTTGTGTCGATGCAAAACCCAGCCGTTGACCGCAACACGCGTGTCACCTTTCAAAACAACACCGTCTAGCTCGATACCATCCTTTGGGACATGTCTAGTGATGTTGAGCCCGACTGCAGGGCGAAGGCGCATGGCTTCTTTCAGACATGCCTGGAAATATGATAGGTCCAACGCTTGTGTGTATTCAATATTGCCTTCTTTTGGCACGCTGCCATCAGCCATGGCGGACTTGAGTTCCTGCTGTAGGTGGCCCAGGATTTCTGGGACGGAGAGGATGTAGTGGAAGAAGGACTGCATTGTTGACGCGGTTGAATCCGAGCCAGCGAAGCTTTTGGGCGTCAGTCTCTACACCAAACAAGGCCTCTAGGGGCAATCTATCGTCAACCCCTGGATTACCAAAAAGAGACTTGACTAACATGGCGCCGTGCGCTACGGCAAACACATCGCCCTCGCCAAAACCACTGCCCTCCTTCAGATGGCCCTTGATGAGACTGCCTAGTAAGTCACGGCGACCATCCTTACTGGGCCCCTCAGCATTTTCGTCAAAAGGCTTGCGTTTCGACAGTTCATCGAGTGCAATCCTCGTAATTAGAGAATTGCCTGGATTCAATGCCAGCACATACTTCCACATGGGGTTCCTGCGCAAGAGATAATCGAGTATCGGAATCTGGCCAACCAGACCATTATACGTCTGCATATCATCAATCGTCTTAATGGCACCCTCGACATCGCGGCCCGCGGCCAAGAAGCCAAAAGACCTGGAAAAGGCAACCTCGCCAAGCACATCGAAAGCAAAATAGTGAAGCCAAGCTCCTAGGTCAACTTTGCCCCTCCCGCCAACGTCGAGAGGCACCGACTTGCCAACTTCGAGATCGACGCAAAACTCAGCGAGCTGTGAGACAAACAAGTCAATAGTATCGTCGATAAAGGGGCTCAGCTGCCGCATGGCCGCCATGGAGTAGGGCACATTGGCCACGCGCTTCTTGATAGCGTGCACATCCTCGCGAATCTCGGTGAAGATGTCGGGGTTCTCTGGCGGTGGGAAGACGGCATAGAAACTGGTCTTGTAAAAGCCTTTTCCGGCGGAGAGAATGGTTCGTGCAATTTGGGGCGAGGCAAATGACAGCTCATCTGGAGCTGTTCGGACAATAGGCCCGTATTTTTGGTGCAGTGCGATGAAATCCAGGTGTGTGTGGCCTCGAGCGATGGAGATGAATTTCCATGTACGTGAGATAGAAGCAAGAAAGGGGCCTGGGAATGATCGAAGTGGAGAGTAATATCGTCTGATTGCAGCCCTCAAGAACCAAAGGACAAAGAGGAGGATAAGAGGGTGGGAGGTTACAAGAGCCACCACTGATTGGATGGAAGTATGGATGGAAGTATGGATGATTGATGAGAACTCTGCCATGTTGAACACTGACATGTTTCTTAGTATCTTTCTAGTACAAGAAAGCGGACCTGTTCAGATTGCATGCTTTGGAAAGAAAGAAATCATTTAGTTGGATTAGAGAAAGCATTCCGGGCACTATTTATCGGAGAATACTTTCCATCCGTGTTTTTCTGAGAACTGACATACTTCTTCGATATCTACCTAGTACTTATATCCGAGGATGATACTACCACTCTGGCAAGTGTTGGAGATATTAGTGTACAGTTGAGCTCCGATAAGCCACCCGCTATACGAAATGTAGACCACCTTTGATGCTCCCCACGATCTGAATGGTGGTTACTCAGATCTTATTAACCGGCATGAACAGCTAGTGCCCAATCAGACTCTGCCACTTGAATTCTGGTCAGCCATCAATCAGATACCCCTGCTTCAAAGAGAACGTGGAGTGTGGAGTAGCAAGCACCTGGCGTTGAGGCTGACTGATCTATTCTCGTTCAGACATGTCATATCAAGCCGTACTTGATGGCACCATGCAGCTATGTGCATTTTCATTCGGCGCCTGTGACCAACCATCTTCTAGCCGTCATGCTTTATTCTGAATAGCGCAATCTTGGCCTTTCCAGCCACATGGGATGAAATATTGGGATTTGGAGTAGCGTCACATCCGCGGGGTAAGTAATACACGTATGCTTATCTTCTGGGCATGTAGGTGGTCGAAGATGGGATGGAAATACGGAAGTATGCAAGAGCTCAGTGTAAAACATTGGCCGGTACTTCATACACTGAAGTCGAACAAGGGGGCGATCTTGGTCGATCGTCACGCTGACTATGTCGTCGACAACGTACAGCCTTTGGTGTTATCACAACATGCCCGATGAGAGCCGCTCATCTAACCACCTGGTCATGTTCCCATCACCACTGATGGCTTGGATCTCAAACTTCACATTCAGCATCAACATGATCTGAAGCTCCCGCAACAGGGCCAACTCTTCCGCTTCCAAAGGTGCTGTCTCCTCAACCATTCGCAGGAGACTTGAAGTTTTCCTTCTGTCGGTCGGCGTCAGTGCATTTGTCTTGTAGTCGATATCCGTTAATTGCGCCAGAGATCCGGGGCGTTCAATGTCGGCAACGTTTGCGGCCGCTCGAAGATGCCGCGTAGATTCGTCTAATGGTTGTTGACTGCGTACAGGAACTTGAGGAGTTACTCCTTCTAGTCCGGCTTGAGGCGAGCGAACTGGCGATTTTAGGGCAAATTCCTGACGGAACATATCGTGGCTCTTGACCCCTAACCAGAGGAGTCCTGGCGCTGTGACGTTTCCTTCGTGTCGCAAGGACCGACTACCAAGCTTGTAGGTTCTCAGGATACCGACGCCGTCAGGATCAAAGTCAACAAGCCCGTGCAGAGGGATGAAAGGATATTGAGAGTGTATTGCGTGTAGGAATTGACGTGTGGCTAGATCTGGGTATCCCTTGGCCTATTGGGAATCTTGTCAGCAAACTCTGCAAGACGGGGTTTGGGAGACTAGTACTGTGATCAATAGCCCCGGGCCTGCGGCGGAGTGATCAAAATATCTTGCTGCTACCAGGCTGCGGAATGTCGCCTGTGCTTTTGTCAGTGAAATCAGACTAGTATACCATGAATACAAAACTTACTTCCTTCTCTACGATCATGACCCATTGAATCCCGCGAAGTTCGAAACTCGCCAGTGAAACCGCGTCTGGAATTCCAGCATACTATATCATGTCAATATCGTGAAATGTTTGTTTTCTTAAAGAATCCTGCAGACCATGTCATCTGATTCGCGTCCAAAAGGGCCCCCAGCGACAAGCCCTTTCGAGGTAGCAACCTGCACATAATAAGTACTAGGTAATGAATAACGGAGTATCTTAGAACAAGTTCGTACTATATTCAACGCATCTCTATTGACACCGAAAGTAAAGGCAATGTCGTCAATGATCTGGTCAACATAGCTCTGCCTCTCAAAGAGATCTTTGTTCAAATAGAATATGCATCTACACGTCAAGATTAGTTCTGGGGAATGTTGTACTTCACTAAGAAGTCTGGATACTTGATCTGATGAAAACATACGAACCTCTTTGTAATTGCGATCCCGGATTTAATGGCCTCATGACAGTGGTAGAGCACGGTCAAAATTGATGCTAATCAACCATACCCATAAGCTCGAAAGATAATGCATATGTGAGTGGTAGAGAAAAATACATACTGAATCTCCTGGCACTGGCATTTGAAGCGGTTGGGAACAGCACGGCACTTTCGCGGCCTGTCCTACGGCTTCGCAGGGGGATCAAGAGAGGCCGATTTTCCTGAAGCCTGTCTACAATACCTTCAATTATATCCTCAATCCTTGACAGAAGAGAGGCAGCAGGGTCTCCGAGAGGTTCTGGCAGTTCCTGGGAATACTGGTCGGGTTCTTGTCGCCGTTGGTCACTGGGACGGGCTCCGATCTGGGACGACTGACGCTGCCCAGAGTCCCGTTCAGCATTACGGGATGCGCCCGCGTGGGTTTGAGGGAAGGGGTTCTGGCTCATGGTGTCGCATGAAGCTGTTTGGTGCAAATTGTCTTATCTTTTGCCTTTATTGCTGCAATTGCATCCAATGGTCGAGTAAGAAATGACCGACGCTCATGAATCCGAATGCACATCAATGGATCTGTTCCTCAAAAGAATTATCTGGTGTCAATCCATGGGGGTTCGTTCCTTCCTGTCATGTTTCTGGAGCACATTTTTGTTTGTAATTGCTCGGGGAGAATAAAATCGAAATCGGCTCTTCCACGAAGTGTGGTTGAAGCTGTACCTGCCTGTTCAACTCAACATTGAACGAAATCTGTTTAGCATTCTAGAAGAGCAGCGGAAGGGACGAGTCTGTGCTTGTAGTATATTCGCTACTACGTAGTAGAGTTCATAGTATACATTGATATTTGGTGCGAGCAATCGACACCCTGAACGTGGAATTCAATATACTAGGTGCTAGGGTAGTTTATAGGTTGGCTTATTACATGATACGCATCAGTACCCTCGACTTCAACTATGATTTAAAAAGTCAATAATGATGAGTGGTCAGTATGGAGTAGCACACAGTACAGGACATTGTTTACTCCGGGCAGGGTTACAGTCGGACTCCTGAGCCCGCGGAGCCCGCCCAAAAGGTGCATCCCCACTGAAGTGACCTGAGGGCCGTCCCTGTGGCGCCATCTTCAGCGGGGATCGGCAACTAAATCGTACCTAGTGCGCCAAGCGCAGGTGCCTGGATTGATCATACCTCCTGGACTCGAAGTCTCCAAGAAAGAGAGCCAATTCCAAGCCAATTGACCTCCTGACACCTGTCTGGCCATTCGAGCGCGAGCAAGACACCGGCAGCATGGTCACTACTCGCTCAAAGGCCTCCGGCGCCGCTGTGGGCACTGCCAATGGCAACTCGGATATCAAGAAGCGCAAGACCGAGAGCGACATCGCGCCCGTAGAGTCTAAGCAACCGAAAGTGCGCGAGAACACCGACATCACCCGTTGGCGATGCATGGACGAGGACGGACGACTCACCTGGCACTACCTGGAAGACGATGAGGAAGCGAAAGAATGGCCCCAGAGCTTTGCAGACAAATGGTACCTCGGCCTGGATCTTGTATGTTTACCGCTGCGAGAAGTAAAGTAATTCCACCAGCTGATCAATTGCGCAAAATGTAGGGTCTACCTGATCTCCCGAAACCGCAGAAGCCGATCGACGCTGTACAGAATGGTCTGACCTTTTTTGAGAAACTTCAACTGCCATCGGGAGAATGGGGCAGTGAATATGGCGGGCCAATGTTCTTGCTGCCAGGCATCGTCTTTGCCTGGCACATCACAAAGACGCCAATTCCATGGTACAAGGCAACAGCAATCAAGAACTACCTCAAGGCACGAGCACATCCCGAAGACGGCGGATGGGGCCTTCACATTGAGGGAGACAGTAGTATCTTTGGCACCGCAATGAACTATACTGCATTGCGCCTTGTGGGGGTTGACGCAGACGAGCCTTTCATGGTAAAAGCGAGAACAACTTTGCAAAGGCTGGGCGGTGCGACTCATGCACCGCATTGGGCCAAGTTCTGGCTCAGTCTTTTGGGTGTGGCCAAGTGGGATATCGTCAATCCCGTGCCTCCAGAGATTTGGCTGCTTCCCGATTGGTTTCCCGCTGCCCCTTGGAGGTGGTGGATACACATCCGACAAGTCTTCCTGCCCATGGGGTACATATACTCCAAGCAGTGGTCATGTGAGGAGACAGACGTTATCAGGGCGCTGAGACAGGAGGTATTCGCCGAGAAATGGGAAGACATTGACTGGAAAGGGAATCGTAACAGCATCGCCGCAATTGACAACTACCACCCGAAAACGTGGCTGCTCAATACTGCAAACTGGTTCTTGGTCAATATCTGGAATCCGTATTGCAGGACAAAGGGTCTGGTTGAGAAAGCCGAGGCCTGGTGCAGCAAATTGATTGACATGGAGGACGCCAATACTGACTTTGCTGATCTTGCACCTGTCAATGCGGCCATGAACACGATTGTATGCTACATTCGTGATGGCCCGGGTTCATACACTGTGCGGAGACATGTTGAGAGACTGGAAGACAGTCTGTGGGTCAAGGATGAGGGTATGCTCAGCAATGGTACCAACGGTGTGCAGAATTGGGATACTGCCTTTGCCATCCAGGCTGTTGTGGACGCAGGTCTGGCCGAGGATCCCCGCTGGAAGCCAATGCTCACTCGAGCTCTCGAATTCTTGGATAGCCAGCAGATCCGGGAGAACTGCGAAGATCAAGAGGTCTGCTACCGCCAGCAGCGAAAGGGTGCTTGGGGCTTCAGTAACAAGGTCCAAGGGTATGCTGTGAGCGACTGCATTTCAGAGGCCGTGAAGTCGGTCATCCTGCTGCAAAAGACACATGGCTACCCCGAACTTTTAAACGACCAAAGAATCTTTGATGCAATCGATACCCTGCTCACGTACCAGAACGCTTCTGGGGCATGTTCATCATATGAGCCAACACGTGGAAGCGAGCTTTTGGAGATGCTTAATGCTGCTGAGGTTTTCGGCAAGATTATGGTAGAATACGACTATGTTGAATGTTCGACGGCAGTGATCACTGCGTTGTCACTTTTCAACAAATATTGGCCTGATTATAGAGCCGACGACATCAAGAAGTTCAAGGACAGAGTACTTGTCTATATCAAGAAGGCTCAATACCCTCACGGTGGATGGTACGGAAACTGGGGCATCTGCTTTACCTACGCTACCATGTTTGCACTCGAGAGTCTATCAAGTGTTGGAGAGACGTACGAGACCAGCCCACACGCCAAGAAGGCCTGTGAGTTCTTGCTTTCAAAGCAAAGGGCCGATGGAGGCTGGTCGGAAAGCTACCGAGTAAGTCTCAACCTGTACCGAGTTACCAGTTTGTGACAATGCTAACCACCGAGACATAGTCCTGTGAATCAAACACGTACCATGAACACCCAATGGGATCACAGGTCGTGATGACGTCGTGGGCACTCATTGGATTGATGCATGCAAAATATCCCGACATCGAGCCCATCAAGAAGGGTATCAAACTGGTCATGGAAAGGCAGCAGCCCAATGGAGAATGGCTACCAGAAGCCATCGAGGGAGTGTTCAACAAGAGTTGCATGATCACCTACCAGAACTACAAGTTCACCTTTACATTGAAGGCTCTTGGAATGTTTGCTGAACGATACCCTGACGAGACTGTGGTTTGAGCGGCTGTCGGAGGTTTACCACGATAATCTCCAATTTGTAGCTTTGAACAGGCAATCACGTACGTGCACACACAGTAATGTGGACGAAGTTCAAGAATGACACGGTAATACCATTAATGATAATATAATATGTGCTACATAATCCATAACTCAACAAGTTGCCTCTCCTCAACGGCCCCCACAGAATGTGATCTTTACAAAGGACACACGATGTACCAATCGCGGCTGACCAGGATCTACAATGATTACAGAACCCAAAACAAAGAGTTTGGGTGAGGATTCGCCACGATTTAATGCATAGGGAAGTCACCGAAAGCAAGACTTGAACATTATATCTTTGTACCTACATTATATCACCTCGATCAATGTTTGTCTAGGAGGAAAGGGGGAACTTGAAGGATACGGTAAGGCAGACGAAAGTAGGTACATATTGCCTGTGCTACATGTAACCGCTGCAGGGGGCTAGGCCTGCGTAAGGTTATGTAGTGTACTCTGTCAGCGGCAACATGACCCACCTTGCGGGCGCCGGTGGGGTCCAGTCGGGCGCCGTGAAGCTTGAAGCTTCCTAGAGCTTCGGTGCCCCGCCGCGTTTGCCTACCTTGAGGAGCCGCACTCATTACCTACTTAAACAAGCTGGGGGTTGCGCCCAGGAGCTGCAGAAGCATCACTCCATCTCAATACGTTCGTGAAGTCTTTCACCCAAGCTTTGGACTGCTTCTGCTTTGGACAGACGTTCCTCGCCATTCAAAATTGTCATACAAGCACGCCAATCCGTTTCCATCGCCGAAAGCAAAAGCAACCTACACGATCCCGTTGCCCCGCCATGTCTACCCTAGCAGGCGAAGGCCTGACTTCAATCAAGGCTGGCAATTACGCTGAAGGCATTGAGAAGCTTAGCCAGGCTTTAAAGCAGCAGCGGGCTCCTCTATGGCTTATTGAGCGATCAAAGGCCTACTTGCGAACGGAGCAGTTCGAACTTGCTCTCCACGATGCCGAACACGCCCTGTCAATCGCCCTCAGCCGTGCTAACCGCGACCTGATGATTGAGGCCCAGCTCCGAAGAGCCATCACGCTCTTTCGCATGCAGAAGTATGCCGACGCCGATGTCTGTGCATATTGGACTCTTCAGTTAATCGCAGGTGCCAAGGCCACTGAGGACGATGGCCAACAGAAGAAGGTTGACGGTAATGGTGATTACGCCGTCACCATGGCGGAGGTTCAGGAGGGAAACAACAAGGTTCTAGAGGCCAATAAGAAGAATGTTAACCTCCAAGGTCTCGCCGGCGACAGATCCAAGACAACGACTAATCGCAACTTGGCCATTACGTGGCGCATGAATTCCCTGAGCGCCATGGAGAAGCTTGAGCCAGGTGCGCCTGGCCGCAAGGTTACTGTCGAGAAGTACCCCAAGCCCTCAGAGACACCCCCCGTAAAGGAATCAGCCATCCAGACTGTCCAGGTCAATGAGATTGACGCTGAGGATGAGTCCGACCAGGAGACTGGCAAGCCCCAGATTCCCCAGCACATCCTAGATGGAGCTGCTCCTTCACGTGCTTCTACCGTGACTTGGACGGAAATCTGGAACCAGTTTCAGGCCGAACACAGAAAGCATGACGTCCGCGTGGATTGGTACGAGACTGATACCAGTGTTTCGGTGAGCTTATTCGTCAAGAACGTCCCGAAGGACCTCGCTCAGGTGGACTCCAAGGAGAGCAGTGTAAGTTAAGGCAAGAAGAACTAAAACAAATCAAAGTTTTGACATTTCTTTTTTAGGTTACTGTCAGTCCGATCAGCAGCATCACATCCGGAGCCTTTACCTTGCACCTTAAGGGCAAGATTAGGCCCGAGGAGACAACTTACACCGTAAAGAGCATGAAGATTGAGCTGTCGTTGAAGAAGCAGACTGCCGGAAAGTGGCGAGTCCTAAGAGACACCAATGCCGAAGCCAAGTTTTATGATCAGGCAACTTTCATCAAGCATGCCGAATCCAGGGGTCTTCAACCTAATCAGTTCGGAATCGATGAGTCCAAAGGCGATCTTGATTCTTGGTATGAGAAACTGTACAAGGCAATGTTCGACACTGCCGCCAGTAATGGCACGGCTGCCACTCCAGCTTCATCATCAGCCGCCGAGCCTCAGAAGACTGTGACAGCACCTGTCGAGAAAGCCAAAGCCTCTGCACCTGCATACCCCACATCCTCCAAGTCTGGCCCCAAGAACTGGGATACCTTGAAACTTGACGACGACATCGATGAGGACAAGCAGGAGACTCCCGACGACTTCTTTAAAATGATCTACAAGGGTTCTGATGATGATACCAGAAGAGCCATGATGAAGAGCTACGTAGAGAGCAATGGCACAAGTCTCAGCACCAATTGGGAAGAGGCATCCAAGACGAGCTACAAGACGGAGCCCCCCGAGGGAGCTACGGCCAAGAAGTGGGACGAGTAAAGAGATGGCAGCACAGTTACAGATGCTACATGCATAATAATTGTTTGATATTACCAGGGATGGAACCAAGATGGCGTTGTTAAGCATCGGAAAAGGAGATTCGGCCATTTCGTGAAATGCGTGTTTTCGGGCAGCGAACAAAAACATTCTTCGGCGTTCTTGCATCGATACCACAAATTGTTGGCAGCCAGTTCAAGAGGTTCAATAGTAAATGATTAATTGTGTTTAATAATTGGTTCATATCTGTTGGCGATAATATTTGTGGTTCTATGCTCAGCTTCCAAATCGCCTTCACTCTTTCTGCCTGGACTAAACAGTCGTCACGTGATCAAGGACATCAAGGTGAACTTCTGCCATTTTTACTTTTTTCAAGCTGCAACTTTCTATTCTCTGTTCAATTTATGGACATTCATGTTGCGCAATTTCAAATACTTGGCACCGATTTACAGTTTTGAGTGAATCTGCAAACGAAATAAAATAAAATAAAATCCTTTCGGTGCATCTTGGTTGGGCAGCTACAACATCGCTTGGTTATAAAATTTTCATCCACCATTCATCCACCCGCCCACCCACCAATCAACTTTTGAGAACCACCTCAAAACGGACCTGCGCATAGCAAAAACAGATCCAAACAGCACTCGAGATCAGCTGCTTGGGAGTCAGTCACTGAAGGAAAATGGCGCCCACACTTTCTGGCGACGAGATCGATGATTTGATCTACCTGGCACGGGCAGCCGAGGATGCAGAGCTTACAGAGCTGCTCAAGGAGCTAGCAGAGCGGGAAAAGGTTTCAATCGCCGACGTGCTGGAGGCTGCAAGGGATGAAGGAAAGGCGACGTGCTTGCACATGGCAGCCGCAAATGGACATTCGAGTAAGTTCATCTTGCGAGCCAGCAGAGGAGAAAGAGGCTCTGCATGACATTTCCACCGTGGAAGTCGTGCAAGTCAGAAGACCGAGCATCAACCCCAGGACATGCATCACGCGCCCTAGTATTTCATTCAAGCTGTAAAGAGAAGTTGGCGAAGGCTAACGATGAAACAGAAACCGTGACACACATTCTCTCACACCTGCCCACATCATCACTGCCCTCACCGGCACCCAGCAGCACATCGCCATCGGCGTCGACAACGGCACCGCCCGAGTCGTATATCAACGTGGCCAACGAGTACGGCAACACGGCGCTGCACTGGGCGTGTCTGGGCGGGCACCTCGACACCATCAAGCTGCTGCTGTCGCGGGGCGCCAACCCTACCGTGGCCAACGCCAGGGACCAGATCCCGCTCGACTGCGCCGCCTTCAACAACCACATGCATGTCGTGGAGTTCTTCTTGTCGCAGAGCCGGCACAAGGAGGAGCAGAACGCCAAGGAAGGCGGCCTCGAGGGCGCTGTTGGTGCTGTCGAGATGGAGGTTGAGGAGGTTGAGGAGGAGGCTGGTGAGAGCAGTAAGACTGCCGCTTGAAATTGTCGCGCATGAGAAGAGGTTTCCGTGAGGAGCAAATTTGCTACGCTACACTGCATACATGAGTCACTTGAATACCCGATCTTCGAGAGTGGCCTGAAACGAACAGCATCAATATAAAGAATCAAGTCACACAGCCTGCCTTGCACGACAAGTGAGATATGGATACTTTGATCAAGAATTTCCGGTTGCCGCCTAGCCGGAATCCAGAGCGTGGCAAGTTATGCCAATGACTACACCATGACATTATCATCAGAAACAGAACGGATTGACGAGCACACTTTTGATTGAAAGTAGGTCATCTAAAATATTTCTAGGTTCTCCTACCTAGGCAAACCCGTACTCAAAATCATCTTAAATATACTCCCCCACCTTCATATCCCAGCACCCGCCAATTACATCATATTCGTACACGCTCATCTCAGATCCAACCCCCCCGCTTCGTCTTCTGCCCACCGTTGGCTATTCGAGCCCCCTGAGACAGTGCGTCTTCTCTGCGCCGATCATTGGGGGTGCACACCATAGCAGCCGTATCATTATGTTGTTATTGCGACTTCATGCAACCGCGGATATACAACTTTCGACAAGTTATGTTGTAACCGAATGATTGAAAACATCCAGCAGTCATTCCCCCCTCGAGTGTCTCCATGACCTTCAACCAAGATATGTTTTATAGACTGGGATGTTCGAGTCACCATCGCCTCCATCTTCATACCGGGAAACGGCACTTGTGGCGATTACCAAACGGCACATCAATTATAAACCGCTCCGTCATCTTGATATTGCCAAACGCGCCCATCTTGCCCCGGAACTTGTGGTCGGCGCGGCTGGAGCGCGACACGGATCGCTGCTGCGTCGCCATGAGGGCGCGCTGCGTGGTGGCGGGTAGACTGGCCATCATTTGCATGTCCGAGGCGCGGAGGGTCTTGTGGGAGATGGCCCGGACCCGGTTGTTCAGGGCTGAGGACTGGGTATTTGTTGACAAGAGTGCCGATGAGTTTGGTGTTGGAGTTGTGGCGTCGGAATCTGATGACGTGGACTCGTGGTCGTGATCTGATGAAGCTGCAGAAGTGCGCGAGACTTTCTGTGATGGTGTTGAACTTGATGAGATCATGGCACAGTTTCCGCGGAGTTTCTTCTGAGTCCTTGACGCCGACGCCGATGTGGTAGTTAAAGATTTATGCGACCTCGATTTCGATTTCCGGAATCCAGCGTCAGGTCGATGGGATATCGTCTTGCCAGAGGGAAGACGTATTGTCGTGCTGTCGATGTATCTGAGGCTATTTCCAATTGCGCCGTCGTTTACATATTCGTCATCGCCCTGGTCATCCGAAGTGTCGGTATCGTCTGAGCTCAAGCTGTATTCATAATCTTCCGAGTCTTCCTCTTCAACCGGCATCAGGGGCGAAGAATCCTCAATCAGGAGAGCAGGCATTGTGGTAGTAGTGGTGGTAGTAGTGCCAGTAGTTGCGCCTATCATTTATCAAATCAAGTAGTGCTGGAAGTGTTGCTTCTTTTGTTTGAAGTCTGAGCTGAGCTGTAAGACAGTTGGATAGACTGTTTACTTGTGGTTGATGTGAATTGCTGTTTTAGGATCACTATAATCTTGCCATGGTACGAAGAGTTATATATCCATTGGAGATGTATGAATTTTGCTACACAAAGCTAGTCTCGTCTAAACAAGGCTCAACTTCAATGATATTGCATATGATTCATTTTTGGACATTGGAGCCTTTGTCTCACCTTTTCGTCCATCTATGCACCGTGATTCATTCTTGGCGGTCCTGTTTTGGTTTAGCGTGGATGAATCATAATGGTTTCCCCCAGACTTTGCAGATATAGTTGCTCGGGGCAGTGCGACACTGCCCCAACTGTAGAAATATCATCTCAAGGAAATGTGCAGAACTTGTCCTGGAGCTACCGGACATCAATATCAGAAAGACGATTGGTGCAATTCCGATTCCCGTTTAGGTTGGGTTTTCTGGCGGCAATCTGCGTACCCCCACCAAAGATTCGTTAAGAGTCAATCACGAAGGCCTCCTCAGAGAGGCTTTGAGGTGCTATCCAAGAGGGTTCTCCTTTACGATGCTTGAGCCTAATAGAATCTTTCGAATTGGAATTATAGTGGAATTTATTGACGCAATTGCTCTAGTTTACAAAAAGGTTGGGCTGATCCTTTTCAAAATCAATGGCGATGCCTCGTCTGTGTCGTTCATAGGTCGCACAGAAACCCCAGACTATTTGAAGGCGCCGACAAATCCTGAAACCAGGCAAAAGTTGCGGGAGGAATCCGTAAAAACCGAGGTGAGCATCATAAAATTGATGGATTGGAAAAGTGTGATTTCCATTAGTTTGGTTTAGGTATCACCTTGGCAGCATCAAGTCTGTCTCGATGTATCTTTATAATTTCAAGATGATGAACGTATCATGACTTTCAATGCATATGAGAAATATTGATCAAGTATCTCTCAGAATCATGCTCGAATTGGGTGGGAGGTGTCGGGAAGAAAAGGGTAATATCGTAGAGCAGCAAAAGGATTATTTGTTGCTTTAGTTTTCATGACCGACACTGCCAGTGCCGCTTGCTTTCGTATCGGTGTCTGGATGTAACGACTCCGTTGATTGACTTTCATCATACGATTTGAGCCCTGGTGAAGCATCAAAGCAATCACCGGATCATTGCCATACGTCGTCCATGTTCTCGACAGAGGGTATGGAATCAAGATTGCAAATTCAAGACTAAGATCTCGTGCTAACGGATCTCCGAGTCGCTAGTCTAGAGTGCGGCTCTGGAAGTCGGAAGCAGAAGCACGTAGGGCTGAAGCTTAATCGGATCTTCCCGCTGAGAGTTTTGCACTCACTTTTGCCGTCTCGGATTTTGCTCGGTTTTGTGGATTGCCGGAATCCACAATCAAAAACTTTTTCTCGGGATTTCTCGAGCTATAAAAAAGTCTTGGTCGTTGGGCATTGCTTGGCAGAATTGTTATCGTCGGGTTGATTAGTCACATCTCCTTGAGTCACCATGTTATCTGGCAGAGCGACGGTATTCAGCATGACTCGGCTGGATGATCCGTGAGCGCATTGTTGATTCATCGACTTGCCTTTCCGGAGACTTGGGAGGCATGTCTGTAATGGGCTCAAAAAGAAAAGTCGACGAACGCTCTGGCTTCTATAGCCTCGCAACGGTGTCAAAGCATTGCTGTGTGTTTCTTGAAAAAAAGCGGCAGCATTTCGGCGAGGGTCATATTCACGGCCCACACAGGCCCAGTTTATCCACTGGGAATGGGCTCGCACCATATGGTGCCAGGCCTAGTCCCGGCCGGACAACATGCCACAGATGGCTCTATGGTTCTTGGGAAAACCCACTGTTATCTCCATTGGACTTCGCTCGGGAACTGTGTCGGGAACTGCGACGGCATTGGGATCATGTTGGTTGACCCGCCGTCATGTATTTGAACGTTGCACGGCGCCTGAGACTCTGCTCCCGTTGGGAGCTCTGTTCCTCTCTGGGTTGCCCATGACGGTCTACATCGTACGACAATAGCGTTTACAAGTGTCGACAGATCGATCGATACCCACAAGGCTGCAGATATGTCAGATACTACTACGCCAACCCGAGTACAATCCGAGATCGATCCGGACCCAGCTCAACATGATCCGGCAACGACAACGGAGAAAATCGAAGAACCGACCGTCAAGGAACTAGATCTGTCTCATCGGCCAGACGGTGGCTTAGACGCATGGCTTCAAGTGCTGAGCGCCTGGTGCGTCATCTTTAGCACCTTCGGACTGGTCAACTGCTTTGGTGTTTACCAATCATACTATGAACAAGTCCTGTTACCAAACAGCTCTTCTTCCTCCATCTCATGGGTCGGGTCTATTCAAGGATTCCTGCTACTGGCAGGTGGCATCTTTTCGGGGCCTCTGTTTGATATGGGATATTTCCGACACCTCCTCTATAGTGGTCTATTCCTCATCATCTTTGGCCAGTTCATGACGTCTCTCTGCACAGAGTACTATCAGGTGCTTTTGGCACAGGGACTCTGCATTGGACTTGGCTGTGCCTTGACCTTTCCCCCTACGACAGCCGCCCTGTCCCAGTACTTTTCACGCCGAATCGCATTGGCAACCGGGTTAGCATCATCAGGGTCACCCTTGGCCGGTACTGTGCTGCCCATCGCATTCAACCAACTTGTTGACCGACTAGGCTTCGGATGGGCGACCCGAATCATTGCTTTCATTCTACTTGGCGTCGCAGTTGTTCCTCTCATGTTCTTCAAGACCAGACTGCCACCCTCGAAGCATCGCAGAGCCTTGATCGACATGTCGGCGTTTACGGACGTGCCATTCATGATTTTTGTAGTCGGCTCATTTTTCTGCTTCATGGGCCTCTACATTCCCTTCTTTTACATTGAGCTCTTTAGCATTGAGCACAGCCTGACAAGCGATGCTTTTGCTCCCTACATGGTGGCCATTATGAACGCAGTCAGTGTCCCTGGTCGTATCGTGCCGGGCATCATTTCGGACTTTATTGGGTCGCCCACGATAGTCATGGGCGGATGTGCCGCTCTCTCGTGCATTCTGGCCTTTGCCTGGATTGGCATACGGAACCATGGCGGCATAATCGTGTTCGCGGTCCTCTACGGCGGATTCAGCGGCGGTGTTGTCAGCAGCCATCCATCGGGCATCTTCTCGCTCACTTCGGATCACACACGAATGGGAACCCGCTTGGGAATGGCTTGTTTCGTGGCGGGAGTAGCTCTCTTGATTGGAACGCCAATTGCCGGAGCCATACTGGGAACAGATGATAATGCGAATGAGGCAAAGTGGGATGGCTTGATTGCATTCTGTGCCATTTCCATGTTTCTCGGTGCATGTCTTGTCTTGACCACCGGGGTGATGGGCAAGTTGCGACTGCGTCAGAAACTACGGGATGAAATCTGAAATTTCCAGATGCGATTGCCACGTTGGGTGAAATAAATAAAAGAAAAATAAAGAATAAAAATCAAATAACAGCAAAGTAATAACGAGATATTATTCCGCGCGATTATAAGCATGCCTAAGGCTACTGCCGTCGTGACCGTATCTACCACATGGACCGTGGGACCAAGCTTGCCGGCAATTCAAGCCATTTGCTGTAAGCTTAATTCAGGCACCTCTTACCTCTTATTTCACCCCCGCTGAGAAGCCAGTAGAATGCAGTCAACTTCGCCGTAGACTCGAAACAAGAATTCTCGTGGGTTCTTCCTCAAACGCGCCTTCTTTAATTTCCATCTTGCTGTTTAAAGCTTTCAACAAGTCGAAGAAATAAGAGACCCCGACCGCCATCCCGAGAATTGTAATATTTTCGACAGCAGAAGCAATATTGTTTCTACGGGCATTTTCTTTTCATATTTCTTTCGCGTCGCCAGTTCACTCCACGGCTGCGACGCGTCTGAGATCCCTGCCGCTGAAGCCTGCGTGGCGCCCAATACATCGACGGGGCCCCGTCGATTTATTAGCCGACGGGGCCCCGTCGATGTATTGGGAGCCAGCCTGCGTACCCCTCTTACATAATCCGGCTCCTGGCTGGATGCAGTTTAGTGGTCACCCACCCCGGTTTCTTCAGAATCAGAGAAATTTCCACTACGTTTTTGGTGGGGAGCCTCTATCGGTGAGCACTGAGAAGCCCAGAAAGGAAGCGCGGCCCAGTCAGTTCTCCAAATAGTAATCGTTCAAGTCCCACCCACCACATACGTAGGTGGTGTTTAATGGTGCATGCAACCAACCACATCGTGCTGCTCAGGTACGTACAGATGAAAAAAAACATTTTTTACAGCACAAAAGGCCGCCTGCCCAAAAGGAAAATCCACTGTGCGTCTACTATATACGTGCAATTGCTGTGGACAAGATTGGACGGCATGCAAGCTTGCAGGCTTGGTCTTGACTTCTCGCCATTTTTCTAGAATGAAGAAAGATTATTCGGTTCTAGTGCTGAGTTTGTTACAGCGCCAATTCCAGATTTTTCTCCAATCAACGTAAAACAATACAACTCTTCTGTGCCGGAAGGAGGAAAAAAAAAGTGTACGTATTTATTTGAATTCCCATCCGTCTCACCTAGATCCGTGTCATGAGTGCCAGACCTACCTGTACCTACTGATTAAGTAGCACGAGCATCTGATTAGTGGACGACTCAGTGCTGACACTGCTCCCTTCTAGTACACTACAACCTGGCAGCCTGGACTGGACTGGGACCCCCACCATTCGCTGTCGGCGAGAGTTTTACTGTATTCCGGAGTGATTCCCATTTGGAAACACCAGGTCTCTCACCTCGTCACTAAGAGGAAACAACCACCTTTGTTTCCCATTTGTCGACCTGTGCTCGCCCCCCGATTAACTGACATAGGAGCTGCATTTTGCAGCTCGTCGCCAAAACGTCTTCTTCAAAGAAAAGGAAGATTAGGCGTTCCTCCAGAGAAGAGGCCATAGATAGCCCCTCACCCGACACTCCACTGCAGTCCTGCGAGACCGACGATAATCCAAACTTCTCCTTCACCTCGGCCACTTTTGCTCCTTCACCCCGCGGCGACTCAGTGCCGCCTGCCTCGAGTCTGCCTCCCCATCTCCTCCCAGAGTACGCTCAATCCGTCGCCAGCTCAACGGCGGGCGATAGTCCTCCTGCTCTGAACAGCGCCAGAGGCTCGTCCCCCCTCGTTATCAAACCATCATACCACAGAACTATCATGGGTGGTGCTGCAGAATTCCCAGAACGTGCTTCCTCACCGCTGAAAAGGAGAGCCTCTAGCATGGAACCCGAGACTGGCGAGGAGGGCGTCTCTAACGAAGACGTGGACATGGTCACGGTACCGCCGGCTGAGCCAGCTGCGCCAGCTGCCGCTGTCGCTGCAGAGGAAGAAACACAAGCCGAAGGTCAAAAACTGTCGCAACCGCCACAGTCCATTGAGGCGCACATCAAGTCGATACGCACCTTCTGCGAAGAGTTTGAGTCGCGGCCCCTGGCAGACGGCGACCAAGTATATATTGTGTCGCGAAAATGGGTCGAGTCTGTAATTGGCGACTCCAAGGACTCCAAGAAATCCGCAGCCCTCGATCCGACCACGATTACGCCGGTCGATAACTCGGACATAATTTGGGAAGTTATTGAAGACCCTACCGTTGGTAGCAGTGTCGATACACTCAAGAAAAGGTTCATTCGACTGAAATCTGACCTTGGACCTGAACAATACAACATCTTCCCGCCAACTGCCTGGAGTCTGGTAATGCAATGGCCGGGCTTGGCTGAAGGACAGTTTCCCATCCTCAGACATGCTCATGCAACGAGCGACAATGAGTTTGACCAGAATGTGCAGCTGGAGATGCACCCGCCAGTCTTCACCATCTATCGCCTATGGTCTGCTCACAGCCCAATCGCGATCAAGCAAATAATCAAGAGCAGTCACCCGCCTCCTCCGCGCCTAGCTCGAAGCCGTACCTTCAGATGGAGCACGTTTCTCAAGCAGTCCAAACACTTGACGGATATCGAACTCAAGTCCAAGGTTCGAGTTTGGAGAGTACCGCGCAAGCTACCCACGAGTGACTCGGTAGCTGGTTCAGCACTCACCCCGCCTTCCTCCCCGCAGGCTGAAGACTCCGACAGCCCTCAGGATTCATGGCCTAACATGCTGATCGATGTCAACACGTTCAACGCTCTGGAGGAGCCCGCCGAGCGCGAAAAAGTGGACTTTAGAGACGTGACTGTTGATGAAAACTACAATGGACATACCGATCTTGCAAGACTAGCGCTGTCTACTGACCAGGCTATTGTCTTGGATGAGCAAATCACAGGCACCACGTTTGTCTCGACTTTCACCATCTCACAAGCCTCAGAAAAGCTCCCTGCTCCACGGGCCAACTCCGCCAGTGTAGTCTTGAATCGCACTGCGAGGTCCGGCAGAACTAGTCCTGTACCATCTGGACCGGTAACTCGTGGCAGAACTCACAAGTCTGGGCGGACCATAGGATGTACAGGTTTAGGAAATCTAGGTAATACCTGCTACATGAACTCTGCGCTGCAATGCGTGCGGAGCGTCGAGGAGCTTACGAAATACTTCCTGTCTGGAGAATGGGAGAATGAAGTCAACCGTGAAAATGTTTTGGCACATAACGGAGACGTGGCTCAGGCCTATGCGCTGCTTCTCAAAGAGATATACAGAGAGCCTCCTCCGCCTTCCGTCACTCCACGACATTTCAAAAGCACCCTCGGTCGCTATGCACCAGCCTTCTCTGGATATGGTCAGCAAGACTCTCAGGAATTCGTAGGCTTTCTGCTAGACGGCTTACAGGAAGACCTTAGCAGGGTCAAGAAGAAACCCTACATTGAAAAGCCAGATTCCACTGATGAAATGATCAATGATCCCAAAGCTATTGCAAAAATGGCCGAACAGGTCTGGGACATAACCAAGCGCCGTGATGACTCGGTCATAGCAGACCTCTTCACCGGACTTTACAAATCGACCCTAGTCTGCCCGGATCCCAGCTGCGCCAAAGTCAGCATCACCTTTGATCCCTTCAACAGTTTGAGTCTGCCACTGCCCATTCAGAGCAAGTGGTCTCACACCGTGAAATTCTTCCCTCTCAACGATCGTCCCATCGATATCAGAGTCGAGCTAGACAAGTCCTCATCCATCAAGCAACTAAAGGATTTCATCAGCACTCGCACTGGTGTTCCCGCAGAGAGACTACATGGCGCTGAGCAGTGGAAGAACAAATTCTACAAGCAGTACCCGAACGGTGCTTGTGCTTCGGACGAGATCACCACCAACGATGAGGCCTGGATCTACGAGCTCGAAGCAGCTCCGACAAACTGGAATTCTGCAGAGTCACGAAAGTTGGAAAATGGTAAGGCTAGACGTTCCCTTTTGGAGGAGGCCGAAGAGCCGAGCGATGAAGTCTATGAAGCTATGATTGTTCCTGTCATGCATCGCATTATCGCGGATAAACAATACGGTGCTCAGCGACCATTGTGCCTTGTTCCCCACTTCATCGTCGTGAATCCAGAAGAGGTGAGTGTCTTTTACTTCTATTCCTACTCCGACTCTCACATTCAGTACGGCTTCTTTGGGCGTACTAACAATATGGACAGTCCCGGAGCGAGGATGCCATTCGTCGCAAGATCCTTCAAAAGGTTGCTACCTTGACCAAGCACCATTTCTTTGCTCGTGACGAAACAAATTCGCCAGAGTCAGCAGAGTTCGTCAATAGCGGCTCCGATTTGAGCTCTAATGAAGGAAAAATTGTTGCTCAGTCTGTACAAGGCGAAGATGACATGGTCGACATCACGATGAGAGATGCTGGCGACGCCAAGGTTGCTCAGGACGGAGAACCTAAGCAATCTACAAAGATCCCTCACTTCAATCAGACTCCTCCATCGTGGATGGATGCCAAAGAATTCTTGCCTGGAGAGCTGCAAAATATGTTTGAGCTCAGCTACGTCACCGAAACTGGATCACTACTAGCTACTGGTAATAACAGTGTCAACGAGTCTTCTGACTATCCGAGACTATCATCGAGAATACCTGATTCTCCTGGTTCGGACGATGGCGGTGATAGTGGTACAAACGGTACAATCTCCAATGACGAGGAAAGCCAGGATGAGTCATCGCAACAGAGTGCAGACGTCCCACCCACGAGGATGGCTGAAGAGAGCGAAGAGGAAGACCCGGTCCCCATTGTCAAGGTACGCTCACGACAATCAGCATCCTCTGACAGCTCGACAAAAATAGGTTTCTTTCAAGTGAAGATACCAATTCGCGCCAGTGGCAGTACACTGACAGATCCTCAGATCCCGCACAGACCTAAGAGCTCGAAGACGAATCAGAGGTTGCCTGGCGGAGCTAAGAAAATGAAGCCGAAGAAGTACGGTAAGAAAGGCAGCAAGCGTGCACAACGACAGGCAGCACAGCTTGCCAGGAAGCAGCAAGCCCAACAAGAGCGGGAAGAAGCGAACTTTCACGTCGAAACCGTAGACTCTGGCGCAGATGGTGGTCCACTTATTCGACTGAGGGAAGCCATCGTTGTCGATTGGAACGAGGGTGCTTACAATGCACTGTTTGACGAAAAACTATGGATGTCTTGCGAGACACTACCTGACCCAGAACTCGACAAGGCTCAACAATCCCGTGCCAGACGCAGAAAGAACGGTATTACGCTCGAAGACTGCCTTGATGAGTTTGAACGCGAAGAGGTTCTGTCCGAGCACGACACGTGGTATTGCCCACGCTGCAAACAACACCAACGTGCCTCCAAGAAATTCGACCTGTGGAAGACTCCAGATATCTTGGTTGTTCACTTGAAGAGATTTAGCTCAAGTGGTTATCGTAGGGAGAAGCTGGATGTACTAGTCGACTTCCCCATCGAAGGCCTGGACCTAACCCGCAGAGTTTCCGAGCCGGAGAGCGGTAAAACAGAGATCTATGATCTCATTGGTGTCGATTGTCACTGGGGAGGCCTGGGAGGCGGTCATTACACCGCCCATGCCAAGAACTTTGTCGACGGCCAATGGTACTCATACAATGGTGAGTGAAAGCGAGAACTTTGGTGATTTGGACACTCTAACAATATCCTATAGACTCGTCTGTTTCTAGGGCCAACACCGATAAGATCGTTGATGTGACGGCCTACCTTCTGTTCTATCGTCGCCGCTCAGACACTCCCCTTGGTGGCCCTCGCTTCAAAGAAATCATTGATGATATGGAGAAATCAGAATCCGAGGACGACGCTGCCGACTCGGGGGAAGGTCGGCGACTCGACGAGGGTTCCTCCCCAACTGGGTCGTCGAGCGCATTCCAGGAGCAAGGTCTCGGAGCTACTCGCCAGCACAAGCAAGACGATCATGGTGGTAGAACCCATGGCTCGGCCGCTTTCGAAACCAAGAGCGATGACGGGACCATGCAACTGACCGATGCGTCATTCGATGACGGTAATCAGCCCCTTCGCCGAAGCATCGAGGATGACGAGGGCATCGGAATGACTGAAAACCCCAAGCACACGTCTGCTAATGCGTACCAGCAGACTTGGGACTTCGCCCTATTAACGAGTAATAATCTGGCCAATGGTGATACTGGCCCTGCAAGTCCGGTTGGCTCTGGTGCTGCCACTGATGAAGCCCAGCACGATTCTTCCGGCGATTCCGTCTTTAGTCGTGCCGGCGACTTGGACCACGACACAGACATGGAGAACGTACCCGGTGCTAGCCATATTGAGCTCGCTACGGCAGCCGACCCAGACCCCCCAGCTTATAGCCAAGAACCTCCGCCGCCCGACTATAGGGCCGAGATATCTCGTGAGGACATGTCTCAGTTCTGGAATGCTAGGCATGACATTCACGAGGTTGTCGCTAAGGGCGACGATCAAGGGTCTGAAGAAGCCGTCGAGATACGAGTCGAGGAAGAAGAGGACAAGGACAAGCAGGACTAGGAACCCCGCACGCCCGATTCGCCGCCATCCAGCGCCTTTGCTGTGATACTCTAATGGTCGTGGAGTCAACTTTGGCTTTAAACAGCACAAGCTGCCTTGCCAGGACAAATAGTAGGCTCTGGTACAGAAATCGCTTAGAGGCCAGCGTTTTGCAACTTGACCGAACAGCATTTGCCGACAGTCCAAAGTGTGCCGTGCTAGAGTGGCGCTGATTTTCAGATTGGTAGCATGATGGCATCGATTGCGACTCTAAGGATAGGACCCTTTTGTCAATGGTCATCAAGATACATGAGGAATGTAGAAGATATCTATTTGGGGCAACCCAGTGGACGGAAGTGGACGCAGAAAGGAACCGGAAAAAAATATTTCTAGAGCTAGATTTGTTGCTCGAAAGAAGTACATTGGAGGACTGCATGGTTTGAAATCATTGAAGAGCATTGCACCTCGTGTGTGCTTGCGTGTGATGGGTTATTCTTGACATGACATATTGCATTTGCATGGTATGGCCTGGTATGGCAGCGACCGGAGGTTACTGTCATTGTCGGCCACTAAATAAAAAAGAAGAGATAGATTGCTGAATACATTGATTGCATATATCAAGTTTGACGCCAACTGCAAAGACTGAAAATGTGTCAACATTCCGGTTTCCGTACAATATATCGTGTAAGAGGATATTGGTTGTAAGCATGGTGTTGGAGGTTGCTCACTTGGTAGAATAGTACTCGCCTTCACAGTGTGCCATTTGGCAAATGATTATCGCGGCCACAAGTCCAAGAGAACTAATTAATTTGTTTTTGATATTGTTCATGATTGAATCTTGTTCATATTAGCCACAAGATCATGGCTCTAGTTTGTCAAATCCTCTTCTTTCAAGGGTCATAATCCCAATCAGTGCTTATAAAGCGCAAGTTATCCCCCAAAAAACATGCAAGTGACATAATCTCATATCAAACCCCTTGTAACGCCCAATTATCGAAATCTGCGAGTAACCTCTGTCTGATTTTACCAGCTAGTGACAATCTTCTCCATGGCCTCGAGAAGGATATCGGCGTGCGACTTCTCAAAGATGAGCATGGGTCGGAGACGGACGGCATGAGCACCGCTGCCACCAATGTTGACACCAAACTTCTTGGCCTTTGCGAGGAACTGGTCGCGCTTGGGGTTGTCAAAGGCGATAAAGGTACCCTGGCCCTTGCCACGGAGGTTTTGGAAGTCTTGCGGGTACTTCTTTGCAAGCTCCTCAATCTTGCCAAAGAGGTAGTCTCCGACCTTGGCGGTGTTTTCGACGAGGTTGTGTCGCTCAATCTCTTCAATGATGGCGCGGAAGAGGATGGCACGGGCCGGGTCACCCATCCAGGTGTTGAACTGGCGGTAGGGCTTGTTGGGGCGGAGCTCGGGGTTGCCAAAGTAGTAACCGGCAGTCTGGGCCTTCTTGGAGAAGGTGACCATATCGGGAGGCGTAGGGAGGTCCCAGTGGTCGTGAGCCCAGAACTTGCCAGTGGCACCGACACCAGTCTGGACCTCATCGACAATCATGAGAACGCCGTGCTTCTGGGTAACCTCGCGCAGGCCGCGGAAGAAGGCGGGGGAGGCGTGGTTGTCACCACCCTCGGACTGGATAGGCTCGACAATAACGGCGGCCGGGGGCAAGTGCCAGTTCTTGATCAGGTGCTCAACCTCTGCAAGGGCGTCGGCCTCGGCCTTGGCGTTCTCCTCGACGTGCTCCTCAAGGGGGTACTTGAGCTGAGGGAAAGTGGCCTGAGGCCAGTCGAAGGCGGGAATGTCGAGCTTGTGAATGGGCTTGGAGCGGGTGGTGGAGAGGGATCCAAACAGACGACCGTGGAAACCAGTCTTGAAGGACAGGATGGAGAGCTGAGAGGCACCAGGGGACTGGTTGTTCATGGCCGATTCCATCTCCTCCTCAGTAAACTCGACGGCAGGACCACCTCGCTCCTTTTGCCGCCTCCACATGAAAGCGGCCTTGTATGCAGTCTCGTTGGCATCGGAACCGGCCATGGCGGTGAAGACCTGGTTCAGACCCTTGGGGGCAACCTTGAGGATACCGGTCTCGAGGACGGACGCCCAGTCGTGCGAGGGGAAGTTGCCCAGGGCGGGACGGTTGATGATGGAGTTGACCATTTCGGGGCTCTGGGCAGCCTTGACGAGAGCTGGGTTGTTGTAACCGACCGGAATCGAGGCAATCTGGGCGTAGCTGATCTCTACAGTCAGTCATTGGAGTGTTGTGTGAGAGGCTTATTTTGGTGCCATTGCCACTTACACATCAAGGAGCGTGTTGCCATCGGGGTCGACAATGTAGTTTCCGAAACTCTTGGTGTAGTCGGCGAGCATGTTCAAGCTGCGGGTATCAAAGACCGTGTCCAGCTTGGTGATAGCCTCCTGAGACTTGGGGCCCGGAATGTCAGTCTTGACCACGGGGCCCTGAGCTTCGCCCTGGTAGTAGGACGAGACCATTCTGCTGGAGGATACTGCGAGGGTCTGTCTGAGAGTTGAAGGAGCAGCAATTCGCTTGCTGGCAGCCAGAATTGGCCGCATACCGGCAGCACGAAGAGACGCCATCTTTGCTTTTATGCGTACAGCAGATCGTTTGCTGGGACACTAACTGATGAGGCGGGAAAGCAAGCGCAAGCCAATTTCTTGACTTGCTCCTACTAGATACAATTATGAATCTCCTTCACAAAAGGAAGGGTCCACGAATGTAGGTGATGGCTAGTAGCAATTAAGTTCTAACCAACAAGACCTGTGGTGTGTAATACCAACCCACGATCCAATGGAAGGGGGAGTGGGAGGTAATGAGAAGTAAGAAAAGGATAATATAGTATAAGTGTAAAAGCTATGGAGCTTAGGTACAGTTGGAGCCAAGAAGGAGGGTTGCTTGCAGACTGGGCTATCGTCAGCCTCTTTAAAGAAAAAAGCTTGGGCAACCACCAGCAGGGAACGTGGACATGAATTGATTGTCAATTGAAAGACGACACAGCTTGGAGGGGACTGTAGCTTTTTGCGGGGAGCTGACAGTGACGTCTCATTGGCGAGATCCAGCGATCTTCGGGGTTGGGTGGCACGCCCACAGGGGTCCAGCAAGTGACGAAAGGTTCAAGGTTGGTTAGGTTTCTGGCGGGGGAGGCGGCCAGTGAGCAATTGGCTTAATGCAACAGCCTCTGTCATGGACTCTTTGCCCGACCTAGGAAAAGCTGCAGAGGCGAGCCAGCAGGCGAACAACCTCCCACGCGCACCGGCTTCTACTACACTCACTACATTGCTGACCCCATGACCATAGTGTGTAACCAAGCTAAACGGCGTGAAGGGAAACGCTGCCGCATATGCTTTCCTAATTGAAATTCCCCAATTGGCGCTGCCTGCATACTCACGCCTTGATCCAAAACAAAGATCCCCTCGGAATCAAATCCATCGCTCTGTTGGAATCATGGATGATGCAGCCAGCCGAGCCAGCCAGCCAGCCAGCGCTCGCTCGCTCGCTCACTCACCTCACTTCTTGTTGCACATGCCGGCACGTCGATAACGTTCAGATAACAACCACCTCTACAAATCTCCACCTGTCTCGCCTCTAGGCGGAAAGCGGAAAGTCTACGCGGTGACCACCCTCGACATGTTCGACATGTCCCCAGAATATGGCGGGGGTTGTTGTTCAGATGCGATAAGGCTAATGGTAGGAGAGATCCGAGCTCCGGCTCGCTGGTTCCTAAAATGCTGCTTGCCATTGTTCGGGAGCACTGCGAATAATAATAATAAAGCAAGCCGAAGCCGAAGACACCGATGTCGCTGTTGGATGAGATATAGATATCACTCTTTTTTTTCTTCGTTTCTCTATGCTCGGTTCGCGCCGATAGTATATTGGCGGAATCGGGAAGGTTCTCGCGGTCTAGACCGTTTTGGTCATGCCATTTTGTCTCTTCATCTCCAATTCATCAATTACTATTGTTTGCATTATGGGACGACCACCTTTGGTTGATCATTCTGCCTGTCAATCTGTGGAAAGATATGGAGTCTCTGGTTCGCAGACTAATACCCCGAGCCCAGCTGATGAAGAGCTTCGACCTGTCTTACAGTACATACATACACTAATAGGCCGACGGGCCTTTTTGAGCAACCATATCATCGATCTTGACATGCTCTGCTCAAGCATAGTCCTCACGATCGCTCCACCCCGGTTGCAGATATTCCCAGTTTTGGTTGAAATCAAAGCTGGTCTGATACTGGCCGTAGCTAAACAGCGTGATCCCATCCAGCTTTGCGCCGGCATCTGTCTGCGCCCAGAGGCTTATGGCGAGCCTGTTGGTTCCCCGATTGTTGATAACACCCGGCGGGACAGGGAATCGTGTCTGCGGCCCAAGATGAGGGACATATTTGCCGTACTGATATCCATTGACCCAGAGCATCACTCGAGCGACGGTACCTTCCGGCGCCGTGAACTCGAAACCAAGTGGCACATCCAGATCCTCGTCAATATACAGGTCAAAGTCGGTCGTGTAGAAGGCGATTCCGGACTGGCTCAGACCCTCGTATGGACTGGAGTCGCTAAAGTCTTGCGACGATGACACTGTGTCGAAGCCTGGTAGGAACCAACCTAGACGCTCACCATACAGGCCGCCCTCGTTCATGGGACCACGAACCGGGTCGATATTGTCTGGTCCTCCCGCATTTCCTGCAATTTTCCACAGCTTGAATCCGGTGTTTGTCGAAGTGCCACTGGGCAGCAGGTAGGCACCTAGAATACCACGAGGATTCTCGACCCCCTTTGCAGTTGAAGTCTCATCGTGTCCATGGTAATCCACCACGACTGTGAGGACATTGTCCGTGGCCTTGAGCGCCGACAATGGCAGCGAAAGGTTGGCTGCGATGTTTGTGAGGGTGCCGTTGCCTTCGTGGCCGCCAATGAGCTGACCGTTCAGCCAAGCATTCCAGCCAAACCCGAGACCGCCCGATGTAGAAATGTATACCGTGCTAGAGTTTGCGCCGTCAAAGTAGCCTCTGTATACCTTGGCCCCAGCATAGTAGCCATAGTCGGAAGCAAACAGAACAGGCAACGACTCTGGTGCTACTGGGCTCAGAGTCGAGTTCTTGTCGCATACGGTCCACTTGGAATCGTCATAGTCAGAGGCAACCTCTGGCAGCGAGTCTGCCGATGCCCAGTTTGTCAAAGACGGAAGCTCAATTGTCCTTGATTCTGCGCCAGTGATTTCGGCGATGTAGGAGCCATAGGTTGTGCGATTGGCTCTCAGATGCTGTCCATTCCATTGAATTGATTCAATAGGCTTCCCGGTGTAGACCTCAATGGTGGTCGAGTTGTCATTGTCACCGTGCACAACAAGCTGTCTGCCCCTCAATGATGCATCTCTTACCAGATATGGCCCAATGACGAATATCTGTTGATCCGGACGGACCGCTGGGCTCAATGTTGTTGGTGGTGCCCAAAATCTCCATGCAGTCGACTGTTCTAGAAGATACACCAAAACACCATTTGAGAACTTGACCGCTGTCGTGCCAGCAGCTTGCGTATAGGTAAAGGCGTTCCTGGTGGTATTGGTCTGGGCTGTAAACCCGCTGTCGCCATAGACCTTGTACGTCAGACTATGGTTGCCCTTGAGCGCAAACTCGCCCGTCTGCCCTTCCTTTAGGTACATGACCAGCACATCAGCGTCGTCAAACACACCGTGCACGGCAACGTCGGCGGACGCATAGAGGAGACTGTGTCGGCCAAAGTTGTAGTCGGTGACGAGAATCTTGCTCTGCCTTCCGTGGAGCTCCACGGTTGGGACCGTCACGGTCCCGGCGCTGGTATCGAGGTCCACGGCAAAGGATACGTTTGTCATGGATTTTGTGCTGGCTTGCTGGACTACGGTGAAGGTTGCCCCTGACTCGGGATTCCGCAGGACCCAGCTGAAACCGGCAGTGGACGAAAGCTATTTTATGTCAGATTAAGTTTGTGGTTCCATTAGACTTGTCCAACTGCATTTACCTTGTATCCAGTGCCATTTCCAGCCATCTCTGTCTCTAGTAGATCTGGTGATACCCTTGTAAAGAGTCCAATGAGCTTGGTCTGGAACAATTTATCCCACTGCTGACGGGTCTCGCGCAGTGGCGCACTGTAGTCGTAGCTGGTATAGACAACAGGAGCAGCCGCTAGAAGTATGTTAGAAACCAGGAATCAAGAAATATGATAGAATCATACAGTGTCCCCAATTGGTTCCACCCCACGTCATGTAAATATTGTGCAGCGTGACGCGTTGTCCGATCTAGATTCAGTGAGCATAGACCACGGTATCGTTGGTAGACGTTGATACTCACGTTGTTCTTGTAGTACACATCTGGGAAAGCCGGATCGTGCTCGGAAGTACACTGTTTGTGTAAGCAAGTGAACAGACATTGTTCAGCATTGAACTGACCTCATCATAAAAGGTGTCACTTCCCCAAGCTGAAAACCAGCCACCTTCAAACTCGGGTAGATACTCTGGCTGAGTATACGAGTAGTTCTGGAACCATTGGTAATAAGTCCTGACCACATTGAAGCCAGTCTCGACGTTGGTGCAAGAGAGACCGCCCGGATAGCTGTCGAGTCCATACACATCGACGGCACCACCGACATCTTGATAGTCGACGGACCAAGACTGAGACCGCATGCCCTTTTCATTGTGTGTAAAAGGCACAATGACACCGGCATCCCGGAACGCCTCTTCAATCTGCTCCATGTGCAGCACTTGGGTAGCGTTGGGAGAATGGTTCGTTTCTTGATACTCGTTCTCAATCTGGTTGAGAATCACAGTCTAGCAGATAAATGTGAGTATACAACTTTCGTGGGCAAGACTTCGTGGTTGACGGGAGACTTACACCGCCTTCGGTAATCTGGTTCGCAGCAATGATTTCCCCAATCTTTGTCACCCATGGAAGCCATGCCTGGTGATAGGTCTCATCGGCGGTTCTGAGGCTACCGAGACTGCCGTCTGAACCCCAAAGAGCAAGACCGCCTCCGCTTGTTTCGGCCTGCATTGCTTCAGCATTTTATGCATCTTTAACTCGTATACCAAGAAACGTACATTGCAATAGGGGCCGGCTCTCGTGATGACCCATAGCCCAGCTTCTTTGGCATAGTCGAAGAGCCTCTGAACATTCTTTCCGGCTGTCTCAAAGTCATAGGTATCAGGATTCGGGCTGTGGTAGGACCAGAAGAAGTATACACTGGTTCAATCAGTATATGGATACAAGTTGGTTATGTGCATTGGATTTACCTAATAGCATTAAATCCGTTTGCCTTGAATTTTTGCAGAATATCCTGGAGACGAAATATTGGTAAAACGTTCCCTCAACATATTGAGACAGAATATCTCACAGGCCACAATTCCGGAACGGGCATTCGCTGGTAGTGGAATTCGGCAGAGCTATCATTTGAATACAGTCAACCAGACTAGTACATGAGATTTGACTTGGAGCACTGACTAAATATAAGTTCTCTGGCCATTGACACTCAAGCTGAACTTGTCCCACGTCACGGCTTCAGTCAGGTTGTTGGATGTGCAGACTGCTCCGTACGCAAGCCCGAGGGCGGCCGCGAGAGCCTTTACCAGACGCATGATGCAATGATTCTCAAGCAAAAGACGACGTCCTCAAGCAACATGTCATCTAATTCTTCCCTTTCGCATGGACAAAGGCTGGAATTTATTTCACACCATCACATCACTGTAAGAAAGACAGATCTCGTTCATTGATCGCCACCTGACAATATTTGCCATGCAGGAGGCGGCTCCGCGGGACCAACATTGCAGCATCGTGAACGAGTGGAGAATCACGGCAGAAAATGAACGCTGCTCTCATAGAAAATTCCGGCAATCAGGACGCGTCGTTTCTGGAAGCGCACTCATTGTGCCTAATGACAACCATGGAACCATCATCGATACCCCGCAGACCAGCTACGTGCGCAACATGGTGCATCTGAGAATATACCCATGCGTCCTAAAAAATTCGGAGAATGCCTGCCAAATACCAAAGAAGTGGTTTCCCGCGGCCATTGGGTTCTTGGCTCTGAAAAGGCGCGAAAGTCCGGAATTTCTCATTCGGGCACACGGGATATTTTCATCTGTCAATGACTCTAGACTGTCTTTGCTCGGCGCCGCGCGAATGATGGTCCGACCATGCCCGCAGACCCGGCTTCTTTCGCCATTATAACGAGCGTTGCGCTCATTTTACCAAGAGATGAAAGGACTCGTCATATAATGGCACACTTGACCACACACACACACACCTCTTCACATGCTAATATATTCGCTGCTTCAGCACAGTCAACCCTTTTTGCAGGAGGGCTCCTGTCATGTTTTATACCCTGCAGCCGCCGCCCATGCCCAGCTCTTGCTCTCGAGTCGAGATTGGCGCACGGTTGACCGACGATAAGAAGCAACGTGTTACCCCAGACCGAGTTACATGGGAAATACCGGGCAACGGAGATCACTGAGTAGCATTTCCCAATTTCTGGGTTTTCTTTAGACAGCAGGGCAACAAAAGAAGTCGTTTGGAAGTGGAGACATATCAGGGCAATACTAATGACTACCGAGAAGGTCGTCTGGTTCCAGTTTTGACCAAAAAAGAAGACCAATCTCGGGAATGACGACATGGGCAATTTCACTACGGTCGGTTCCTGCATTGGTGTTGCCCTGTGCCCCATTGTTCCAAGGCCTGAAGTCGAGCCGAGAAAGTCTAGAGCGCGACGGAATAGAGTTTTGTCCAGTCACAGGAAAAAAAAAACTGTAAACTATATTCCGCTTTTGCGATATATATCGCAGTTCGCTTACACGAGAGAGGGCAAGAAATTGCCGCAACATGTAATAGTCAAACTCAGTCTTGAAGAAAAGAATACAAGTCGGAAGCCACCCGATGAGTATCTGTCTGTGATCTCGTAAGCCAATGCCGGATGGGCACATGTAAACGGACTGAACATCTCCACACCAATCTACTAACAATACTCTATATTAACGCCTGTGTAATGTGACAAGGAAGATGGCATCTTTTACCGGCCGCTTCTTCACATTTCACATTGCCCCCATAGGTTCGCGCGAGGTGGATTTCCAAGACAAGCATCGGGCCTGCAGATTTGGTGTCGTGTGAGGTCATTTTTTTTTTTTTTTTGGTTATTCTTCTTCAGCAAGCAAATAGAAAAATATGTGTCTCCATTGTAAGGCATCATCAACATGACGACAATGGGGCCGGTTAGAAAGCAAAAAAGTTCGCTCGTATCGGACAATAGGCCACGAAGCTCGCGGGTCAAGATGCTCTACTAGGAAGCTAGAAGGTCTTTCATTACCTTCTAGCTGGGTTAGCAGCTCTTGACGGCCCGGCTAGCTGGGCTGGTTGCTGGGCAGGAAGGGGGAATGTAGGCAGCGTGGCAGGCAGACACCTGGAAGTCGTGTGCTGCGCGCATGAAACGGGCAGGCTCGTGGTCATTTTAGCGTCCTAGTCGTTAGCTGAGCGAGATGAGGATATCATGCTTGTGCCGAAAGAAAAAAAAAAAACACTATGGCTACTGCTGGGCATCTGCTGCGCTGGCTAGTCTGCGGCGCGGGGTCTCTTCGCTTATGAGCGAGAAAAGGTCAAGAAAGAGTGGGTTTCCAACGACCTCTTTACTTATGGGCGGTGCAGAGCTAGACATGGGAATTTTTACATTCGTGAATATACACTCCAACTTCACACGGCTAACAGTCTACCCAAAAAAATTGAAAAAAGATGATTCGAAAAGTGTGACCTTGACGTGCTATTATAATTTAATATTCCTTTTTTTCTGCTTCAAAATCGGTTCATTCGCTGATGTTCTGTGGTATTGAAAAACGACCATTTTGGTGACGAGTGTAAAAATTCCAATGTCAAGGGGGTGCGGTGCGAACACTAGAGAGCGTTGTCCATCAATTGCGGCTGCTCCGTTAGTCCCGCTGGAGATCCTCATAGGATCTGCTTATTTCCATGTCACGGGCCCGGAAAGTGAAGATTCACTGATGATGAAGAATACTCCATTTCACCAAGTCAACAGACATCTCGCTTCCAAGCCAAGGTTTACGCTGCCTGTGCATCTCGGAGCAGCAGGCAGCGCAGCGTTTGCTTCTCCACTGTGTAGTTGGTATTCCGGGATCCGGGATTCCAACTGCAAGGTCCCACTGCCGATGCGATCTCCATCGGTAAGCAAGAGCACATCATTTCCCAAAATTGCAGCTCGATCCCATCTTTGCACATCATTGTCATGATCCATAACGTTCCAGACTTAAAGATCGTTGCTGCTATGTATAAATTTTCTTCCGAAGATCCGTGATGCTGTATGTAATGGAAATCAGAACAAGGAAAAAATAAACAAATCTACTGCCATAGGTATCACCCATATGTTACCAGTTTTTGTTTTCTAGCTGATTGAATGAACGGCTATTGGTCAATCGATAGCTACACTCGGGATTTGTTATGTCATCAGCGTTTGGCAAGATTCTCATAGAATTGCAGGCAAAGGTACAGTACATGAGGTGTTGGGCAGTGCAATTGAGGAATTACTACGGATATAGGGCATTTGGTAGCGTAGGTGTAGGGCAGAGCGGTTGGAAAGGGCGGTGCTTTTGGTGGCTTCGCGCCGCAATTAGCCCTCGAGGGAGTACGTACGGTGGAAAAGCAAGCATATGCACACAAACGAGCAATCAAACAAGATTGGGGATACGATGGATGACCAGATCAAGAGAATTCTCCTTTTTCCAGGTACGAGCCTCTTGGGCTCACTCCGGATTGGGATGATCTACGATGAGGCTGTCCATCCCCTCAACGATCAAGCTTGAAAACGAGGCCCAGCTATCGCGGCGGACGGATGGGGAAGTTTTGACATGATTGATATAACAGACAGGCTATATCAGACATCTCGAGAGTGATACTGGGCAGGTCTAGAAGACGGTTATTTATCACGAGGCGGTTGAACGTTGGTGTCCGTCTCCCTCGTGGCGCCCAAAAATGGGCAAGAAAATCAGAAACGGCTTCAATTGCAACAATTCAGACAAGGAAGCAGCCATGCACGAACCGTCAAAAGTTGGGATTCTGGCAGGGAGCTTCCCAGAAGCCCCCTCAGGTGAGAATGCCAGTGAGGCGAAGATGGAGCATGAGCAAGCTGCAGCGGACATGCATTGGAAGTCAGCCCGGAAGTCAGCAGGCTGTGCCATTTACACAGTAAGATGAGCTCAAAGCACTGGCTTGAAGCCCTGGGAGCCAATCAAATATCACAGGTACCTGGAACTGGGCGCAATTGCATGCAAGGGCCCGTTGCTCGCTATTCGGGGAAAAAGAAGCAGTCAGCTTACCTCGTAGAAGTTAGCACGCACGGGCATTTTGATGGAGAAGAGAAGGAATAGGAGGGGAAAGAGGAGGAGAGGAGAGGACTGTTGCTGCCCTGCCCTCCCAAAATACACGTCGTACCCTACTACTGACCTAGTAGAATGTAGTATAGGCCACAGCGCGCAGGGCAGCATTTCGAAAGACACCGGCGTCTCAGAATTGGTGCTAGTCTGAACATGGACGATGTGACGTCCATTCTTGTCCGGAAGTCTTCCGAAATGGACAACACATCTCCTGAATCAACTAGCAACTCTGCACAGAGCCTTGGAGTGTCCAAGCAGCTCTCTTTCTGGTATTCAGGTTTATCCAATTCGTCTCCTTCTAGAATTATATCAGAAACGAGGTAAGGGGGAGGAGGAAGAGAATCTATTGGTCTCTACGAAAGCAATGTTTCAAAGTCTGTTCATCCAGGACCAGCCAGTCGAGTGCTACTGCTCCAGCCTCCAGGGCCAAGCCCGTCCCACTGACCAGGTACCTGCGAGCGACTACCGGGCCTACCAAAACACAACCCTGTCTCGGGATGCCATCTTGCTTTTTTAACATTGTGGGTGGCAGAATCTATTCATCCGTAGCTGAACTCTGATTTACTATTCCTCTTGGGTGTCTCTCTTTTTTTTTTTTCTCCGCGCTGCTGGGCGGGTTATGACAGCCAGTATTGCTATTAACCCATGAACCATAACAGGGAAATGGGGTTACTGGGACCACCCAGTCTATACCAATGCCTCGATATACCTTGCCAAGTAAGTAATTAAGACTGGTTGTCTGGAGCCGGTGGATTTCACTAGACTAGAACAAAATAAAAACAAAGCAAAAAAACACAATCTCTCGATCGTGAGAGCAATCGCAAGAATCGTATGCTTCATTTGCATCAGAGGATGAGGAGAAACGGAAAAAGCAAGCAGTCACAATGCTTCATGGTATGACTCTCCATATTGCAGGAGGTGATGCATGCATATGGCGCACGTACATAAGCATACATGTGCAATCCCATCTATTTTCCTCAGACAGCACGGCAGATCAACCATGCATGCACAGGGGAGTAGCTGACAAGAAAAGAACCCAGCACCTCATCCTGTGTGACTTGGTAATACCACTCACCACTAGCATAGCAGCTGAAGACAGCAGCAGAAGCAGACAGATACCGTGCACGCAGAAGAATATGGCTATGGCTTCACTGTTGGTTTGGGCTACATTTAGTATTTACAGCCTACAATAGTACCCAAGGGCACAGAAGATGAGGCAGCACTAACAAAATAGACTGCCGCAAAAGCGCTGCTGCTATTCATACTGCACGGATATCCTGGATCAGCCAAAGCCCAGACCAGGCCACGCCCGCCCGCGCAAGGACGTGGATGAGCATTGCTCTCGTAACAGCTGGAGAAACCAAGTCCATGATGAGCTACATGGCTAGCTCGATCGTAGTGTAGCCCACAACAAACAAAACAGCCAGATGGGGATCCAGGAGCCTATGGAGTCCCCGTTGTGGAACCATTCTTACGGACCCTGACTATAATCGGAGCACAATAAGTGTCGTCTAATACTGCTACAGTAGTGTGCTTGCGCCTGCTGCTTGAGGGGGAACCTGGCTTCCTTGCAAGACCTGCGTCGAAAATTTGCTGTCTTGTTCTCGCACGGCCACTTGGCTGTCCTGTACATAGGATCATAAAGATCCTACCGGGCCCGAGCCAGAGGTTGTAAACGTTTGGAATGGTTTTCCCTCTCTTTCTCGTCACCTTTCACCCTTTCGTGTGCTAGGCCGGTTCAGCAGTCATCAGTTCCTTCGAGCCTTGACCAGTCATAGGTTGAATCCAAAGACTTGGTCCAAGCCTCTCAATTTCAAACAAACATTCTTTTTTTTTTTTTGAGGTTTTAAGTCTTTTCCTGAATACCTACTCGACCATTCCTATCTCTCGCTTGGGGATCTGTTATTGCCGGGGAGTGCAATAGCAACGCCACTTTAGGCTCGGACCAGTCACCAGTCTCAGGGAGCAAACTCAATTGCAAGTCGTCGAGATTAGCCACCTGCCCTAGACGCTGTTTGCTGCGCCTCTAGTCTCTCAAATAGCCCACCCAGTACCGAGTATATCCTACCCTGTACAACGTTGGCAAAAGGAAAGTCGAAGCTTGGGTGTAGCCAGGAAATAAGAAGACAAAGCAAAACGAATATAGGAGGAGCAAAGGAGGGAAAAGAAGAAGAAGAAACCGAGAGTATCTGCGTCACAAGTGCACCTATCATCAGTTGCCATCGCCTGTTCGGTACTGCACAGCTCATATCCCCCCAACACGCGACGCACATCAGATCGATCCAACCAATTGGCCCACCCACACGCGATCTCGTCTCTCGCTTCGGAAACTACAAACCTCATTGGTGATCTTCGTGGGATTGATTCCCTCAAACCACCAACGGCCTGGACCGCACAGCCGGAGAGGAGGGGGACCTTGCATAACACTCTGCAGGGTTGTTCATGCACGCAACATTAGCAGAACGCGATCTCACAGAAAACGCGTCTCTGTCAGACTTCCTGCTCAAAATAGGCTGAGGCCGCTGCTGGCATTCATTTTTGGACCCGACCGTGGCAAACAGAATTCATCTTCTCGAATCCTTCTCATCGTCCCAAATTTACCCGCACCTCGTCTATTCTTCACCCTCGCCTCTCTCTTTCATCGCTCCACTCTGGAACGGCCATTCTTTGCGACCCAGATTCAACGTTCGTTTGACACGGCTTGATAAGCTTTTCAGTTCATTCAACTATATCCACTCATTTTTTTTCTCTTCTATACCTGGTCTTGGAAAACCGCTCGGCTCGACTTGGCCTGGACCGTTTATCCGACCATACACCATCACTCTCTCCATCAGACTACTTACATACTCTCACTACACAGCACCAAACCTCAACATCTATGTCCGCAGAGTACAAACTGGCATCATTACAACTCATACAACTCAATCTCAGTCCAACCACAGTGAATTATATTCTAACCGAGCACTTCGCACAACAAATTGTCGCAAGTTTATCAATTCATCACGTCTTGAACACATCCTTGACTTGATCCCCGGGCCGCACCAATTTAGCCTTTTGGGGCCCACAAGGAATTGCCGATCTCAGATATACAAGAGATCTCATACTCGACTGATCCACAAGCGAATTGATTGTACGCAACAAATACCTTCACAACTTGATCATATCTATCGGATCTTTTCGACATCTTTTCCGAGTTACGGTCGCTGGCCACCCTCGTCCGTGGGCCGCGCGCCCATTGTCGTTAACTCGGAGAGACAATCCGCTCGACCGCCTGCGAGCACAGGAATAAGTCGGCGGAGGTTTCTACTGACACACCCGTGACAGTGAAATCATTACTACCTAACCAACAAAATGGCTATTTCGTGGGCTTTTCGGGCCATTGTCGGCATTGTGGCGCTGCTTACAACGGTGGCTGTCGTTGTGTTAGAAATCGCAAACGCCCAGACAAGGAGAAATGCAGCGACTGTGCAAACAACAGCAGCTGTGGCGACGACACTGGAAGGCTTGACATTGGTGGTCATGGCTGTACTCGTGTGCATGTCGTTCCGACACTCGACATATTATGGTCCCAGCAAGCTGAGTGCGATTTGGTTCCCCCTCTACGTGACGGGCGTTGTTCTTGCGACAGCCGCTTCAGTCGTTGCGCTGGTATTTGTCGACAAGGAGGAGAAGCCTGCCGAAATCCTCGGCACATCAAAAATGTCTTACCTGGTCGGCACATCGGTCGCCCTCGGCTTGGCTTTCACGTTCCAGCTGAGCTTTGTCATCATCTACTTCATGGGCAGCCGAGTACAGCATGACGAGAAGCAAGGGCTCTCTTCCCCGAGCGGGCGCTTCCTTCCTCAGATGCGCATGAAGTCGGTTCCCTATTCCCGGACTGCCGAGTCAGTCATCAAGCCTGCAGAAGTATGCTCATTCGATATGATGAGCCCTCCGGGCTCAAGCGGTGGTGAGACCATGAGATCTTCTCTGTCTCACAGAGTTCGACCAATGGACAGCAAGACAAGACTCCTGTCTACCCGATCAAGCCATTCCATCAAGTCGACGCCTTCAAAGAGGAGGGGTCGCGGTATGTCCTTTGACACCATGCCGGATGTCGAGGAGGGTTTCGATTCTTGGGATACGTCTTCCGTGGATACGCAAAACCGTCAAGTGCTTGACACCGCCATGCCCGCCGCGGACCGCTTCCTCGGTGCCCTGGAGACGATCCCTGCGAGTCCAACTGTGAGCAGAAGTTCGTCGCCTTACACGGCCGCAGACATTGAACCACCACAAGCTGCCATGCACAGAGCCCGTAGCTACTCCCCGGTACCTAGGCCTCCGCCCGCGCTGCACTCGTACGGATCGACTGGCGAATTGCACATCCACCCTCTCTTCCGCGCCGACAGCCCAACACCGCCTCCGGCAGCGACTCCCGGCACCTCGATCGTGGCTGCGCCTGAGGGATCGCGGACCCTTTCCGTCAAGAAGATCACGCGGATGCGCAGTGGCAGTCTGCCGACCACCTCGAGCCCACTCAGCCGCCAAGGCAGCATTGACAGCATGCGAAGCAAGCAGTCCGTCTCTCCCGGTGGCCGTCTCAGTCCCATCCCGATCGAACCGCCAGAGGAGAGGCAGATGACGCCGCCCCTGCCCGACTGGATACTCAATGCGGGCTCTCGAACCAGCCTTACAGACTACCACTTGCGGAAACAGCGCGAGAGGGATGGCACCGTGGACAGTGGCTTTGAGTCCACGTTTTGATTCTTGATGAAAGCACACAACAACCTTGCATAGTTCTCCTGCTTTCATGTGCACAGCATGTGCTCTTTTCTTTTCTTGTCCTTTTTCTCCCACACCTCTCAGTCCAAGACTATAGAGGCTCAATTGGGATGTGTTATGAAACGGTTGGGTGATACCACTTGTCTTTTTTCATTGTTATCTTTTCAAAGCGTGGCGTTTTACGTTCGTTGATCGGAAAAAAAGTGTAGACGAACTTGAGGAGGAACTTGGATCTCTGGCTAGGGGCGGAGTTGGTTCGAAACATGTTTCTTTTAACTTTTCGTCCCATTTACCTACTCCCTTGTATGACTGGGGTTTGTTGAAGGCTACCTACTACTGCCTGAGAAGTAGTGCTAAAAACTAAAACTTAAAACAAGTCAAATATAAATCAGTAAAATTTTTAAAACTATCAGCTCTTTTTTCTCTGCCGTGAAAATGATCCCTGGCGCAATTTGCAAATATGGTTATCAGTAAGCTCGTAGTGTTCGATGGATAATGGCTAGAGGCAAGTCTTGTTTATAAAAACATTTCATTAGCGTATACTCTTGCAACGACGTTGGAATCTACAAGCAGAGCAGTCATTCCGTCTTAGGTAAGAGGCATTATTCGGCCGATTGGAACAGCATACTCTGGCACACGAAGCGTAAATGAAGACGGTAGACCAAGTGGGACAAGGCAACTACCAAATCGGGGTGTTGTCGGTCTTGGGGATCTGTGACTGGCCGTAACCATAAATTCCCCGGACATCCATTTCTTGTCTGCAAGGTGCTTTTTTCTTCTGCAGGTCGCCATTCATGGATGCCGGAAAAGTTTCCAGGCTACGGAATCGAGAAGAAACCCTCAGCAAAAGTAAGCAGGGCCAGATCCCATTGTGTGAGACGGCGGCAGAGCCGGGTGGAAGCAAGCAAGCAGCAAATTACGGAATGCATAGAATGTGACACCAGTCAGGTATCAAGGTATCAATCAATGAGGAGTGAATGAATGGGGTTCATTGAATGCTATTAGGTAGTAGGCAGATCAATGTAAGGCAGGTAGGCGAATAGGTTAATACTATGCATGCATGTGTTTATTATTTTAACCTTGCGGCAGCCAATGAGCAGGTATAGATTCTCGTCCTCTTTCCCCACACTCCCCCCCTCCAGCGCCGGTGCACCTTCAAACGTTTGACTGCTGCCGCCCCGCCACGCCACCTTACTTACCTTGGAGGACAGGACAGGACAGGCTCCTTAGTAGGAAAGACAAGCGCCGCCTGGCCTAGCCCCGCGACACATCATAGCTGCTGCTACCTGGAATTCCCATCCATCCATCCACTCACTTGCAGGACTGAGGGCAGCGAGTGAGAGAGAGAAGAGAGAGGGCTGGTTCTGGGTCGGTTCCCAATCTTGTGACAAGGCAACGCCGCTTCCCATCGTCGTGACGACTACTACTACAACAACTACTCATCCCATCTTTTTCTTCACGGACCTCAACTCAACAACACATACCCACAAACGCAAACATCTGCTCGTCGCCTTTCCGCCCCGCCCCGCGCAAAGGTTTTGGACGCAAAGGTTTCCCAAAAACCTACCACGCTACATCATCCTCTTACTGACGACCCCAACCGAGGCTGGCGACCAAATAAATAAGCCCACTGATTGCATCGCCACCATCCACCACTCATCACACAGTTCCACATTGTCGACAGCCGCTTTTTGAAGCTGTCACCAGTCGCCCAAGATGAAGGTCACCTTCAAGGTACGCGATTACCCCGCCGACCGCTGCAGCTGGAGCTGCGCATCCCATTCTGTCGCTCCAATCTGCTAACTCTCGGCTCGCTACAGGATCTCAAGCAGCAGAAGTTCACACTCGATGTCGAACCCACCGACCTGGTATGTCATCATCTGGGCTTCATCACCGGCAAAAAAAGAACATAATCTCGCGCCTACAATGCCGCCCACCCTATCCACATGAAAGCCTTTACGCAAGGCAGGGGCTCGTCCGCTATTACGCTACGTCTATCACGGTTCCGGTAGCTAATGATACACCTTTCAACTAGGTATCCGCTGTGAAGCAGCGCATCTCGGAAGAGAAGGGCTGGGACCCCAAGGCCCAGAAGCTCATCTACTCTGGTGAGTGCCCTTGAATCGAACCTGGCCGAGTTGGTGGTTGTGCTGACTGTTTCTGCTTGTAGGCAAGATTCTCAAGGATGACGACACAGTCGAGTCCTACAAGATTGAGGAGAAAGGCTTCGTCGTTTGTATGGTGAACAAGGTATGAATGAGCGATACTTTCGCCGGTTTAGTGGAGAGACTTGAAGCTGAGCACTGCCGCTGACTGAATTGTATCATAGCCCAAGCCCGCACCCGCACCCGCCGCAGCTCCTGCTGCCTCATCCAGCACCGCAAATGTTCCTCAGACTCCAGCTTCAGCACGTACTGCAACGCCTGCCGCCCCTCCCGCGCCCGCTCATGGCAGCGCTGCTGCTGCCCCGCCCGCGACTCCCACTCCTGCTGGCGCCATTGCTTCAGAGCCTTCAGACAACTCGATGGCCATGGGAGCTGCCCGAGCCGAAGTTATTGCCAACATGGAGGCCATGGGTTTCGAGCGCACACAGATCGACGCTGCTATGCGCGCCGCCTTCTTCAACCCCGACCGGGCTGTGGAATATCTCTTGAATGTACGAAACCTCAAGTGCCTTTAGCTTTATATGGCCTATAATGCTAACATGCTCAATTTTAGGGTATTCCCGAGAGTGCCCAACAACCGGCTGCTGCCGCCCGAGCACCTTCCGCCCCAGCTCAGCCGGCCGCTGAGCCAGCCGCTCAAGGCGGTGATGACGACGGTGGTGTCAACCTCTTTGATCTTGCTGCACAAGCTGGACGTGGCGGCGGTTCAGGAGGCGCTGCTGCAGGTGCTGGCGCAGGCGCTGCTCAGGGCGCTCAAGGTGGACTTGGCAACCTCGACTTCCTACGTGGAAACGCTCAATTCCAGCAGCTCCGCCAGGTCGTTCAGCAGCAGCCTCAGATGCTGGAGCCTATCCTCCAGCAACTCGGTGCCGGTAACCCCCAGCTGGCTCAGCTTATTTCTGCGCACCCTGACCAGTTCCTCAACCTTCTCGGCGAGGATGCCGATGATGACGCTGCCCTGCCACCGGGAGCTCAGGCCATTAGTGTGACCGAAGAGGAACGCGAGGCTATCGAGAGAGTAAGTTTTGACTACTAGATAACATGTGGCTCATGAAGAATGTCTTGCTAACAGGCCATAGCTGTGCCGATTGGGTTTCACTCAGGACCAAGCTATCCAAGCGTACTTTGCATGTGATAAGAACGAGGAGCTAGCTGCCAATTTCTTGTTCGACCAGGGCGATGACTTGGACGACCCGCAGAACTAGAGGACCTGGAATCAACAAAACCGGGGTCGTTGCGACTGTTGCAATCCGCAGGTCCGTCGCTGCAAGCGATTGGGCGGCGGAACATGATATCCCTGCATTCACGACATCTTCATCCACTCCATATTGTTCACGTCGCCGGCATCACCACCGGCATAAACTCAAGAAGTGATGGTTCCTGGAAGGTAGGGGAAGAGAAGAAGCCGTGGAAATGAATATATTGAGGCTACCACCCTCTCCATGTCCCAGGAAAGAAAGAAGAGTCAGCATTATAGCTAAAAATGATATCTTGTGTCACCAACGCAATTTCACGATTGAATGACAGACCTGGTCTCTAGGAAAACCGAGGACATTTGACTCTTTTGGTTTTTCATAACTTTATGCGAAAGTCATGGATTCATAATAATCATCAACTTTTCTAGCTTCGTCTACTCCTATATTTCTCAGACTGCAAGCCTCTCGTCGTTGAAGTCAGGTAGTAACTAACCGTCCTTCTTTCCAGACCTCTGACGATTCCTGGATAGTCATTCAAAAGTTCTTTATGCCGCGCGATGCATAATATATACCTCGAAGCCCTGGTCGGTTGTGGATCCTCCCCATCTCTACGTTAATGTATTCGGTATTCCTTCAACCCCCATCTCAGTTTTTGCATAGAAGCAATTAGCGTAAGTGCTTTCTCCAGGTCGTATTGCGAGCTCAGATGTTCAAGATTACACCACAAGCTGTCATGTCGTAGAAATCAAGATTCTTCTGCCCGCGCCCGAGCCGTCCAACAAGTGTGGACCTCTAAGAGTGCCATTGTGAGTTGCACTGTTTCGAATTGATAATCGAGATATCATTTTCTGAAGCTCCAAGAGTATGAAATGGCCGTTGCGTACATATGTTGAGCTACAATAGACGCTCGGCTAGTATCACGCACCTGCACCAACCCTCAGTTTTGTAAAGTCATATTCATGTAGATAGAATGAGACTCTTCTAGATTTAACCTGGCAGTACCAAGTTGCAGATCCGACTACAGTTACAAACCTCTGGTGTAGATCCGGATGACTGGCCGTCAGCTGAGGATTGGAACTACTCACTGGGAGCTACTTGTACATGAAAGAGTTGATCATAGTTTGGAGCTAGCGACAAGCAGTCGAGAGTTGTCTGCCAACACCTTTGCCGCCTCCTCGATCATGTCCTCTACGATTTGTTTTGCTGGGAGCTTCTTATCAACCACGGCCGCTACTTTTCCCATCAATATCGGCATTTCTTGGATGGAATCATCGTCTGGACGCTGCTCGCGATCGTGCTGAGCAGCAATGATGCCCTTGGCTTCCAGGCGCTTCATCTCCGCCTTGCGCTCCTCTTCCCACTGAAGTAGGTATGGCGTCGCCAGAGAGTGTAGCGGTCGGCCGGTGAATATGGTTGATCGTACGACTTGGCCATGCTGGGCGTTGCGCACCTGTTCCTGGTGCCACTCGGTCGAGCCGGACTCGTCACAGAGAATGAATCGGGTGCCGACCCAAACGGCGTCGGCCCCCAAGGCCAGCGCGCTTGCCAGCGATCGCCCATTGTATATTCCACCACCCGCGAGCAGCATCACGGGCTTCTTTGTATGCGGACTGGTAAAGTCTCGGATTGCCTCCTTGACGGTCGGGATCAAGACGGATGTCGGAATATCTCCAGTGTGTCCTCCCGCCTCGCCACCCGTCGCACAGACGAGGTCGGCGCCAAGCTTGGCTGCTGCGACGGCATGTTTGGGTGCGCCGCACATGTTCATGTACAGGACGCCCGCGGCATGAAGCTTTTTCACGACGTCGACCGGGGGAACGCCTATAGCACATACGAAGAGGGCGGTCTTCTTTTCAATCATGATGTCGACACATTTGTCCAAGTTGCCATGGAGGTAATCGTAGCTGAGGATTCACTGTTTCAGCATACAGTCACGGACTTTAGAGGAGGACTTCTCACTTTGTCTTGCGCGCACCTCCTCCGACTTTTGGAATCATGAGATCCACGCCAAACGGGGCATTCTTGTCCTTCAAGTGCGACTTGAGCTCGTCTATGGCTTCCGAAAGCTGTTTTGGGGTATAAGTGCCGCCGCCAATGACGCCGAGACCACCGGCATTGGTGACAGCAGCGGCCAGTCGCGGACTCGACGTGCCATTCATGCCCGCGAGTACAATGGGATGTTTGATACCCAGGAGCTCCGTGACTGGAGTCCTGATCTTTGGAGCTAGACAATAACATGTTAGCAGCGAATGAGCTGGATATTGGTCGACGACGTACCGAATTCAGACATGGCTAGTACTTTGATACTGCAAAACTTCTTGTCGTTCGTGACGATGGGAATTGCAGCATTCAGACGCACTCACATTTTGCTTTTCAGCGAGATGCCATCTCACCCATTGTACATACAATCATGTCTTACCTCGGCAAGTATGGTCATTATACTTTATAGCACGGTGACTATACCCTGCTGTGGATAGCTCGAGCGGGGTCAAAGAGACCCTAGACTGGCGTCAGCCCGTTAGTGCTTTATATAGATCTGTATTGAAGAACTTGGCACTGGGGATTACCCCTTGTTCTGCAAAAGGTGCTTGAAATGCCATGTCCGTCCAATTGGGGGGATGTATTTGCAATCACCTAGCACCGAAAAGTAGAGAGAGGAGTCAAAGTCAACCGGGGAGGATATCAATTTCCTAGGTTCATACACATACCCCATAGATCGCACGCCCGCTGACCTAGGTACGCATGCTGGTTATGCACCGAAAGTCCAATTGTCATGATATATTTCTAGCATGAGGAACCGCTAAATTAACCAGTGCAAGTATTAATGAATCGATAACCAAGTGCTTTTCCTCAAAAAGCTTATGAAGAACAGTTCAATATCCGCCAGTTGTTCAAGTACTTATTGGAATACGGTTAGCTGACGGCCACCCCTTGCTTTTCGCATTGCTGGACTGTGCCACGGTACGCAGCATGCATGAAGCTCCCCAGGTATTCTGTCTTGCCGAGGCTCATTATGGTGATCCCTCGCACCCAAGATTTTCTGTATTTCCGTGACCCTCATTGAACTGTGAGATTTGATCACACAGGCAAGAAAACCATATACTTTCCGCCTTACTTTCTAATACGTAGTGGGTATCACACACGCAATTGACAATGGCAGAAAACTTGTCTTCACCACCGCCGCCCTCGACATGCTTCCAGCTCAGCTTTCCGCGGCCCTTTGTGCTGCTCATCACCATTAACCGCGAATCCGCCATGAACTCGATACCGATGCGAGGGCACTGGGAAGGCCACGGTATTTTCGAGTGGTTTGACAAGGAACCGAGTCTGCGAGTGGCCATCGTGACGGGCAAGGGCTCGCGCAGCTTTTCTGCCGGCGCGGATCTCATTGAGCAGAGGAACAAGAATGTCGATGGTGGCGCGCGCAAGCCGACGGTGCCGCAGACGATGCCGCCCAGCGGCTTCATGGGCGTCAGTCGCCGGGTTGGCAAGAAGCCTGTTATTGCGGCTGTCAATGGGTATGCGCTGGGCGGTGGATTTGAAATCTGTCTTAATTGGTGAGTCAGCTCGATAAGGGAAACCGCCGGGTCATTGCATCCGGACGGGCTATGGGGAACTATTGCTGACGAACATCTCCCTCAAGCGACCTTGTAGTCGCGTCTCCCAGCGCAACATTTGGTCTACCAGAGGCGAAACGAGGTCTCTACGCCGCGGCAGGCGGCTTGCCCCGAGTAGCCAGAATCTTTGGCATGCAGCTCGCCAGCGAGATTGTCCTCGCCGACCGCGTCCTCTCGGCCGCCGAGGTGCAACACTTTGGCTTTGCGAGAATCTCCAAGTCCCCAGAGTCCCTCTTGGACGAAGCGCTGGACCTCGCCGACAGGGTGGGCACCTTGTCCCCCGATGCCGTCATTGTGAGCCGGGCTGGGCTCAGGCAAGCTTGGGAGACGGCCAGTGTTGAGAGGGCTGCGCAATTGACGCATGAGCGATTTGCAGATGGGCTCTTTAATGGAGAGAACTTGCTTATTGGATTGCAAGCATTTGCCAAGAAGGAAAAGCCAGTATGGGCTCCTTCAAAGCTTTGAGTTGGACATGTTATTGCATAAGATTCCCCATTCATTACATGTCTTTCTGGTTGAGATTTCATATATAGCCATGTAGCCCAAGCTCGAATTAAAGTGTCTTTTTCAATTATGAGTTGTCTTTTCAAGAATTCGTAATTGCATAGACAAGCCGTGAGGCAGATTTGGAGACCTAATATTTCCACAGGCTTGGTTTGATGGAGGGGAAAGGCCAGGGCGTGCAAATAGTCATTTGGGGTCGCTCAACCTGAATCCTGGACCAGTGCAGTATACGTTTGTCGGGGTATGAGTATCCCGAGGGCAAGTATATGAGTATTTAACTTGACGCCGAGCTCGCGTAGGCATGGCAAACCAAATACGTTTCATTCTTCAACCAATCGATTATCATGAGTGCACAAGTCTACAAATCCAAGCACATACCAGCCTCCGTGCCAGCCGAGACTTCTGTTTGGCAATTCCTGCTTCGTACCGACGTCGACGATATACCCAAAGACAAAGTGATCTGGCAGGAAGCCGAGCACCCAGAGCGCACCATCAATTATGGAGACGCACCGAATTTGTTTGCGCGTGGCGCTACCGGGCTTCAGCATGTTCTCGGGCTCAAGCCGCAAGACACGATTTTAATCTTGGGAATGAATGACCTGAACTGGGTAACGCTGGCTCATTCTGCCGTATGGGCAGGCATTGTTCCCGCGTAAACTTCTCCGCACCCTATTTCAGTTTCAAGTGGCTAATCGAGTACAACACAGCGGTGTAAACATTGTCGCCTCTGCGTACGAGCTGGTGCACTACATTACAGTGACCGAGTCCCGAGTGGTCTTTTGTGATTCATCGGCAATCGAAAAAGTTCAGGAGGGAATCGCCATGTTGCCCAAGAACATTGCCAAACCCACCGTGGTAGGCCTCGGTGAGCGAGGGTCATTATCGCTTGCTGTACGACGCTCCCTAGTGACATGACTGAGTTTTGGAACAAAACTAAGAAACAATTTGACAGTTCCCTCAAGACTTTGTAGGGGCAAAGGAGCCAATGCCGCCTGTGGATCTCAGCGGACAAGATAATGGCAAGTTTGTCGGCGGGATATGCTTCAGTTCGGGAACGAGCGGGAAACCAAAAGCCGTACTGCTGAGCCATCGGAATATCTTGGCATACATCTCGGGGTCTCGGACAACTGTTCCAGAGCATGTAAACTTCAAGGAAAGAGAGGTCTTTTATGCGCCATGTGAGCCCTCCAACGAAACTTCTCTTGACTCTGCAAAAACCATAGTTTACGCTTACTGACGCCATCAAGTGAGCCACATCTATGGGTTTATTGCAGCGCTCTTTGTCCCAGCTTTATCGGCGACGCAAATGGTGCTATTGCGAAAGTATAGTTTCCGGGATTACATCTCAGCTTGCGTCGCGACCAAAGCCACTGTTCTTCGCATGGTTCCCCCGACCGCTGTAGCCATGGCTAAAGATCCATGGGTAACGCAACAGGATCTCACCGGAATCCATACAATATACTGCTCTGGTGCAGTCCTACCCCCCGAGATCATTGCTCGCTTGGAACAGCTCATGCCGAAATCATCGATTACGCAAGGTTATGGGTCAGTCTATGCAAGATGATTGATTGAAAAGAAAAGGCCATGAGTGAGAACTGATGAAATTCAGAATGAGCGAAGCTACTATAACAATACTGAAAACGTCGTCAGCGAAACCGAAAGCTGGCAGCGTGGGAAGGCTGGTCTCTAATGCGTATGACCAACGTGCTCCCAGGATGGCTGATCGTTTTGCGAATACTGACGAGTTCATAGCGAGTTGAGAGTTGTTGATGACGACCTCAAGGATGTATCGCCCGGGTCTCAAGGCGAGATTCTCGTCCGAGGTCCTACCGTGTTCATGTAGGTCTAGGGTCGTAAGTCTATCTGTCAGTGTACGACTAATCATTGTCGATGCCCAGGGGCTACAAAAATAACCCAGAAGCGACAGCGGAAGCATTCCCCTTTCAAGATGGGTGGCTACGAACTGGAGATGTGGGACGTATTGATCAAGACGGCTTTGTCTATCTGACTGACCGCAAAAAGGACCTTATCAAGTTCAAAGGGTACAGTCAATCAAAACTAGACTACTTGCAATCGACATCGCTGATACATGAACTATTAAGGCTACAAGTCCCGCCAGCCGAGCTCGAGGATGTCCTCTTGTCCCATCCCCTTGTGACAGAGGCCGGCGTCTGTGCCACGTGGGACGATGCCCAAGGAACCGAGATACCGGTAGCGTACGTGAGCTTGGCCCTGACGGTAGCTCCTTCAGATCGGGATCGCGTTCTCGCCGAGGTCAGGGCGCACCATGATAAGCGTGTTGCACCTTACAAGAAGTTGCGTGGCGGGTTGTTCTATCTTTCGCCCCTACCCAGAAATCCCACAGGCAAACTTTTGCGGCGCGAACTGCCGGCGAGGAAGGAAGCCGGCGCAGCAGCACGTCAAGGTGCTTCACAGGAAAGAGCAAAACTATAATGTGACCCTAAGTCATGAAAAGCTCAAATCAAGTATAGATCCTGAGACACGATTTTGTGACTTGGAATGGTTTAAATGTGCTTTCAACAGTTGAGTAGCCCCAGAGCACAAAACGGTCTGCAACACACTTTAAGTCAGACGAACCATGCAAACCTGGCCAACAGGACACCAAGGTGGCTACTTCGATGATGACAGGAATACCTTCAGCTCCTATGTTGTCTGTGCTGGAATGAGAAGACGTTGAATGCAATCGAAATCTGCCTTGAAGAGTAGAAAATGTGCAATGTATCTGGTATCAATATACAAGAAGTAGGATGATCGAAGACGTCAGAAACGATCAAGCACAAGACAAGTACTTAGCACCTTCCATGGTCTCCGTGTGTGATGCTTTGTATCCTAACGAATACAGTGACAGCAGGGCATGGTGTTGGCTTTCTGGTCAACAGCGGAAATCGAAAGTTCAAGCTATCTCGTAGCCAGCAAACCCTCATTTGCGTCTATCTTGCATCCTGATCTTGGCCTCTTTACGCTGAAGTTCTCTTCGTCGTCTATGAGGACTCGGGTCAGACATCAACGAAGTATTTGCTGCATCTGTTGGAGGGCTCGACAGTGTTGATGGTCCAGTGACTGTTGTATTCCTGGTGCCAGACGTGGTTGTCTGCGTCGAAGAGGCTTCTTCAACAGGCTGACTTTGAGTGGAATGAGACGCAAGATTTATCAGAGGGCATGGAGGTCCTTGATTCAGAAATGGCTCTGGCAATGGTCCTCGAAGAGCTGTCCAGCCGCCGGTTCTTCTGCAGGCGCTTATTTGGCATTCCAATGATGAGTCCTCTTCCGTTAAGGTCGGGCAGATCCTCTAAGTTTCCTGGCATTTCTGGGTGCGGAACCTTTGACTTCCATCGTGACCACAACCGTCGTTTCTGCTGTTCCCCTTTGCGTTTCTGCATCTCTTCAGGGCCATCTCCTTGTTTCACTTGCAGAATTCGCTGCTGACATTTTATGATACGATCCCCTTGCTGATTTGCATATGGGCATCTAGAGTGAAATGTCTGTACTCCATCCAGGTACAGGTCATTGAGGATGCGCCACTGACCATTCACCTTGTTGCCGCGGCTGCCAGTAACCCATTCGATATCAGACCCTAGAACGGCCAAGATATCACGATCTTCGGGTACCGGACAATTCCAATGACAATGAACACAGATACCATTGGAAGATATCTCCGTTGGCTCCAATAAACTACCGAAATCTCTGCCGAAAAGAGTCGGGGCATCAATAGCGCGAGTCAGGCTGACCCAGCCTTCGGCATCATCCCTAAGAGTTATCTTCTTGGGCTTGATCGTTCGAGACACTCTTGCAATATCTCGAAAGTCATATCCTTCTAGCTGATTCCAAGGTGATAATCGTAGCTGGAAACCCGGGCTTTTATCCTTTGGGTCCGCTTGATTGTCCAGTATTTGCCAAAGGATGTGCATGATATCCTTCAAGATGTCTCCAAGGTGGATGTACGAGCTCGTCTCTGTGACCTTGGTTTCTGTCTCGTTCCTTGGGGTGAGGTTGATTTTGCGCCGAGCCCGAAGCCAAAGGTTGCTTTCTGTCTTCAACGTTTCGAATGCACGACCATCTTTGCCTTCCATCTCCTTGAGATCCTCCTGTCGCAGTAGGCCATCGAGTGATTCACCACTGTCAATGTTTGCGCGAATCAGGTGTAGCAGCACGCTTAGACCATCTGAGAGCCAGGCGGTCCGAGTACCAACGTCATGTAAAATGATGAAGCGCTCCTTCAAGTCTCGGAGTTCTTGACGAAAGTCTCCTTCTCTGGCGATGACTGGACCAAACTCCCTCCTCCCACGTGCGAAGGTGCTACCCACAGTGATGTAATATCCTGCTGATAGATTGACTTTTTCGAGAACAAAGCCAGAGTTTGCCTCTCGTTCACTAAGCAGCGATGGGCCAACGGCGTAGTTTGCCTCCATATCCCTTTGAGTTATGTGTTATTAGAGGCACTCTATCGAATCAGACGAGCCTGTGCGATTATTGGGACTTACCTATCTTTTGTTTGACATTCGCCGCCCATCCAACAATGTGTCGGGCTTGGTTAATCTGTCCTACATAAGCAAACGACTCCGTCTGCGATGTTGGGGGGATACGCTTGTCGGCAAATGATATTCGCGAGTTGCCATCTGTGCGTTCTAAATGCCAGAATATGCAATCATCATCGAGAGTCGACGGAAATAGGATGGTCGAGAATCCCTTTAAAAGCAAGCGTTCGCCAAAAGTCGTGAGTCGATCAGCTCCTGCCAGAGCCGCCATCATGTCTAGTGGGATTTCCAGTCCAGGTCTTTTGGATCTGCGCGGAGGGATTGGATAGCCATTTGCGATCATACGATGATGGAAAAGACTTTGCCAGCAGCTGCCACTTGAATCTTCAGGCGACAGTTCAAGCGGCTCGCTTATGAAGTTTACCGAGCAGTCTACTGTGCCAATGTGCTCAGGAGCGAAGCCAGGCGCTTTCGATGGCCTCTTCGATTCTTTGGTAGGAATGAACACTCCTGTGGGCTCAGCGACGATAAGTTTTGTATAAAGCTCATCAGTCGGTTGCTGTAGAGCAGCAGATAGCCATAAAAGTTGTTCAGTGACTTCAGCTAAGCCGTACTCTGTTCCGGTCGATTCTACCAAGACAGCCTCTCCGTCGATTTCCACTGAGATCTCCGTCTTGTCGGGCAAAATGTCTAGGGTAATTTAGCAAGTATACCCTATTTTGCAGTCTTTGACGGAAACAAAATTAAAGAACCTACGATGATGACTCCCTTTGGGGTCATGTACCAACTCATCCATAAGCTTACAGATATCAGGGCCTATAGAAGGCCAACATTGTTCCAAGTACTCTTGGCAGGGTAGCGCCTGAACATGAAGGCCGTCTCCTGACAGAGTAATAGTTCGACTCACGACAGAATTGAGATCTTGCTCCGCGTACTCTTGGTAGCCAATAAATCTCATGATGTCCCAATTGAGTCGCATTTTTACCGTGTAAATCGGCGGCTGTCTGCGTCGTTGGACCTTTGATGGTCTAGGAATCTGATTTGTTGATTGTGGTGTGCTCAGAAGTGTAAGAAGCCATTTTCTATGACTTTCCATTTGGATAGCCTGCACGTCTGCCATCGTGACCTGCCGTCGAATTGTGGATACGAGCCACTTGTAGGCCTCTGAAGCGCGTAGGGCCATATGGCCACGTGAAATTCTGTCCTCCAGAAAGTCTGGTTCCTCAGCTGGAATCTCTTCGGGAAGGTCTGCCATGGTTTCAATTGTTCTTTCTGCATTCCATTTTCTTATGTTCCCCTCATCCAGGTAGAATGCAGAAAATGTAGGATCGCCTCTACTGGACGAAATTTCTGTCCCTTGAGATGATATCTTATCGCTTTGAGAATACTTTTCTGGGTCGTCTCGTCTTTGGCAGATTTCGTTGGCAAGCCTCCTTTTCGTGATCGGTCAGTCTCAACTGTTTAAGCAGTGACTATAATCAACCTACTGATGATACTTATGCACAATGTACTTCATATCTTGGTGATCTTTATCCGCTTCCTCATGTCCCAATCTGATTGCAAATTCTTTGAGACGTTGAGAAAGCATTGGCGCAAATCCTTCTGCTGCCATGTCAAGAACATCAAAATCTTGGAGAAGTTCGTTCTGGAACATATTTGCGAATGTGTGTTCGGTGCCGGCTATACTTCCAGCGTCTGAATATAGATCATCAGATGACATTCGATCTTCTTCATTCAATGAGGATAATTGTGGCCCGGTGCTTGTCGGAGCCGTAGTAGTGTCTTGTGGAAATGAGCTGGAATGCATCTGAGACTGTGTTAACCCCGATGAGGTCATTGAAATCATGGATCCCGCAATATTTTCTGAATCGTTCTTGGTTTTCTTGTCAAATCCTTGTACGGATGACGGGCTTGAGGTTTTGACTGAATCTTCTGCAGCGATCTTGCGTTGCCTCAGGGACTGGGCAGGAGCAACTTTTAAGGAACCTCTAAAGAATTCTTCGAAGGGAAATGCTGGTATACGTCCATTGAGGATCTCCTCAAAGATGTACTTTAGCTGCGCGGCTGGCATGCGTAAATGCGGCTGTGACGATAGCATGTGGGTTTCAACAACATCGATGATGCTCGATGTGAGCTGGTCACGCGGTTCATGGCCCTTGATTTCCCTATGCATGTTTTTAACCGCGTTGAGCATTTCAATTCCATCATGGAAGCAGCCGCCGTAGCCGCTGCCTTTGAAGCCTTGGATAGTAGCAGCCTCCAATAAGCGTTTCTGATGGTACGCCGTTCTGCCATTTTGGCCAAAGAGGACCCACGCAGCTGCATCGCTTGTCATGTATCCGAGAGAAAAAATGTCGGCTTCGGCTGTGATCCTATTCGGCCCGCGGTGCAAATCAGGCTCATAGTGACTGAAATCAAGTGCCGCGTACCTCTGACGGCCTAGCCGATCCAAACCAAACATGTCTCGGTCATCTGAACGAACAGACTTCATATGGCTGTACTTGAAGTCGGCGATTTTGGGTTGGAACTGGTACCTCGAAACCTTTCCGGATCGACCCAGGAGGATATTCTCTGGTCTAATATCCTGGTGCACTATACGATAAATATCATCACGGCCGTAGGATGCTGTTACTTGGTGCATTTCGCGAACACCCTCAAAAAGGCCACTATAGCTTGTCCAAAAGTCGTGCACATCTTGCGAGGAAGCAGGCGGTGGTGTCTTTTGGAAGAATTCAAGCAAGTTGCCGCTGTCGACAAACTCGAGCACTAAATTGTACGTTTTGTTCTGTGCGAACGATCCGAAGAATTTGACGATATTATTTCTATTTCCTCTTGCGATGACAGTGAGTGCTTTGCGTTCATTGTCATACAGCTTTCGGCCGGATTTGCCAGTGTAGGTCTTGAGGACGTAAGTGTGACTCTGAGGTCCATGATCGGTCTTGGAGGATATCAGCATGGTTTAGTTTAGGTGGGGTTCTACCGCAGCTGCCCATCGACTTACCTGGGGTAGCTTATCACAGCTTGCGTCGACTTCCACCCGGAACACATTGCTGCCCGCTAGACAAGTCTTCTGAAGAAGAGGAAATATCTGCTGAGAATGTAATTCATGGCCATTCAATCGACTGGGTTTGAATATTAGGGGGCAGAAGCGCCATTGATTGGACAAGAAAGAGTCAAGCATGTCTTGGAAAGGGTCGGCGTCCGGCCAAGTGGCAGGGCGATGAGAGAGCGGTAAGTGGCCATCATAAATAAGCCGGCTAACGAGATCTGGAAAGTATTGAACACAATTACCGTATACAAGTATGGAAAATATCCGCAAGTACTTGTCCTTGATGATTTGCCGTGGCGTTTGCAAATTGTAGGCATCGACGACCTCGCTGATTCTCTGAGGGGTCCAAAACGCGACCAAAGCATCATATGGAACATATAGCTGATCCTGGCCGAACCCGTCCACACCGGTCCTTGACATAGATCCAACCTCAGCCGCGAAATCGACCTCTGGCGGCGTAGCGTACACATTGGCCTTTGCTGCCATTTGCGCAATGAGCACAAATATCAGCTTATGACTCGACAGGCTCCGGGTAATCTCAAGGCGACTTCACAGGTTGGATACAGGAGGACTCGGGCCAACCCGGCGGCCTCGGCAGCATCTTCGGGTGCGAAAAGCAACTGGCGACGGAACCCGGCGTTCGCAGTGGCGTTTGATGGGGGAGATCGCGACTTTTGTATAGTGGAAGGACGATACCGCATGGATTGGGGAAGTAGATGCTGGTAAGTATTGAAGCCAGCGACAATTGGGATCAGGTGGGGGGGAAAAGAGTAATGGCAGAGAGGGGTCTCTCTGGAAAAGGCGTTCGCTGGGATGCTGACGTGCGTTGGAACGTAACGGGGGATTGCCCAGCCGCAGATGGAACACCAGCATGCAGTACGGATGAACAAATGGAGGATAGGGCTGGAGGTGCGGGGGAAAAGAAAATAGCAAATAACGGCAGTGGAAAGGCGACTGCAAAGACACGGGGTTTACTGCTTCGACCAGTCCGTAGACAGCGGTCATATCCCACGAATAGTAGAAGGCAGCCAATCAGAGACGGTGAATGCGGCCGCTCAAACTTTGGTGGACTATGGACCTTGCAATTGAACTACATGCACTCGCGTGACTTGCAGGCGCAGCACTGCTGTTGCTCCGTGTCCGACTGTTCATTATGGAAGTGGCGAAGAGATGTGACAGCACATATTTCACTTTTGAGTCCAAGCTATTAGTAAAACTTGTCGTTTTCTGCCTTACTTTCAACCACATGCCATCTACACTGGTAAGTCAAATACGTATCAATGGCACAACGCAAAAGGTTGTATGCCTGAAAATGGTGACATGCTCAAAGCTTGCACAAATGTTGGGGGGACAGAATATTCACGAAAATCTTCAAACAAGTGAAAAGCTCCAATTAAGTGTTGATCTCGAGACGCGCGCACTGAGCCGTTGGGTATTTTGTCGCAAAATAAACCTTTTGTTGTTTTCCGCTGGTGAGTTGATCAGAAGACGGTGACTCAACCTAAGACAGCTCATCGACCCTATCAGTCTTTCTTGCGGCGTTGTGTATTTTTCCTCTGTCCACCTGAAGCAGTGTCAAGGTATGTTCTTGCGGAATTATCTTGATGGTCATGCTTTGTTTCATCAAACATGTCTGCCACAACTCTTGGAGGACTACGTCGGCGGTCTGTTGTATCGCGTTGGTCTGATAATCCCTTGTCGATACTATTAGAGTTCCGAGTTTCCTTGCCCTATTGAGATGTGCTGGGGCGTTTTCCTCCACTCGTATCGTTAGTTGGCACCGATAAAGCATTCTTTCTTTGCCTCTGTCGACCTGAAGCAGTGTCAAGATATGTTCTTACAAAATTATAAACCCACTCAGACTTGATTCTATCTGTATAAATGTGTCAGGTACTAAAAGAAGACCGACTAGTCAGCCCTGCTTTTAGCGTTATTAGCCATAAACCGGCTATAAATAGGGGCTCCCGCCCCTTACTTCTAGCAGGTTAGAGTTCAGTTTCGTCACGATACACCCTTATACTGCCCTCTGCGTTTTATCTTCTCTTTTGGAAAACAACAATGACAGAATGGCTGCCCCAACTCTTAGAGGACTAGGTCCGCGGTCCGCTGTGTCGTGTTGGTTCAACAGTCCCTTATCGGCGCTATTAGAGTTCTGTGTTTCTTGACTCTGTTGAGATGTGCCGGGCACGGATGAGGCATTCTTTCCTTGCTTGATATTCTTATCAGGCGCCGGGATAAGGACCGGGTACTTCGACATATCATCGAAGCTCATGTACTCTGGAGACTTTGTGGCCGTCACATCACCTTTCGTATAAAGTGCCCTTTGCAATGCTGTCATTATCTGTCCTCTGGGGCTGTCGGTTTGCTCCCATTGACAAGTAAACTCCTGTATGGTCTCATCAAGCCATTCTCGGCAACTGCAAGATCCATGTTGGCGTATGCAGTATAGACAGTAATGACATGACCTCACTACTTTGATTGGGTCGGAAAGTTGAAGGTCTTTCTGACCTTCTATACATGTGGCGCACTCGACAGGGTCTTTCCACACCACGGGAAACTTCTTGGTGACCTGGAGTGACCCCTCGCGCGGTTGGTGACCCTGGGGACATAACCAGGTCTTCTCCCGAGCCATTGTACGGACCCGAGCGAGCACTTCCCAAGCATAGAATGCATTTGCATTATACCGCAGGATCTGTCTCATTTGAGTCTCATCCCATGGCTCTGCGCAGCATTCTGGAATCGTATAGGCTGGAGACATCAATGACAGACCTATGTGCATGCGGAGGCAATTTTGACACCAATAGTGTCTGCATGGGACAACATCCGGAGTGGATCCTGCATTCCTTCCACACATTTTGCATGTTCGCCTAGAAAAGACCCAGCGGGTTTCTCTAAAACGGGGTTAACATTCTGGAGCTTACGTGAGTTTCCTGTAGATATGAAAGATACTCACCTCCTAGAGTCTTCACCGGCGGTTGATTTTGATACTTGACTAATGGCGTTGTTTGCTTTCACATTGATATCGTCGCCCACTACGGTCATTGTCGGATCTGTTGAATTACTCAAATCGATACCGGATGATTCTTTCGTCAATATCGCATTTTTTCTAAAAGAAATATCATTGCCACCTCTCTGCAAGTTCGCAGGACTCCTGATAGTCCTCGCTGGGTGGACGATGTTTTGAAATTCAGCTTGATGTGATTTCTCGGCCTCAAACTTGACTCCCGGATCCAATTGATGCGCTAGAGATTCATTTATTTTCCTGGTCTCGAGCACCAAGGGTGCATTGGCTGGAAGACCATCACGAAGCTCTACCTCTTTAGGGACATCGTGAACAGGGGTTTTCTGGTAATTCAATGGCCTAGGTGACTCGAAAGCAACTGTTTTCATCGTAGTATCCGTGTCAATGATATTCGTATCCACATTCGCGCTGACGGTTGTCGTAGTCATCTTCGTGGTGACACCTATAACTGGCACGTCAAGGGTATCTTGCCGAGTGGTTGAAAGGCCACCGCTACTAAGGCTCCAGTCCTTCGATGCTATAGAATCTTGGGCGTGGCTTGTGTGGATAGAGGCTGTGCTGCTCATACTTCTAGCGCTGGATTGAGAGGCATCGTCAGTCATGGTGTCCTGGTGATTTTCAACCATCCATGGATGGAGCGCGGCTTCTGCAACCGACAGCCGCTCATTTGGGTCCTTTTTCATGAGTGCAAGGATGAAATCTTCGGCTTCGGACGAGACACCGTTCTTGGCAAACTCATGTACAGGAAACGACGACATGCCGTGGGAAAATTGGAAAAGCCCATCGTAGTCTGAAAAAGCCAATTTGTTGGTGACGATTCTGTACACGACGGCGCCGAGTGACCACATGTCAACAGAAGATCCATATGAGCCACCTGAACGGAAAATTTCCGGGGCCATGAAAGCGACTGTGCCGCGTTGCGTGTGTAGTGAACTCATGCCGTGTTGCCGCCGCTTGCTGACACCGAAGTCTGTGATTTTGACGAACCAGTCTGGGCCAGTCGTGACGACCATGATATTCTTAGTAGAACATTAGATTTACTTCCTGTTATTTGCTGGTTTCTACGTACCCCTGGCTTGAGATCGCGATGCACGAAGCCATTATCGTGCATAAACGTCAATCCCTCCAAGACTTGCGAAGTAATTTGTCTTGCCTCGGGTTCTTTGAGCGCAGCGTGGAGATGCCTTTGTAAATCGCCATTCGAAAGATACTCCATGGATATAAAGATGGAATCTCCAAGCTCAAACCAGCCGTGTGATTGCACAAAGCAATGTGAATACTTGTAGAGTTATTAGCATATCCGTACGCCTTCGTATTATAGGTAAATACCTGGACAAGCTCTTACTTTCTGGTGTGAGAACTTTGCCACCGCTTCTAGCTCACGTATATAGTCGAGTTTCTCTCCTGGGCGGATCGACTTTTTGATTTCTTTTACCGCCCTCAGCTTTTGAGAATTGCCAATATCACACTGTTCCAGATATACGCTGCCATAAGTGCCTCGCCCAACGAATTCTCGACGGATCCATCGTTCCTCACGGGGAATCCGGCGTTGCTTCGCTGACGACCCGGTATCGTAGAATATGTGGCGCCAGCAAGAGTCCAAGAACTCGGTCTCAATTTTGGAGTCATACACCAGGTCAGGAAGTATATCAAGGCTGGCCATAACTTCCACTTGGTGATGGTGGTGGTCTCAATGGCCGCGCATGGTGCGGGGTTCTGGCAGAGCAAAGGGCATCGATTGAAAGTGCTCAAGTTAGTCGCGGCGCCGTGATCTGATTTCGTGGGTTGTCACGTCGGCTGTGGCATAGCAGCTGTCGGTAGGTAATCGAGGAGAAGATAATTCAGTGCTTCTTGGGGCGGAAAGCTGTGCCTCTCAAAGGCATAATAACAGGAGATAAGTAGCCTGGTTCAGCTCTGAAGGCCCCGAGGCAGAGTCCGCATCAGCATATATATATATACCTATATGCAACACTGCGCATAGCCCCTCCTGTGGCGGCGATACCATGCACGTGCCCATCCAATGAATGCATGGTCGTTGTGACGGCAGCTGCAGCTGGCCGCCCGGCGTACACGGAGATGTTCTCCAATAATTTATGTATTCATTTAGCCCCGGCGACAAGGTGGCTGGTCAGTGGCAGCTCCTCAATGACCTGTACTTTGATGGCGTGCAGGCCTGTTGCTCTAAGCGCTAACATGCAAGTCAGAAAGGTATGTACTCGTATAATAAGCTATTGGCAGCCAAAGGGCTCGTAGTATGAAACCGGCCGTCTCTCCAAATTTCTGCTTAAAGTGCACCGTGTTCAATTCAGTATATTTAAGTAATTTATAGCGTAAACTTTTTTTTCCCAGAGAAAATTTCTTTCTAATATCAATTATTTAAAAAGATTTCTGGATTACGTTGTTTGTGGTGGTTTATTAAGCTTACTGGTAAAGCAATCGGTTGCTGGATTCGAGGGCCACGGTCGGTTTCGTACTACGAGCTCTTGGCAGCGCATTCTGCGAGTGAAATAAGGAGACAGCCTCATGACACAGCCCCCACAGAAATGCAGAAATGTCGGGGGAAACAGCAGAAACGATGGTAGTGGCCAAGGTGGATTAACTACCATCTTACGCACCGGACTGGCCTGGCCGACACCTATCTAAGTGGTGCAATTGAACGCGCTGTCATGATTTATAGCAGTTGGGGACCATTTATACTGTTGTTGATGTAGGCTCGGATTGCATGTCTCGTATGCTTTCATCTTGTCGCCTGGGTAAGCGATATGAGACACCCGTGGGCACTCTTTGCCGTGAGAGCCACCTGTGCCTGATAAGGCTGGTCTTCTTCCCTTCCAATCCCACTAAATTCTTGCAATATCCGTGACACTATGTACGCAGTCTCCATGGTCGCCTTTTGCTGTGCTAAACACTGCCGAGGCCCAGCTCCAAACGGCATAAAGGTAAACGGAGGAGGACTATAATCGTTTTCCCAGCGCGAGGGACAAAATTCATTGGCATTCGGGCCCCAGATTTTGGGATCGCGGTGCAGTGTAGCGAAACAAGTGTCGAAAAGAGTACCCGTTGGCGCAAACACTGGAGCAGCGCCATCTGCGCCTCCTCCGGCAGGTAAGATTGTATCTTTCAAAGCAACGCGGTTGTTCTGCGGAAATACAGGATACAGACGGAGAGCTGGTGGTGGCGTTAGCGATGGATTCCATGATTCCAGCCAAATTATTACACAGGCACACGTACTCTCAGTAATGACATGTTGTAGAGACTTGATCCGAGGTAATTGATCGAAATTCAGCGGCTTGTCGCTCATCGCGAGAACTTCAGCTCGTACTTGGGCTGCAATGGTAGGGTGGCTGGCCAGATTCCGAATAACATGGCTGATGAGAGAAGCGGTGGTTTCAGTAGCTGCCATCATGGCCTGCACGGCCTGGTTGCGCAAAACGGTCCTGTCCGCCGTTGCTTGTGCCATGTTGAAGAGCAAAGTACGTCGTCTTGTCTTGTCCAGACCATGTTCATCCAAATTTGCCTTGTCACGGTAGTCGATGGCTCTATCAACGTACATATCGGCAAATTGATGAACTTTAGCGCATGCCTTGAGCCAAGAACCCTTTGGCATTAAAAAGTTCAGAGGGCCCAGGGCAATGCGGAGTCCGCAGCCGTTGAAGCCAGCCTGGAATGCTTCGAGAAAGCCTTTAGCATGCGGTGGCGGCGTGCCGGAAAGCATCCCAATAGACTCCCCGAACAGAAAGAGAGTGTTCAAATCAAGATACTGAATGAGCACATGTTAGTTGTACCAAGCAAGAGCAGTGTGAGAAGTAGGAAATAAGAACAAACCAATTTTAAGAGATATGGCTGCAAATCAAACTTGGTGCCGTCTCTCGGAATCTGTCCAAATAGGATACCGAGGTGCTCTTCTAAGGGTCCGAAATCAGAAATATTGGACCGGTGGAAGCCAGGCTTGAGGAGATCGTGGGAGGCTTTCCAGTCGGACCCGTCAGTGGTGATGAATCCCGAGCCACAAAATGGACTCATGTTATGCAGCCGGAGAGGCTGAACCCCCCAGTCTGTAGCATTCTTGGAAAAGACGGCCCTCAGATTTTCTGGGTGGATTGAAGATATGGCATGCGAGCCGAGGTTCAGGCTTTCAAAGGTATGGCCATAGGTATCATATCGGCGCTGGTGCTCGACCAGGAACGTGTTCTTGGAAATGGCATCACCGGTGCGCAGGAATATGTCCAGACCAAACACGGGGTCCTTGTGCTTGTAGCTGGCTGCAGGCTGGCATCCATGCTGTCGGGCCGTGAGTCGCTGTGTGTAGCCAAGGTACAGGCGATAGGCGGCAAAAGCAGCGACAGAAGACACTAGTAGCGCTAGAAGCGATACTGCCGTCATGGTGGTTTTGGTATGATCGGGATGGTGACGGACTGATGTCTGAGGAGAGGGGAACGTGATCAGATCATCAAAACTATCCTGGATCCCTTTAAGTTATACGCATCTACTCGAAATGTCCCGTGCGAACTAGCTCGTGAGTCTGTTAAAAATACCAACACACAAAACATTATGTTGAGTTCTCAGTTGACTAGTATTGTCGCGATTGATATACCGCTAAGCCGTCCCGCAAAAGTGGGAGCTCCACACCAAGCTCGGGCTATGGTAGACTCTAAAGTGATGCAGAGTATATCACAAAGCAGATCAATTGGGCGTCTCCGTGAATTCATCGGTAGCACACTGATTCTGTTTTTCATTGACCCAACAAAAAGAGACGCAAGTTTTTCAAATCCCGCAGCCATTCACAACCTTAGAGGACTGTTTAGTGGTTGAAATAAGCAGAAGGAGATTAGCAAATTAACCGCACGAGCTAGGATGGTTCGTGAACCCCCGTCCATCAATGAAATTGGAGTAGACCATGGAACTACTATGAGCGCAATTGAGAAATTTGAAATAAAATCCAGAGAAAGCTAAAATTGTCCTGAAGTTATCCGTGTTCATAGGTTCTTCTTTGATCTCATGCAAATGCGAAGAACAAATCCATCCTTGTTGCTTTGCATTTATCAACGGATAATGCACTTGTTTTTAGGTGGTCGACTTGCAAAAGCTGAATTAGAAGTCCCAGCTGCATTTTAACTATGAAGTTCTATGGACATGAAATTTATTAAACAAACCAAATCACTGGACAAGTAGACTGGTGACCTGATTGAAAGAATAGCCAAAGCCTACCTGGCAAGGTAGACAACAACTGATTGTGTCATCACCCATCAGCATTCTTGCACTTATGGAACCTTCAAATTGGAAGAACCTACTTACGTTGTCTGTCGTGCGGTACTTCGTGCCACCTCTGAGATGTACTCATCCAGGCTCTGTCCCGCATCGTACAAACAGTGGGTTATTGCTCAACTTCAGCTATCGCTTCAGTGGCGACCTCAAATGAGACGTATATACTCCCAGCGTGCGCGACTTTGCCTCATTATGGAGTACAAGAGATCGCTGCTGTACCACGCCACTCTTAAAAGTCCCATCCGAGAAAATGTATCCCCGGGTGACTCGGGTTTCAGAGCCATAATGCATATGTTCGCATTACCTGCGACGATGGCGAACTTTTGGCGCCCAGATATGAATGAAGAGCTTGTGGCCCAGTGCCCCGTGACGCGTACACCAGGGTCATGTACGAGTTGCAGTGAATGCAGTCCTTCTGAAGCCTTCACAAACATGGCTTCAAAGACGATACTTACCAGGTGGAGTGTTGGTAGCTTTTGAGATCTGATGCTAACCACGTCCGGCGTGACAGTGGCATCAAGCTCAGCAGGTGAATTCTTTGGCATCTTTTCAAGCCATGGTTGAGAATTGATAAGTTCTGTAGGGAAGTACAGGCCTAATTCTCTGGAGAGAATATCTCGTGATGGCAGGCCGACGACATCTAGATTCCCTATGCCGTCATATCGGAACCAATTACTCTTGTTGTCCTCCTCTCCATTGTCTAGGAAGTGTACCTTGGAGCCTGCTGAAGCCCAGCTCCATGAAGGTACAAATGGTTTCCGGTGAGTGGGGAGTCTTACGGGCGAATCTGATTCAGGGTGCCAAGTCAAGGCAGTTTCAAAGAAGCTGAGAGGATGGCCATGCTTGAGCAGGGAAGCCTCTGAGATCCCGCCGATCTGATCAGTGGATGCCGTGATCAGGCCCGCAAACGCTTCGACTCGATCCTCTTCGAATGTGAGATTTCTCGAGGTGTACTCTTCCACGGCACGAACGAATTGCCGGGTAGTAATTAGCTTCGTAGAGCTGTTTCTGCGCTTTTGCATTGCCACGTTGAGTTCCCCAGCAATCAAAGGCGGTGTAGCTCCAAAGTCGCTCCATGTCGAGCCCAAGGGCTCAGAGACAAACGTTTCCCCTGTAGACTCCCTGTAAGTGCCGTTGTCGCAGCTAAAGAAGATCTCGGTAGGAAATACGTATAGCAAACGCCGAGAGAAGACCTCTTCTTCAAATGTCCAGCCTCTAGTGCGCCAGACAGATGTATTCAATAGGGTGTTGAAACTCGGCTGCGCTGGAAGAAGACGAAGAACACCCCCCAAAGCTCTGACATGTCGGTTTAGACTGGAGCTGGACTCCGCTGGAGAAAGTTCAGGAACATCCTCAAAAGCTCTCGCCTGTATGTTTAACATGAGGGGTGTCTCGCCTTGGCGAGGTGTATGCGGTGATCCAGGCAGCCCGGAGTGGGCGCCATCCCCTGAAGCAGCCACGATGGTGAGGCTTGCTGTGGCGAATATGTCCTTGATATAGGGTATCAAAACGGCCTTTTCATTCTCATTGCTCTGGTCGATGCAGATACGATCAACCCACAGCCAGTCAAATCCTAGAGATTGCGCAAGTGTAGCAGCATCACGGATAGTCGCCGGGTAGGCTGTGATGGGAAACGCATTAAGTGATTGATCTGGCTCTGTCTTGTTGCCCCATACATACGACAATGCGACAAAGTTGGTCAATGACGGAAGTGTTTCAATCTTGCCGGTAGTGGTGTTAATGGCCCTCAACAGCCCCCGGCTGACAATGTGGAGGATTCGTGATGCAGAATGACCAAAACCAGGCAAATGAGTATGGCTTGAATCACACGTTGCTAGCCTGTTGCGAATCATTGTTTTATCCGCATGTCGAGAGATCGGCATCCTTTTGCAGGGAGACGATTTGCTGTGTTCTTCGACGATGTCGAGCATCCAAGAAGCCACAGCTGATTTGAGTGTAACATTGTCGCCATCAATGGATTTTTTATATTCTATCTTGTCATAGAACCACACATGAAGTTGACCGCTGCGATGGAGCCGAGCACTTTGGTTGTTGCGGGAACCATGTTCGACATCCGCCAGCCAGACCAGCTTGGGGCGAATGGCAACAGCCTTGTGGACCTCGACACCGGTCTGATTTGCACAAACAGCAAGGAGGTTACAAAGGTTGCACTCAGGCTTGTTCCTCGCATGAAGCGGATTAAAACTCTGGATATAAACGGCTAGCTGTTCTTCATATTTCGATGCAGGATCTCGATGGCTCTCTTGTGATACTGGTAACGGTGCTGTCAGCGGGCTCAAGTCGATGACAGAGCAGCGGAAACATAAACTGCGAGTTTCGGGGGTTTCCATAATGTCGGACCAAGGGGGCAATAAATAAATTATGAATGCCACTCGGTTTTTAAAAGTTCAACACTCTGAATTTGGGCATCGCCAGGGCTCTTGTACTGCCGATGCGAAGGTCTGATCTGTGAACGGATCAAAAGCGGGGTACATTACTGGGTATGTTCATATGTAGGTGTTGTGCGCCCAATTTATGGACAATGTCCATCTTTCTCAGCCTCACCTGTGTAATGCTGCTTGATGAAACACATGTGGCCCTGGTTGATAGTCATGGTTGTACCTATTAGTGTCTATTCGTAAAAGACGCCATGTGAGCTTCAAAGGGTTGTGGAATGGAGAAAGGGAGAGTGACTTCTGCGTTGCCCCACGTGTGTGAAAGGATCGTGTAGGGATTGTCGGGATAGTCAGGGAACTCTTACAATTCCAACGTTTGTTTATTCAAGAGACGCGTTGTTGGACCTCGATCCAGAAGACAGCCGAATGGAGAACGTCCGCTCTAATGCAGAAGCAAAAGAGACAGTTAGAAGACGCAGGGCGTAGGCTTGTATATACAAGCTAGCTTCAACTTTGGGATGAAAGTTTGGGTGCTACATACCTCAGTTTACGCTGAGCATGTCATGCGCCCTAGAAGCAATATTCCCTACATGCCTACGAGACAGACCATAGGTAGGTCCCTTCTACCAAATGCTCCAATAAAATCGATGTCGTACGCAGCCCGTGGTTAAATGATGTATACATCTTTCACACAAGCTTGTATGGTATCCTAGCCGGTGGAAAGTGAAAGATTATATGCATTCGTGTCGCCCGAAAGGTTCCATGGAACAAAGCCACTCTGCGGCGCATCAATATCGTAATCGTGCAGCGTATGTAACGGCCCGTTGACTTCAGACTTTCCTGTCCGGCCTTGTTCGGATGTAGCCCCATGCATGCAAGGGGGCCAAAAGTAAACATCACGGTTACCGCACAGGTGGAGGCAGTGACAAATATAGTTCATAGTGCACCAACATCCCGACGCAAGGCATGTGCCTTGGATAATGCCAACAATATACTCAATGTGATATTAGCCAAGGCTGCCAAGATGAATTAACCATCCACGTTACCCTTTAGCAAGCTATGAAATCATGTACTTGAATGCCATTAGTTCTTCAGTAAGTAGGATCAAGTGTATGAGGCCAAGTCATGTTTTGGATATTGATGCTCCAATAGTTTTATGGATGGAGTTTGAAGGTCATGCCTTTGCTTCTGATTTCTCACGCACGTAGCTCAGGCTGAATGTTGGGTAGAAAGAATCTGCATGGTGGATGGGACTTTGCTCATGGAGATCAGCGGCGCCCCCAAATGCAGCCTTATCACCGTAAGTTTACAACGGTACCCAGGATGGAATTGATTGTGTCACCTGGGTGATCCAAACATGACCAATCAGATGCACACTGACGGCGCACTTCTCGGTGTCTTTGGCGGCCAGGCTGACTGCATCGGCTTGTACGACATGCAGCGGAGGCAGAGGATTTGGTTCGAGCTTGGTTCATATCCCTTTGGTTTTCTGTCATGTTGCTTTCGTAACTTTCTTTACAAGCTGTCGGAATTTGAATAGATGGACGACCCGCACTGTAGCTGTATATAGAGAGCCTTTCCCCAGTTCTTTTGTGACAGCTTCAATTTAGTAATTCAGCTAATACCTGACATACTTTCACACAAGCCAAGCAAGATCACCAAGATCCATTATATTTCTTTTGACCGAAAATGGATCCTCAGCTCGCAGTAGTCTTGGCTCAGATTGACTTTGCTCAGATTCCATTCGAGAAATCACGAAACAATGAGAGGTCCAATTTCATGAACCCGGAATCCCTCTCCTACGTCGGTAACGCCATCATTCTCTCAACATGGCCGCTTATGGTCATATTATTGACGTTGCGGTTATACGTCCGCGCTCGTGTAACTCGGTCGTTGGGCCTGGATGATCGTATGACTTTATGCATCTTATCGTGGTGAAATGTTTGCTAAAGTGGTAGTAACACAGTTCTTTGCGCCCTCGCCGCGGTTTGTCACCCCTTATCACATCGAGTCGAGTGCACCCTACTTACTGATTCACACAGTCCACCATGACCGCCATTAGTGGTATATCCTTGTATTGTAAGTAAGAAACTTTACCTCGTCTCCGGGGGTGAAATCGCAGAGTATTTCGCGTTGACAAAACCCTCGTCACTAGTATTCAAGACTATCCTAGGTCACCACAGTTGGGACATTCGGCTGGTTGATGTTACCCCTCATTTTCTAGGAGTAAGTCATTTGATTCTTATACTCCATGATATCGCGGGTACTCTCTGACGGTTCAAGCTACTACCCGTCCTCCAATACCTATATTACGTCGCAGCTCTATTTGCAAAATCCTCGATCCTCATATTTCATCTCAGGATCTTCAAACCAAACAAGTCCGCAAGGGTCATCATATACGGATTCCTTGGCCTTGTAACAGTGTACTACCTCACTTCGATCATTTATACCGCCATCATCTGCCGGCCCCAGGGTAGCAAAATGAGCAGCGACTTTGACATAACGCAGATGCTCGATGGTGTCAACTTGACGAGCATTCTGCAGCAACCCGGACAGAATGTTACAGACGTTCTGTTTGAATTAGTAGTGACTGGTATAACAGAACACACAAAAGATATCCGAAATCACAACAGCTGCTCAATGCCGCCCACTAGGCTTTCGGCCGTGTCAGGAGTCTTCAATCTCTTTACGGATCTATGCATCCTCATCCTGTCTATTGCGATGACACTCAGGCTTCGGCTTTCGGTCAGAAAGAGGGCTGGTTTGTGCGCCGTCTTCCTTATCGGCCTTTTGTATGTGCTGCTCAAACTCTCTCAACTTGATCGCCCGCTTACAAGGGTCACCAGAGCCTGCGGATTTTCCGCTCTCACCTGTTACTACAGAATTCAGTCAGTCTTAACGATGCAATACGATTTCACATGGTCGAGCGTTTTGAGCCTTTCTACAGGGTAAGTCAAGCTCCTATCCTTTGAGCGGCAATAAACAGATCTACATCATGGCAGTCTGGCTTACATGTGTTCCATATATAGGATCGCCGAGGTCAATATCGGTGTTTTATGCAGTTGCGTGCCGAGCTTGCCGATTTTATTCAAGCGTCTCATTCACAGTGATACATGGAATTCCATCAAATATATGATCAGCAATAGGAGAAAAGGCAGCAAGTCCTCAGATTCTGCTCGTTCCCAAGACCCGCAATCATCCCCTGCAGTGCCTGCGCGACGTTGGTTAAAGGTCTCGGTTGCACGAGGGGCCATGACTGGATTGAGAACTCTCATCCGAGGCGACGATCGCCCGGAGACCATCACTATGGATAGCTCACAAACCTACGATGACCTCACTTCCGTCAACGACGATTACCATCAGTATATCGGGAACGGGCACAAAAGTGCTGCACTCCTTCCCACCCCTGATAGATCAGTATCAGGTGATACGAGAGACTAGCTACTCTGCAGCCAGTCCTGCTCCTTGCGTGCGAACTACAACTGGCATACAGAAATGGCCAGGGGCCAAGCGTCACTCGATACAGAATACATTGGAGTCAAGTTTCAATATGTTGGAGTTGGAACTAGACAAGATCTGCATTCTTTTCACCATGATGATGGTATCCAGAGCATTAGTTTTGAGATTTCATTCACAACTCGACTCACATTTCATCGTCTCTAATCAAGACTTCTGGGCCGTGGATATATACTAGAATAGGAAGTGGCAGTCTCACATTGGCAGCTAAATTGCCCCAATGTGTCCCGCCGCTGCACTCCTATGGCTCTACAGAATGGTTGAATTGATTTCACTCCATGCGATGCTGTGGCACAGCATAGATATCCGCCAAGACATCGACAATCGGGCGCCCAAATCTCCCGTGCCTTGCACTTTTGTTGCGTTATGCTGACTACCTGCGTTGACCGTCGATTATTCAATGAGACCTGCTGTTGAGGCGCTCTCAGTTGTTTTCCTCTGACTTGTCTTTTCTATACCCATCCTCACGAATGGTTCCCTGCTCCGACCGGACCATATTTTACTGGCTGAGGCCTTTTTGAAGCCTCTTGGAATTTATTTCTTTGCTGTCGTCGCTTACGCCTGTCAATGTTTTACGACGGGATTGTGGCTCAAGGAAGCCTCAGTCTTTTCAAAACATAGCAACCCCAGCGCAGACCTGAATGCCTTTGGACCTAACCCTCAACTAGCATTCGCAGTCGACCCACAGCTGCTCTCTGCATACACACATGCGCTTTGCCCAGTGCAATCAGCACGAATGACTAAAACAAATTGTTCGTCAACTACAAATCTCTCAATATGGAAGCGTCAAGGCCGGAAGCTGGCGATGGCATAAAGATCCTCCACGCTAGCCTATACCGCATGGGAACTTGGTCCATGGCCAAAGCCTACCAGACACTTGGCTACACAACCTACCATGGTCTCGATGAGCCAATGAGTGTGGATTGGCGACTCGTTGAACAAGCCGCAGAAGCGACCTGGCCGTCGGTGCCCAATGCAAGCCCCAGGCCGCCCTTTACGCGTGACGACTGGGACAGCCTCTGGGGCAATCGCTATGATGCAGTCTGCGATACTTCGGCGCCCTTTACTTTGGAGTTATTCAAGGCGTATCCCCACGCCAAAGTTGTACTCGTGCAAAGAGATTTCGACTCGTGGTGGTCTAGCTTTCAGAAAGAGATACTAGACAAGCTCTTTGCGCCCTTCTTTGAGGTCCAAATCTTCTTGGCGTGGTATCTCGTCGGCTTTCGAGGCGGTCATGCCATGAGGAAGCTGGTTTTTGGCTTCTTCAATGCCACAACAAGGACAGAGATTGAGGCGCATGGCAGGGAGACGTACGATGGATTCTTCAAACAGGTGCGGGCTACTGTGCCACCAGAGCAGCTACTGGAATACAGGTTGGGTTCTGGCTGGGAACCACTTTGTGAGTTTCTGGGCAAGGACGTCCCCAATATATCGTTTCCTCATTTGAATGAACGAAAGGTTCATTCAGAGGGTATTAGTCTAGAAAAAGGAGACATCTTGTTTGCCATGTCGAAAAAAGCTATGTTGGGCACTATGGGCGTTGGGATTTCTGTCGCGGCAATCTGGTGGCTTCTGGGAAACTGACACTTGATCATATACTTTCTAAATATCCTTCCTTTATATATGCTGAATCTCTAAGTACGGATCATTGAACGTTTCCTCATAGTTCGGTTCCCTTGATCCCGTCACGTGCCGAAAATGATATAATCACCACGATTCCGCTAAGAGATGCCACCATTTGGCAAGCACACTTTGATAATCGTTCAGATTTCCCACGGTTGCTCATTATCATTTGATCTCTTGGATAATTCATCGCCAGACTGGGCATATGATGTTTTTCGAGGAGAACCCCTGAACACGGCACTGCTGATCCTAGAGTACAGCGCGGTCGAGGCGATGAATTTTCCCCAGAATGTGTAGGCTGCTGGCACACACCCTACTACAATCGCTATACTTGACTCGATCACCCTGGGAGAAGTTGAATTGTTAGTATTCCGTGAGAAGATGGGGATGGCGGAGAAGCTAATCCTACAGAACGGTCGACGAGGTTATGCTATCGCTGAAGGATCCCTGTAATGCCTGCACCTTGAAGTAGAGTCCTACAACTCCTGCTGCGATGACACTGTGTTGGATATATGAGCCAAAACGTTCAAGCAGAAAATATGGACTACAATCTCGGGGTAAACTCACAGAATACCGGTCAAGAAAACTAGAGTAAGTCCAAACTTTTGTCTAAATGGAAGCTGAAGCCTCTGGACGACAATAAGAGGCATGATATAACAAATGAGATCTCTGCCATTTTTGTTAGCTTTGAACTACTCGTTCACCAAAACCGAAGCATTCTGGCCCGCAAGTCGCACATACAAAGCAAGAGAGAAGACTCCATTGATGACGCCTCCTGTACCTCCGTCCTTGAAGCACTTGCTGGCAAACTCGGTAGTGTATGTGCCATGCGAGTCACACGCAGCAGCGGACCATGCCGTCGTGACCAGTATGGCAATGCCGGTTGTCGTGAGAGCAATAATAGCTGTAAGTCGTAGCCATCTTTTTATCCCAAAGAGACGGATCAAGAGAAGCGGAATAGGGGCTTTGGATGCCCAGCTCACGAGACCAGAGCAAATGCTGACAGCTGCTCCAAGCTTCTTGAGGTTAGTGGCATGTTCTTTACGGTTATGACAACTGCTAATTGTGGGTTTACCCTGTAAATGAGAAGGATCAAAGGTGTCGGGTCAGACTCGGTATGTCCTTCTGTCAGCTCCTTGTTTGCTGGATCAATCATTAGTTCCCGACGAGCACCGCCTTTGGGCAATCCATCGACTGACCTTCGATCCCCAGGTAGTCTGTCACAAAAGAAGCGATTAATAGCCCTAGGGCCACGATTGACATTACTTGGTCAAATCATCAGCAAGTACATCATACAAAGGTCGCATGTCTGACGTGTCTCACCATCGTCTGCGTACAATGTTGATGCATTCTTAAGAGATACTCCAAAGCGTATTATTACACAAGTGGCTGCCAGCACAATCAAGAAGATTGAAGCGGCCACCATTTGTTGGATTGTAGCGTCAGACGCCATTTTCGTTCGAGTACTGTTGCTCTCTGGATGTTGTTTTGCAGTGACTTTTTGGTGTTGAGGAAGTGCCGGCAATGACGGACCACAAAGGGGGGAAAGAATAATATAAAAAGCAATTGCCGGTAAGAGAACCAGACTACCGGATTTGCTACCCACGGTATCGATGTGATATTAGGTAAGGATCATACAGAATTCGAAGGTCTGGGAGTGGTGTGGTAGTATCCCGCCAAAAGTATGGAGGAAACTGGAACGCGAAAGCAGTACTGCATGCAACAGACGCCGTGCAGCGATCTTTAACGACTGCTTGTCATACGATTGGACAGAAGTGACCGGCACTTACATGGCTGCAAGATCATTGCTGTATTTGCATGATTCATCCGTGCTATCGCGGTTCGCTACAGGGTTGTCAAAAAGCACACACTCCGCTATGCTAGGTCTGCTGCTCTTGGGTAGGAGTGCCGACCAGGATTCTTGCCAGCGTACCCACATGGGCGCTATCCGGGTGTCTTCCGCCTTTATATAGTACAGAAATAGGACAATGGAGAAGACGTTGAGAGTCAATCGGTGCACTCAGAACAATACTAGTACCGGTATGTCAATGTATGATGAGGATTCCCAAGGGGGGAGCGGTGGTGTAAATCATGACACGAAACTGTCTACAATGGTCTCTCTGTATCACCCTGAGAGCATAGCGATTATTGGGGCCATCCGCACCTCAGCTTGAACCACATTGACACCTCTCGAATTCAAACTACAGCTGACCAGGTTATCCTTGTCTTCGTTAGACCTCTGTGCATACTCAAGTCATATTGGAATGGGAGGTTATCCATCACTAAGAGGTAGTTCCATAGTTCACTGTTAACCAGATTGATCAAACCTGTCAGTGCTGTGGTGTGCTAACAGACTTTGCATAGTATTGTTCCTCTGGCAGGGCTCGATCCTCTGCTTGATTCATCTGTCACGGGATGTGCGCAGATCGACAAAAATCATGAGTAAAAGGCCATATCCAGTCTCCTATAGTACTGTAAATAGCATTGTCCAAAGCGCACTACGTACCATAACGCAGACAAACCCTGCGACTCCCTGCTTGAATAGCAGTCTAAAATCCAACGGCCCCCTGCCTGCATGCGTCTGCATAGCACACCCCTGGTACGCAGCACATATTTTTGATTGCCGCGACCCACAAGATCCAGATTAAAACGCACAATAACAGTTGGTTCAACGACCACATCGTGATAGCATGTTAGCACAGAGTGTGATTTTCAAATCTGGAATAAACTGTGTCCACAACCCTCAGCTCACCACTGCGGCTGAAGATATCTCGAGCCGTACGTGATTACCTAGAGTGTTTTGACCAGTGGAGATCTAAGGTATTGATCATACAAGTGCCGCTATGCTGACTTGCTATCATGGTTTTCATCTTTCTTTTCGGCCAAGCTGCTAAGGTTTGATTCTTTTTTTTTTTTCCTCCTCTTTTTAAGATAAAAAAAGTCTCTGTCTTATTCTGTGAGCATCGTCATCGCCTGTGGTTATCAAACTCTCTGTAGCCACGTCCAAAGTCAAATCTTGCCATGGCTTCAGCCAAGGTAGAGAGAACCGAAGATGGCTTAGCTGTCATTCACGTAGCTCTTTTCCGCATGGCCACCTCTTCCCTGGCCGAAGCATACCGCATTCTTGGGTGGAAGGTTCACCACGGAACAGACGACAACCTCGGTAATCCTTGGAAAGCCATAGAAAGGGCGGCCGAAGCAACATGGCCATTCGTAGCACCAGAAATCTCGCCACCGAGGGAGAGATTTACTCGTCAAGACTGGGACGAGGCTTGGGTCAAGGACTATGACATCTTGACCGAATTGGCGTCGCCCTTTGCCGACCAGTTGATCAAACTCTACCCCGAGGCCAAGGTGGTCATTGTACAGCGCGACTTTGACGATTGGTGGCCGAGCTTCAAGTCACAGGTACTGGATACCCTGTTTGGTCCGCAAGGGAGGATTTTGACGTTTATCGCTGGCAATTTGCTGGGGATCCGGTCCGGCCAGACGATGCGCAAGGTGCTTTTTGGCTTCTTCCACGCATCAAGCGTGGCGGGAATTGAGGCAAATGCACGCAAGGCCTACAATGACTACTTTGACAATATACGAGCCATGGTGGCGCCAGGGAAAAGATTGGAGTATCAACTAGGAGATGGCTGGGAGCCGCTGTGTGCATTTCTTGATAAAGAGGTTCCAGACGTGCCTTTTCCAAGGAAGAATGACAGTCAGGCACACAAGGAAACATTTGCGTCGGAACGCAGCGACTTGTTTTACAAGCTCGGTCGGAAACTTTTCAAGGGATCAGAATAGTTGTTGCTGGCGTCAGAGGGTGATTAGGTATACAGAGAGTGGCTTCCAGTGGTATGGAGCATGCATGATATTCGATGGATCCTTCAGTCTTTTGATTGTGGATATGAATGCCGTTCAAGAGCATGACGACATGTAAAAGTCAAGCTAAAAGTCATGTTGTCTAATGCTTTTGCAGAGACCGAGCAAATCATTGCCCTCATGATGGTGATGTCGCACCCAGCATACTGCTAGTAACACGGGGAGAAAATAGACCAATTGTTTGACATTTAGACAGAAATTGAAATTCACAAATTCCCGACTGCCTGATTGATTGGCCATGTTCAAGCCACTAACTTATGTAGATTGTAAATATACATACTCTCTCCCTCTACACGTAGTAGCAAAATTGCCATATGTGTCGAGGGTTGTTCTTCTCACCAGAGGGTTCGCTTCTGTATACAGAAATATTGCACTTGCGGAGAAAGCCGGATGACTGCCGAAATATCAAGACCTACAATCAGAAAGAATCTCAGAAAGGGACATGCTGTGATGTAGTCAGAGGCAGATTGAATCACCCTTCTCATGTCGCCAAAGAGCCCGTGAGTCCAAAGTCTTATTATGGCGTGGGGGATAGAGTGAGCGATCACACTACTGAATTGCTGCTTATATTTTCAGAAGTGATTGGTGTCAACCGTAATTCTCGCTACATTACCTCCATTCGTCATGTTGATTCACTCACATTATCAAAAATTTGTGATTGGCCTGCATGTCACATCTGGAGGGCCGTGAGTCGAAGAGAACGAGTGAGGGAAGCAAAAAGATTATATAAATGAACATTTCCGGTGTCTTCTTCCCCATAAAACAGATCTAGAGAATAGACTTCGCCTGCCTATACGTCTTTCGGAAACGACAAGAGCAAAAATTTTTCAGCAAATGAGGATTTCACGTGAGCACTCCGGAACAATAGTACTTTTCGAGAAGAATACTGACATACGAGACCATTCCATTTGACCATACACAATTTGCCTCGAGAAGAAACAGGAAGGACGCAACACAACATGTCAACCCCATCCCGCGTCCCGTCTCAACTTCCTTCGAGGATACCGTCAACAAGCGAGGTGCCCGTTCCCACACAATCCCCCAGCACCGCCAAAGCCCCTTCAGCAGTCCCAGCCGCCACGGGCGCCTCATCGGTGGCAGCTTCAAGAGTCGGCAAGTCTGTCCTCCCCTCGCAGCGGCCCGTCTCCCGGGTGCCCATAATCTCTGCTTCACGCACCCCCAGCGCTGCAGGCCCCGTTGGTGAGTCCCCCGCCACCATCAACCCGAGCATCGCTGGGGGCAAGAGCGTCTACGCGAGTATCGTCCATGGAGCTCGCAGGCCGGGACAGCAGATGAGCGCGGTTCCCGCCGGGTTCGGAGCCGATGCATTGATCACGCAATCCCAACATGATCAACAGCAGCGCTCTATCCTCCCATCCGCTTCTCCTTCAAAGGGTCCCTCCACCGTCACGGGTTCACATCCGAGCCGGCTGCCCCCCTCGCCTAGCCAGGTCGCTGGTGTAGATGCTCCAGTGCCACCAGTCGCGTCAAAGTTACCGACAAAGCTCCCGACAAAGCTGCCGACAATCGTCAGCGCCAGTGTAGCAAACGATACCAATACTGCTGGCCAAGTGCCCATTAGCCAGATACCGACCATCACCCCCAAGCCGCCCGGAACTATACTCCCGAGTATACCCAGCATCCTCGGGGTCAGCAAGGCGCCTGCATCCCCGGCCCCGCCATCAGTCATTCCCAGCATCATCGGAGTGAGCAGAGTGCCCGGGTCCTCCCAAGTCCCTGGAGCCTCTGCCATTGGCCGGTCCGTGATCCCGGCTCCCGGAGGCCGCATCCTCGAGACCACGTACACGACCCCGGCGGACCTGAAGCGCGCCGAGCGGCAGCTCAAGTACAATTCGCTCACGTGGGAGCAGAAGGTCGTCCAGGATGCGTGGGCCAACCGAAAGGGTCTCGAAATGGCCCCTTGCCCAAACAATTTTGGATGGGAGCGGCATGCTCAATGTCCTGGATATCAGTGTAGCGGTGGGGTAAGTCTTCTTCTTCTCTTTTTCCATTGCTCCGTGGACTCTTTAAATCTCAGTTTGAAGTTCCCGACTGTTGTCTTTGAAGATGCCATATCGAAAGCTGATCCTGCTGACAATCAAAATGTAGATGCACTATATTCCCGACGTCTTGATCGCCGAGGGCGTTCCGGGTTTGTACACCCAGATGCCGCCGCCCTGGGGTTTCGGCCAAGAGTTGACACCACACCCGTCGCAGCGCATCCCGTCTGGATTCTTTGGCCCGGTACGTCCGATCGGGCAGGATCCCGACACCAAGAGATGGAAATTCCCGCCTTGGAGCTACCAGTGATGATTTTCGAGTCTTGGCGACGGAAATGCGAATGTAAGGGGTTGTTTATAAACAGGAAAATGGTGGCCATGGGCTTGTTGTAGACAGTAGTAAAAAGTCTTGAGGCTCAAGCAATGCAAAGGCCACTTTTTGAATTGAATGCCGTCCGGAGCACTTCTGTTTGAGACATGACAACACCTAGCCACTGTCGAGCAAACCAGCAGGGCCTCAGAATAAAAAAATGAATTTGATTGACGGAATAATATGCTTGCTTTGACAATATCCATAGGCTTTGAAGGCAGCATCTCATGTGTTTTACATGAGAAATCACTCGCAGCGTCAGTGTTTCCAACGCAGGTGATGTCTCTTGATTCTCATGCAGCTCCAAGGCCTCATTATAACGATTTCTTAGCCATGCCCGCGTCTTTAGAAACACGACCCTGTAATGCAGTCCACCACACTCATCCAGCACAACATCCAACCTCATACAGACTCTCAGCACTTTCACTCTTACAGAGACAGATTATAACTGTACTCGTCTTCCATATTCTGAGAGAGCCAGAGCACAACAGAGCTAAGTCCGACAAGACCGTTGGCGACGACATTCTCGACACCCATGCCGAGCGAGGGCCAGCCGACTCCCGGAACGATAAACTTGAGGACAAAGACGGTGACGCCGCCAGCCATGCCGCCGGCAAGGGCGGCGAATCCTAAAAAGAGCACGACGCGCGCCTTCCATGCAACGCCCGAGCCCGAGTAGCTAAACGAGTCCGACTGCAGCCGCGCCTTTTCCACCGAGTTGATGATGAGCATGCCCAGCGACGAAAAGATGAGCGGCAGCCAGTCCACAAAAGTAACGTGCACGTCGGAGCCATTGTTGGCGGATTTTGACCATACAGCCGCGTCGAGGAGGACGTAAAAGGCAAGGGAGAACTGTCGGGTCAAGGATATTAGCTTGGCTTCCCAAAAAGGATGATTCTTGCAGAAATCCAGAATTGTCGACTTGGGGTGGGGATACGTACCAGAGCGCCAGCGCTGTAGACACCACCATTGCGCACCCAGGCGCTGTTGAGCCATTCAGGCTTGCTAAACTTCCAGAGACGATCCTCCTCCATGATGTCTAACAGTATCTCGTCGCTGCGACGCGGTGGGCCGAGTTGTTTGCTTTGATGAAAATGATGCGGGCGTCAGTTCCAAGCAACGTTCCAGATAAAGCAACGAGCGAGCGACAGCAAATCGTGGCTGTGCAGGATACGCTTTTTCAAGTTGAAAAACAGCGTCGTCTTTGTTGTTGTCGTCGTCGTCGTCGTCGAAGTTGATGGATGAAGTCGGGGAGACCAGGCCGAAGCTCCAAAGGTTACCTAGTCGATAAGGTTGGGTGCTTGCTGAGCTCCTTGCATGTCGTAAGGTGAGTGAGCCGAGCCCGGCGGATGACGACTAGCGGGTCTGGTTCGTTACTAGTACGCAGTACGTAGTCTGGTTGTCTGAGTGCACCAGCCACAACTACCGGTCACGTGTTGGCTCTTGTTACTGTCACACCCCCCAAGAAACAAGCAATGCTTCCTGTTACTAGTGTTACTAACGAATACCTTGGTCGCAGGTGCATTTGTTTGTTATCCGCGTAACTCACCTTCTATTGCAGCTTGGTGTTATTTCCTTTCTGCTCTCTCATCCAGCTCTTGTTGAGGCAAAGACCACAAGATGAAAGAAAAAAAAGTCAGACATGAAAGCACATCTTGCCCAATTCTAAACGCAACGTGGTGCGTGGTAACTTTCCCTACTCGCGATAAATGGGGCTACGACTAAGGTATAGTCCACACAACATGCATTGTAGTATGATTCGTGACTGCCAGAAGTGGCACCATTCAAAACTCAATCTTTATGCGTCAGGGTCTCTGCTCCGTCTCCATAGCATCATTCATACTTCAGAACCCTACTATGTCGAAGTGTACGCAGGTCTCACCTGATGGATCAGCGATTATCTGTGTACTTGTCTATTGATGAAATGAAAAGGCCAGCAGTAGATGGATTCCATTACATTATATACGTAGGAGGTTATAACTTATAAGTTATGCTCTCATCAAGGCAGCCCCTGCGGCGTTGTTGGTTCGTCCTGGTTGCTCGCCATGTGGCTACAATGTGACCCAACATGCATAATGATCAATCATGTCTTGAAAAGAATCATATACCAAGCTGGCACCAGAAACAACTGAGTGTTATTGAAACACAAAAAGTGAGAGCACGACACTCCAAATATGAACATGACACATCTCTATTGCGAACTCTTAATGATTAAATGCTCAAATAGAACGAATACGCTTGGTTCATTAGGTAGACCTCACATCACTATAAATTACCCATCACGATGGCGCTCTTCCCACTCTTTTTGGAAGTTGTCCTTTTCCCTATGTGCCCGCCGTCAAAAGCAAATGCAGCAATCCAACAATGGGCCTTTCACTTGCCATGAATAAGGCATGAGCAGGTAATATTCAAATTAATGTAAATCGAACTGATGCTACGGAAATCGGCGGTCAGACTTTCTCGGAATTCAGTGGAATCAAATGCTTCAATGAAAGCCAGCACGAGGGAGGCATGATGGATATCAGCGCCAGGAAACGGGACGTGGCTTGCAAACTGCCAGAATAGCTCGTGTAAAAGCCTCGTTGAATTACTGTCGAGCCAACCTGCCAGCCTAGAACCATCTATCCTCTCCCGAAGGCTGCTACCGAGGTATTGAAATCCTCGAATGTTTCCGGTATCAAATTTGAAGAATTGTTTGATCCATTCAGCACACTCGCAGAGAACTTTGGAGGGTGTAAGTTGCATCGTCCTCCAAGTCATTGAATTGAAAGCAAGACATTATGCAATGATATAGACATGCATCTAGCTGGCAAATGATGTGTATTACTTGGGGAACCCGAGGCTCTTAACACTGCGTGAAATCTCTTTACTGTGTTTCTCTCCATCTGACAAGACCAGCAAATGCTTTGTCTGCCAACTCACATCTCGGCTCTTACGACTACATATGTACTGCCTTTGCAACGCCATCGTGTAAGATGAAATTCCAATACTCCCCAAACGCCACTACAATGTGAACCGTGACTCGTTCGCTCCGAAATCATTGCCTGGTAAATCCATCACCCGGCATAGGATCATGGCTCGTCAAATCAGATATCCTTTGGCCACTTTTGTATTGCCACCTTGAGCCTGGCCATGTCGGGTCCAACAATGAACCAAACGTGGCAAAATTGCTTCTTCCACCACAAAATACTGCGCATGCTAATCCAGACAAAGATTGGCTGGATGGACGATTGCGAACGAACCAAGTATTAGTACATGAACATGAACAGGAATGATTTGCTGCTGCTGCTGCCGCCACCTCTATGCGTTCGGAACTGCGTTGTTCATGTGCGAGAACCTCTCGCTCCATTATGGGCCGGACCGTCCGATCAGGGATCAACGTCATGGCTCCTGTGCTTGCGTTCAACTGAATCGCGTCTAATATGAATGAATCGGGAAAACTGGCCCGATCTTGAGAATGGTATAGATGACAAGTCTCGCTTCTCAACCAGAGTTTTCGTTGTCGTTTGTGCGATCCGGTACTCTCAATGAGCGTTGTTGTAGCGTTAGATCTCAATCGTCTTCATGCCTTCGTCAATGTCGGTATCATCGCTATCAATCGATGCGACTTCGGCCTTGGCGCTGGCCTTGCCCTTGCCGGTCGTACTGTCGCCATTGGGAAGCTTGTTTGCTGGTGGAGACTTTGCATCAGAGCTCTGGCGCGGAGTATCGACTTCAACGAGCTTGGCCGGGTCTTCGTCGATCTCGGCCAGCTGAGGCGCAACCAACGCGCTTGTGGTAGTCTCCTCCGTCACCCTAGCCAGAGGGCTCGACTTGCTATATCCTGGCCGGATCGGGCTGGTGAGGGGAGAGGGACTGCTGAGTCTCTGCAGAGTTCTGCCGCGGACCTCTCCGTTGCCGTTGGCGTCGACCGGGCTTGCGTAAGGAGAGGCCGAGGGAGAAGCCGCTCCTCTGGGTCCCATCGATCTGCGCTTGGCAGCCTTCTTGGCTCCACGGCCATGCTTCTGATCCATTCTCCATCGCAGAATATCAAAGTAAGCCGGCTCAACGCGGTTGGTGTTAAACTCGCGCAACTTCAGTTCGTTTGAATCCTCGTCAATGTACCATCTACCGCTGTTCAGGTCGTCCGCAACAACAGCCATAAAATGGGCCCAGGATCGAGCGACCACGTATTTGATGTCGTAGTCGCGACCAAAGAGAATGATTTGGCCCCATGTACCAGTCGGTCCGGGAGCCAGATCGACTGCAAGGTTGTTGCCACCCCAGTCTCTGACCAGGGGAATCCAAGCAGGATGGGCGTACACACGTTGAATCGCGCCTTGGGGAACTGAATCTTGCTTCGACAACAAATCATCCCTCCAGGTTGAGCTTTGACTACCAGCAGGAGAGCTTTGGGTTGATTTGGAAGATGATGCTTGCGCGCTGCCGCCGAATGCCTTGCTAGGAACGGCGGGCTTGACAATGTTGGTGCTCAGCAAGAATTCCTGGTTGACCTTCATCCACTGATCCCTCTCCTGGACAATCTCCTCGCAATCCAGAAGCATGGAGCTGAATATGATACCAGTAGGTCTGCCGCCACGCTCTTGGCCGTCGTGTACCATCAATGAATCTCTAATGTCCTGAGGCAATGAACAGTCTAGCTGGTGTTCTAACTCGTTCAAATCATTGTTTGTGCAGCCCTCACAGAGCTGATCCCAGAGTTCGGGGTAGTTCTCCTCGGCCCAGTTGTCTATCCGCTTCCAGGAGTGAGAGATCGGAGGCGCAGGAGGACCATCGGCAAAGGATTGCATGGGAATCTCCCCTGGACTGTTGATGGTTTCGAAGCCGTCACCGTTCTCGCGCTTTGCATTAAGCGATCTCATTCCCGGTGAGTAAGGACCATTTCCAGGGCTCATAGGCGATGGGGAAGGCATTCCCGCACCCAAATAGGACGTTGAAGTATCAATCGCGGACAGGCGACCAGTTTCGTCACCGTAGGGAGATGAGACATCGGCGCGGGATTCGGCGGCGGTAGCGACAGAAGTGAGTGTTGATTGCCTGTTGAGCGGCATGTGGCCGCCTGTGCGATAGGGGGAATCATAGCTCGAGTCTAGTAAACAGTCAATGGGCTGATGCAGCCACGAATGGGTGTCCAAGGGCAAGGATAACTTACGGCGATCGTAGCTGGTCATGGTATGCCAGAACGAGCGAAAGGCAGATCCTATGGGGCTACATAATGATACAGATCAGCAAATGCTGCAAAGGCCCATGGGATCTGGCTTGAAACAAGAGCACCAGGTCAACTCACTTGGAAGCCATGGCGGGCAAAAGACCTGCGCTGTCAAATTAAAAGATGGTCTTGGTAGGAACGAGTGTGTCCAGCGCAGTGCCGCCCTTGAGCGCGGGGGAAAAGCGGGTGTTTCGAGGCGATGTGGTCGCAGATAACGAGCGAACAAAGAAGGAAGAAACTGCCGGGCCTCGATTCGGGGAGAAAGGATGACTGCCGTAGACAATCGAGGTCGCCGTCGCTGAGTAGTGAGGGTAGAGGGCTGTCTTGGTTGAGGGATTGAAGTTGGAAGCTGGAGACGCGTGCCAAAGACAGTTGTAGTAGAAAGGGGTTGGCCGAAAACTAAGGTAGTATGGGCAGAGGGAGTTTGGCGGTTGCGTTGCAGGGACGTCTGGGGCCAGAGTAGGTAGCTGGTACAACGGATAGTCGCGATGCCCCTAGGCCGAAGTCAAGACGTAGCAAATGTATCAAGCTTCTTTTTGAGATGCCTAATGCTTCTTCTTTCTTTACAGTATTTAACGAGAGGTAGTGTGTGTATGGTTTTCGTCCTCGAAGAAGGGGGAAAACAAAAAGAATATCTTAGTGATCGACGTGCGTGTCTTTGTGTATCTTTTCTCTTCTCTTTTTTTTTTCCGTCCTGCTGCTAGGAGTGCTTGTACTTGTAAGAGGGAAAAAAAAGATTGGGCCCAGTTCCTGTTACTAGGGAAAACGCAGTGACGGACCGGCAATCAAAGATTGTTGCAATGCTGCCCAGGGAAAAATGAATCAGACGGGTCGGCCGTCGGTAGTGGAGCAGCTTAGGGAATTTAGGGGATCTTGGGTGCTGCGGCGGGCAGGACGTGGCAGGCTAAAAAGCGAGCCTAGACGTTAAAGTGACGCGCAAAAGCCCAGATTAGCGCTGGGTCAATACCTAGCTTAGCTCTTTCATGTCCTGGCTAGCAGTTTGCTAGGTTCAGAAATTCAGGCAATCGATGCTTCTCCTGCTTCTTCCACTGCTTCTTTCTTGTGACACTCTTTTTTTTCTTCTCTGGTTTCCCCACAGTCCCGGTTTCAACGCCGCACGTCCACCAATGCCGCTGGTCCAAAGGTACTCCAGGGGTAAGGTAGGTGGTGTACAGAGGATATAGGTACAAGCTGTTGGTAGTTGAGTTATTCGCCTGTTCAAAGGGCTAGTATCTCCATACTACATTAATACTGTGCACACATTTGTGGTCTCCGGAGGAAACCAAAGGAGAAGTACTTGATTACACTGCAGTTTGGGCATTTCATTCAGGAGACACGCTGGATACTATTCAAGACAGACTATTGAAAGTGCTTGCTCGGGAAGGGGGGCCTTTGTTGCTCAAGCCTTACAAGGCACGCGGCATGGCAATTGAAGAAATGTGAAACGAAAATGCGCCTGACCTGACTGAGTCTACAGTACAAGTCGACGGGCTCCAAACGGCACCGGTTGTTATTAAGTAGCATCGTCCTTGCCGCCGTTGTACCTTGCTTTCATGCTTATCATCGACGTTGTCGTTTTCCGTCTATTTATTTTCTCAACTAACTTAGCGATTTAATAGTTTTCCTCTTGTGCAGCTTGTATGTCATTCAGAATGGAGATAGCAATCTTGGTCAAAGAAGCAGCACAATTTCTTCTGGGAAGAGCAAGATAAATGGAACACGGATGGGTTTTGCTTTGAGTAGTCTCCTTCCCAATGCATGCACATTTGCTTCCACAAGAAGAACCCATTCGGCTTTACTAGGGAATGGCGGCCAGGGGTACGGAATGGTAGTGAAGAAGGGAAGTAGAAATTCCCAAGATGGCTAATCAATAGGCAGGAATTGCGCCCATCCATACATGAATAGGTCAGGGGAAGGGGAGGGGAACCAAACTGCAAGTGGTTCAAGCAAAGGCTCTACATTTAGGTATCAATGGAGATAGCCGAAGGCCAATGCTGCAAATGGTCACTATAGTGGTGCAGCAGGCAAGGACAACCAGCATAAGAAGAACCCACACGTACTAGGTACTGTGCAGTATTTCTGGCAATACTACAACAGTAGAAAGATCACATATGGGTGTGCTGCTTGAACATGATTTTTTTCTGGTGTAGTGTCGGACACCATGCCGTAATCTCACTTGCATCTACAAGTTATCTCCCATTCCATACCTGCATTCGGCTGTGGCTTGCTGCATCTCACCTTGATAGCAAATCAGCCTGTGAACGTATCAGCGGCCACTCCCTCGCTCCCATTCAGTCAGCCAAGAACATGGGACGGTCCTGCATACACATGCAGCGGTCGGGCCATGCAGTTGTCGCCTCAAAAGAAACTTGAATTTACGTCAGATACTGCCGCGGATACAATGTAAGTAGGCACATGTGCTGCTCAATGATGGTCAATCAGATGACGCACACAGCATAAACATGCCACCATAACAGACTTTTATATTACGCTTGTGATTGCGTAAATGCCATCCTATACAATAACCTCTGTTAGCCCCAGTGATGAATGTTCTGCGGCATGTATAAAGAAGTTTACAGAATGTTGAAGTATAATGTTTTAGGAAATATTTCTAAATCCATCTTGTCTCCTCGTGCTCCTGACGGACGCGCGCCGTGCATAATGGGGGGATGGCAGTCACAGGTCTCCAAATGCTCATGGAAGCTCTCTCACCCCCTGCCCCCTGTCCCACACACGTCACTGTCCATTCATCTCCACCTCTCATTTTCCGCATCTCCAGGCGGAATCCCCTCGAATTTCCAGCACGTCTTTTTTAGCACCAGCCAGGTTTGCCAGGGCCCTCGGGGCCCTTTTCGCTGGCTGGGCCTGCTAGACTCCCTCGGCTCTCCCCCTTCTTCTAACCCCTTATCTCCATCGCGGCATGGTAACGATCCGTGGCCGATCTCCTCACTACACCCAGTAATGGTAATCAGATACTAGGTACTCAAGCTAGGTACGCTTTGTTTACCCGCGCGACAGCAAGTCAATCCAGCAGCTGCCAGTCAGTCGGTCGGCGCTTGTCTGGACGGATATCCGTTCATGCAAGGACCGTGTGTGGTGCGCAGTCAATTGTGAAAACAAGAAATCTGATAGCGAATCAAGGCAATACACCACCTTTGGCACCTGGTATCCAGCGTGTTACAATTGTCCAAGTCGCTAAAAGAACAACGACTGGACCCCTACGGATCTTGAGGTATTCCGTGCTGCAATCCTGCCATCGTACCACAATGTCTCGCTTGCTACGGCCCTGGATCCTCCTTTCCTCCTTATTGGAATCCCCCGTTTGCGGTTCCCGAAAAGCTGCAAACCGCAAGTGTATTATAATGGCGCCCGCCGTTTGGGTTGGAGCCAATCAGGGGGCTGGAGACCAAGCTTTTGGTCCCCTTTTTCTTTTTCTTTCTTTTTTTCTTTGTCCTCGTTCCTCGAAAATCAAAGAATGCCCGTTTCTATCCCCCCGACCATACAAGGCATGGCTAGGGTCTTGTGCTCCATGCTGAAGCCACAGGAGTTGCACAGGAAAGGATACGCGGACGAATGAGCCCCAATCACTGCCGAGTTGTTGTTTCGTTAATACCCTGGAGAGAAGTGCAAACAGGTCAGCTTGGTGCCGCCATTAGCACAAATGTAACGAAACGCCAAAAACAGCCTATTGGGTAGGGAAGAGTGCGTTCAGTGCATTTGAGTGTTGACAAGCTGCAGTCAATCTACGCCACCATTTCTTGGTTTCTCGCCATTGACGGCACTGGCAGTAGCACGAACCAGACTAGAGCGGCGCTTGTACCTGACCCTAAAAATAAGGCAAAGCTCTATCTTTCTCTGTCTCTGTCTCCCTCTTTTCATTCGTTTATTATCCCTTTTCGCTTCCCATTCCCGCTGTTCCCGTTCACGCCGCCAATCGAATAATAAAGCCAAAGTCCCTCCCTTCAATACGTACTCCCCGCCCCGCGCCGCTGACTATAGGCGGGAACGGTAGAGAGGATCGATCGTACCTGGGAGGAGACGCCGCAGACCCAATGAAAAAGATCATGGGCGGCTTTCTTTTACCCATGCATGTAAGACCTGAGGAAGAGCGCAGTGGGCATTCGGCTGTTGCGCGGAGAGAGATGGTCCTATCACATGTCGACTATCAGGCGAGGCACAATCTTACCCAATCGGGGACTTCCTTTTATTACTTGATACGTTTTGCCTCCCCTCAAAGTAGAGACCATACACATTTCTAGAGAGAAAGATCAGCCGGACTGCTACTGAATGAAGCTCGTGAAGAAGCATGTGCAGAGCGCGTTGGCAAGTTGGGCATCGTATAGATTAGATCGCTGGTGCAATTTGTTTCTAAGAATAAGCTTTGCCACATCTGCACGCCTTGAAAGCACCATGTTCAAATTCACATATTGAAGGGGGGCGACTTTGGAGTAGAAGACGGGGCGATCTATTTTGGACAACGACGGGACGATCTCATCTTGCCACGGCCAAAATCATTACCAAGCCAATCCCCAAAAACAGAAGCGACAAAATCGCTTCAATTGAGGCAATTCAAGTGAGTACAGTGATGCAAGTTGGCATGCAGCACCCTGCCGTTCCACATTCAAACTGTCCAGGCGATTGGATCGGCCGTCTATGTGGGTTGCTTAGCGAAAGAGACAGAGAAAAGAAAAAGCAAAGAATCTTCATTGAAATTAGCCAGTCGCCGAATTCTGATGAACATGCAAACCACCATCTATCCGAGAACAGTTGCCGCGACGATCCCCCCCAAATAAAGAATACAGTTGAAGAAAACCTGTCGGGCCAGTATGCAATGTCACCTCCCCCAGTTTTCATGTCTCATTGACCCCCAAGTTTGCTACTTCACCCCCAGATTATGTATGTTGGATGATTATACCGTGGGTCTTTGATGCACAGTCGGAATACGATCGAATGAAAAGCGAAATATGCACAGCACAAGTGGCTATTATTGAATATAGTCTTTACATCATTGTCTGGCTCGCCCCTTGCTGTTGAAATCCCATTCTCCCCGTCCGCACGCTGCCGATCTTCTAGTTCTGCCACGCGTATTCACTCAGCGCCAGGTTTTTCTCGCCCATTTGCCTCTTCGCCGCTGCTGCAATACCGCGCTCTGGGTTCGCCAGCTGCTCACTGTAGCAAAGCTCCACCATGGCCTTGAGCTCGTCATAGCTGAATTTCTCCTCGGCTGGAATGGCATCTGGGCCCCTTTCCTTGTCCGCCTTGGCTTTCTCAATGATACCGTCTGGTCCCGCTTCAAAGAGCGAGTAGTAGTTGGCCGCACGAGCTAGATCAATACCGCCCTCGATGTTCTTAAGATTCTGCTGCAGGACGAGGATATTGAGCTTCATGCGGCTACAGCCACTGGCGTTCATGGGCTGAGTCTGTAGGGCTTTGCCGACTAGGTAGCTATTGATGAGCAATCCAACGCCGGTACGAATGAAGCCAATCTCACGCTCCCGCAAAAACCGCACTGTTGTCTCGTCATAGGCTACGAGCTCCGAATTCAACGACAATATTGTCTGGTCCGGTTCCTTGATTTCTTGGTCAAGAGGCAGCACGTATGGTGCCGTGATGGGCGAGAGAGTCGCTGCAAGTGAGTACACTGTGCGACAGCGTACCTCCATGTGCAATGTCAAAAGAACCGTGCTGGCTAGGTCGTCATAAGAAGTGACTATACTGTCAAATGATCTGTCATATTTGTGAGTACGAATTCTCATCAGTAAGTGCTACATAATCCACATGATTACTTACTGGACTGTTTCCTGCGTCATTGGCAGGTACACAGGACCATTTCGATCGCCGACAGCCTTCTTCGGATCATTGAGCAAGGTCCAGCGTCGGTTTTGGTTTCTGGGTAGAACAGGTCGTGAAGAGTCTGTGTCTTGATGTGTAATATATCTCAAGCCGCCAATCTTGACATTTAGCCACTTCATGCTCGTATACAGCAGACATAGCGATGATATAACGTCTCGGTCCTGAACAATGTCGCTTGGACCCAAAGTGCGCTCGCTTGTCTGCGAGATCAGCAGGCTGACTTCGGTCTCGATAAGTTCACGGTCTGGTGATTCGAGTGCCCAGAGTTTCTTGGCCGTTTCCTGGAGCTCGCCTTCTGTGGTAGCAAGCTGGGCAGAAAAGCGTAATTCCTGTGCAGCCGAGGGCACTTCGTGAGCCTTGGCAACCAGTGATTTGAACCAGGCAAAGCAACGCTCATAGTATCTGTTCATTTGCGAAATGATCAAGGAGCTGAGTGCTTGGTCGTGAGGGATGGTGTCAAGCATTTGACAGAACGCGGTGACCACCGTGAAAAATTGTGTCGTCCCCCTAAAGATAGGTCTTCGAGATATTGTACTCCAGTCTGGGTCTTCTTGGAATGTGTCTATCTCCGCGAAGATGTTGTCGCTGAGCTTTGCCAGGGTTTCATCAAGTTGCGGCTGGAAGACATTGACCAGGAAGTTATCGAGGAAAGATGTCAAAGTACTTGCAGCCAGATCTGAGCCTGGCGGCACAATGACCTTGAGCCTCTGCAGAAAGACCAATGTCGGAGGCAGAAGGAGACTCATGTTGAACACACTGGGTTCGACCAATGATTTATATGATCCAGGGCCTTGCCTGTTCTCAAAGGCTCCAGTATTTGCGCTCTTCCTCTGGTCTCTACCTGCCTTCTTCTCCGAATCTTTTGTTTTGCGGGTATCCGAGGTTAGACCCGGGACGGCGGCTTGAATGATACCATCCAAAGCATCGTACTCGGTCGTCATTTCAATAGATTTAGGATCCGCCTCTGAGAACTTGAATAAGTTATCTCTTCCCGCAATCTTGCCGCCGTTCATATTCCCACCCAGTTTAGGTGACGAGTTAAAGTGATAAACGTCTGCATCGGTCGTGACATAATTATGGAGGAGAGAGCGAATCTCGTTCTGGTACAGGTTCCATAGCTCTTTGAAGCTTCCAAGCAAGGAACTGTTGTTTCCGGAACCCTCTCGCTTGATAAGCGCCTTGATGGTCTCATGGAATACACGGTGCCCTTCAGAAATTGCCTCGAACTTGCCGTACAGAGTCCAGAGCAAGTCATAAATAACATCTGCCCGCATCTGGGTCTCACGACTGCCATATATGTGCAAGCCCTCAGCATTCGAAGCACCGCCTCGGAGCGAGCTCGGGTGTCTCTGGTCCACCTCGTTGATCGTTTCGTTGACGACCGAAAACAGCTCAACAGGCAATCTTTGTTTTAATGTATCCACAGCGCCTTCCAAACGACCGAGTTTGTTCAAGGACTCTACCAACAATTGAACGTACCAGAAGGTGTCTGCTTCCGGGTTCTTGGCTGGGTCCTCGGCAAGCTGTGTCTCGAGCTCCATTGAGTCTAGGACATAGTGAAACGGTGTGATTACATCTTGGTCTCCGTAATTGCCGCTGCTGAAAGCACCATGATTTTTTGAGAGACTCTGCCACCGTTCTTGGCAATATGGCGACTTCAGATAGAGATGTTCATGCAACTCCTCAATCAAAATGTCCATCAATGCGGTTTCCTGGTTGGCAAGGTAGCCACGAAGTTCGCTCAGAGCTCCAATATCATCAAGCTCCGGCTTCCTGAGCTTACGTAGCGCAGTTTGTAGAACTTCCACAGCGGTCAAGAATCGTTTCTCGGAGATCCGTGCCTCTAGCTGATCTGGCACCTGCCTCAAGTCTTCCAACTCATTAAGCGTCTGCAGCACTTCATCATACGTCTGAGAAGTCTTGTACATCTTCTTCAGCTCAGGGTCCGAGGTGCCGAGCGCAGCCCGCGACCCGACGAGCGAGTCCTTTAGGGCCCGCACCCGCTTCTGCGAGGCCTGGATGCTCCCTTGGATCTTGTGGAATGTACCGATGGAACTGTTGAAGCCCTGGTGATGCTCATGTACAATACCCTTGAGGGAATCCTGTAGGTACTGGTGCATTTCTTGAAAATTCGGGTACTCGTGCGCTCTACCTACGGAGCTATTGTCGAGGAGCTGGAGGGCCAGCGAGGCAGGTATGCAGTCGGGTTCGCAGAGCGCTGGCCAGTCCTCCTTGACGCGCTCGAGGACCTCTGCTATTCTTCGCTCGGCACTCGACTCCTGGGCGCGCTGCAGCCTCGAGGCCGAGGAGTTGCCATAACTGTTGGCGGCGATGCCTGCACCGCCATATCCGCCGTTTCGAGGGGGCGGTCGTCTCGAGCTCATCTGCTGAGGGGGAGTACCGTATCGATCGCCGCCCGCGAAGCCGTCGCCGCCAAAGGGATCGTAATCTTCTTCCTGCTCAATAGGCGGTGGCCGTGGGGCCCGTCTTCCGTAAGAACCATAGCCGTTGTTGTTGGTGTCGCCGTTGCGATATGAGGCGCCGTACCGGTCTGCCATGTCCGCAACAGCGCATCAGGTAAGATGGCTGACGAAGGGAGCTATTCGGTGCAGCTATTGCGGCATTCTGGGCCGCCCGGTCTCAGCCTGCGAATCTTTTCGTATGCGCAGATGCTCCTGGAGCAATTGAAGTTGTCGATAGGGACTTCACCGGATCTGGCAACGTTGTGTTCTTTGGGCAGTGTGTTTGATTGTCGAGGATTAAGGTTAATGCCAACGGAGCTCCTTAGGCAGCCTGCGGGCGTCCCTGGAGTGCGGCGCGGAGCCAGTGAAATACTAAGGTAGTACTAATACCTTGGTACCTCATTTCTGGCGTTCAATTTGTTTCATCCACATCCACCTCCAGCCACAGAGCATTTGACATTAGATACTGGATATTGTATTCAAAAGACTATGGACTATTGGCTCATGCTTTCCTCTTCTACAATTTCTGAGTACTTTATTCTTCCTGATCCTGAAACAGAAAACTTGGAGGAGGTGTCCGACATGCGCCTAGCCTTGAGCAATACCAAGTTAAATGGTTCTTGTATTGTTGCAGAAAGCATCTCTCGACATAGAGAACAAAAATTTTATACATTAAATACGGCTATATTCTATTAATATGGTGGGACGCTCTGCAACCAAGGACTACTCAGATCTGTAAAGAAACTGGCGCCCTGAACCTCTGTAGGTGCAGCATCATCCGTAACATTACAGTTGACAAGCCAATCGCCCTCTGCTTCGTACTTGTCGGCAACATACTTCACGTATTCACTCAACAAACAAGAGGATCCGGGTCCATCACGACAGGAAGGTACTGGATAGACCGCATCATTCAATCGTATACGCACATATGTCGCATTGGTCGTCTCCTGGCGGGAAGACAGTGAACCATGGGACGGCGCGGCAGTAATGAGTGCAGGGAACGACGAGGCAGTAGCGGTTTTGGCTTTGCAGGCGTCCTTTGTCTTGGAAGACAATGTCGTGGCATTCTGATATGCGCTCACACTGTAAGAAGCGGAAGTGTTGCCAGGACTGCCACTGCCACTGCCACTGCCTGCTGCTACAATGCAGTTCAGTCGCTCAAATGCAATTGTGCCTCTCATGCTCACGTAGCGCGAACCAACCCAGAGTCTCTCGTCGTCCTTTTCTGTCGCAGAGAGGGGTTCTTGCGCATCAAAGACGCCACTGGCTGTGACCAGCTCGGTAAGTTGTCCGTCGTTTAGGAAGGACATGAGCAGATTTGGCACCTTGAAGTCGGAGCCATCAGCTCCAATGCCGGTAATGTTGGGACCCTGCGCAAAGAGACCAACCAGCGCATTGAGGTACGGCGTCATCATCTTCTTGGGCAAATCGGTTCCAGGACCTACACCATAGTAGTAACGAAGATCGTTGGAGTACTCGTACTGCTTCAGCTCCTCGTCTGTGAGCACATCACACCACGGCGATAGTCTCCCGGTAATGTGGCTTTCAAAGCCACACAGGTATGGTATTTGGTCAATGTCACTGGCCGTCAGGGTCAGGTTCCCCTGGATCAAGGCCTGGAGTCGTTCCTGAATAGGAGGGATGTAGAGGTCGTCCCAGGTGGTCTTGTTGGTCCCTCCCGAAGCATCCACAAAGTTTGGGCACATATCAGAGGGAGCGAGAGAGTTACCAATCGCTCCCGAGAAGCCTTTGCTGGTTACGGATATGACACTGCCGTTGGCCGCGGCATTGAAGCCCAAGTATCCCTGGACAAACGTCTTTGCGGTTTGTAGCACTCGTGTGTAGTTGTTGGCCCATACCAAAAATTCATCTCCGTCTTGGTATAGATCAGGGTATCTGCGTAATTTTGTAAGTCATTTAGTTTCTACACAGTCACAATGTTCTGACCTGGTTCGCAAGGTATAGCCAAGGTCATGAACCTCCTTCGATCCTGTTGGGTTCAGCATGGCTATCTGGAGTGCTGGGTTTGTCAAGACCGTCTTCCATGTAGGCAGAAATGAGAGACTACCGCCAGCTGTATAATTTCCAGCGGTAAACTGATTCAAATTTAGCAAAATAACAATTTTGTCACAACTCTTGGACACTCACTCGCTCCTGCATGGAGACCCAGCCACTGTAGGCGCCCGAGTCGGGATATCTCGAGCCATGACGAAGAATGTACGCTGCCTGGTCGACGTAGCAATTCTCTGGGACTTCGGAAGATATCCCGTTCACATCTGGTCCGGCATACCATGGGCCATTGGCTCCAAGCCACTTGAGCGGATCTGTTGCCGTCTCGCTCGCGGGAAAGTTGATATCTTGGGTTGGTGCCAGAATCTGTCCCGCCGCGGAGACTCCCGCTACTGCCAGGGATACTCCAACGAGGAGTGAAGATGCCATTGCGATTAACAACAAGGCGAGGTGCCAACGAGTGAACTTGCTTGGATCAGGACAAAGCACATCTCGGACAGAGGGGGGAGGAGGAAGTGGTCTTTATAAATCTATCAAATGCAAATGCAGTTGTTCTCCATATCACCCTACGCGAACCGTCGATCGACTTGACCGACCGCCAAGGCATGGTAACATCGGTCGACGCATACTACGTAGCTGACCCTGGCAGGTTGCGCACGTGGGCGCGAATTGGAAGCACTGGGAGCAATTCGGAAAGACTCCCGAACCACTGCGTCGGTGTTGTTTTCACGGCCTAAGAGAGCCCTGCTGGCCCTCTAGCAATTCCGATGGTTTAAAGCCAAACACTGTACCCTCGTTTATGGTATTTGCTGGTGACGTTGTAGAGGGCCACGTGCAAAGCCTTGTGAAGATGGTTTGTGGAAGAACAGAATCTCGGAAATTGCGCCAGCCCGAAGTGGTCAATAAACCGTGGGGCCCAAGGGGACAGTCAGATACCTGGCGAGCCTGGGTAGAGAGAGCTTGGCATGATAGCGGCCCTGAAGCGGAGACGCGTCGATTTGGCTGCAGGCGAGATTCGAGCTATTGAAGGTAGGCCAAAGTGATACGGGAATAATGCATGGAAAGAAGGTATCTGTTTTTTTTTTTGTTCCGTACCTGCTAGACGCCATACTATAATATTGTGGCGAATGACGAGATACTTTCTGTTGAGTGACCGGGTCCAATTGAACGGCGCACCCGCTTGCCCCACCCGATCCGGGGCCTTCATTGACCGGAAGTGGACGCCGTTTTTTTACGGCCCTCATCTTTGCAACCGCCGATGCCAGGACAATCGACCAATTAAAACAGCAACGCTTTCGGGTATCTAAGGACAACTCATCAGAATAAAGGGTCTTCAAGTATCTTGGAGTTCAGTTTCCCTGCGAACAAGGACTCAACCATGCCTACCCGGGTCCCCAAACCAGAAGACTTTGACGATCTATCGTCCAGTCTGAAATTTGCCCTGACATACCCCGAGGTCCCGGAAACAACTACGGCCATATTAATCATCTTCCACGGTCTGGGTGACTCCGAGGCAGCCTTTACAACTTTTGCCAAGAGCATTAACCTGCCGGGTGTCCTGGCCATCTCAGTCCGAGGCGTCTCACCCCTCCCGCCCGCACTCCTGGGCCTTCCGGACTCGGCGGCGCCAGTCAACCATTTCCATTGGGGCGATGATCTGACCTTGTCGCCGAGCACGGGAGATCTGGATCCCGATCCTGGCTACACCAAGGCCGTAGACCTCGTCCTCGGGAAGCTCATTCGGGAGACGCTGATTAGCAAGTGCGGCTGGGACACGCGCGACATGCTCCTCTTTGGCTTTGGCCAGGGCGGCTCGCTGGCCCTTGGTCTAGCGTCGAAGCTCCGCGGGCCTTTGTCCGAGAGGATCACAAATGTCACGAACGCAGAACCGGCAGCCGCCGCCGCTGCAGCTGAAGGCGAAAACACGGCGTTCAAGGGCGTGGTCTCGATAGGTGGGCCACTACCCGCGAGCACCATCCCGACGCTCAGCGCCCGCGAAAAGGCGCGTAGTCCGGCGCTGGTGTGTCATGGCCGTGCCAGTGAGGCCCTGGATGACGACGCCTTAGAGGTGCTGCGCAAGGAGTTTGTCGATGTGCGCGACGTCAAGTGGCAAAAGCCTGATGACGGGATGCCTGGAAGTAGGGAAGAGATGCTTCCCATTATGAAATTCTTTGCCGAGAGGCTAGCAAACGAGTTTTAGTACGTGTTATAAATGTCTTCATTGGCATTAACTTCCAAGGAATGTCGTCAATGGATAAATTCAGCATGAGTTGCTATACATGTCCGGAGATAGTTAAAGACGACAGCTCTTTAGCGTGACCTTTGGTCCTCACTGTATTCATATGATCTCCCTGTCATATCTGGAGGCCTCTCGGGCCATCCAAACTCAACTTCAAGCAGCCGGTAGAAGCATGAAACGCCTGCCTAAGGCCATTATCTACCAGTGTTATAGCTTACATTGTTTGACACAGTTGTTATCATGGGACAGTAGCAAGGGCATCTTCATCGTTTTATACATAGCGTTGGCTACTTATTATGTACAGTAACCAATAGAGTACACAGGCATATAAGTCCCGTTACAATGCCTTGGCATCATGATTACATCGTTACTCCAGACGACCGCCAACCCCTGTGCCATCCGAGGACGCAATGCTACACCAATTCCTCTAGATGACGTCCGATCTATAATACACGTTCGCACCGCGCCCATCCCGTAGGTGTCCTTGGGGGTTGGTCCGTGGATGAGAAGGGCCTCGCACCAGCGCATCATCAATGCTGGTTACAGAAATGTCTATCGTCATGTTTTTGATGCAGCCTCATCCGTTTTGCCTCATGTCCGGAAAACAGGAGAAATTTTTAGTAAGACAGGAGAGCAGAAGAAGTTGGGAGTTGTTTCCTTGTTCTTTCCATCAAGAAATCTCGGTCTCGATCAAAAACTGGCCCGAGCTCTTGAGAGCTGGAATGTCGGGCGATATTGAAAGTTTTTGGAACCGCTTAGAATGGGATGTTGGGCGAAGTAGCACCCAAAGTCTCCGACTGTTCTTGGAGCTCCTCGCCACCGGCCTCAATTGTGATTCCCAATCCAATCTTGGCTTGTTGCTAAAGGGTGCGTCAGTAGGATACTCAAATACATTGCTGCGAAGAAAGGTTTCGGCTTACAGTGGCATGGTCGACGTCAGCTCCAAACGACATCGTGACCGGGGGGGCAACTCTCTTCTCCAACAAGCAGCTGAGCTTGCCCTTTGAGTCGACCTGGGCACGGAAGGTGGACATGCGGAAATCGTACTTGGCACCAATTGTGGTGATGCCCTCCTTCTGGAGACCACCCATCATTCCACCAGCGCCGCCAGGAACAAGCTGAAGGGTCAGGTCAACACCAGCCTGGACCTTTTCGGAGATACGACGCCAGTAGGTGGCGTTCAAGGCGCCCTGAGCGTGCAATTGTGCTGTAGCAATCCAGTCATCGGACTTGTATCGGCCGGCAAAAGACATGGCGGCATCCGGGGGCTGGTTGAGGGCGGCACGCTGCCAGACGGCTTCCAAGCCCAGGGCAAGCTTCTTGGTGATGGACTGGAAGTGTCTTGTGATAAAGATACCAGTAAGGCCACCCTCAATGTAGGAAGGGTTGAGCATCGTCAGATTGGAGGTGAAATCGGCGCCAGTATACTCGTGTTCGACCTGAGCCATGTCTTGTTGGCCAATCTGGAACTGGCACTTGGAGACGAGCGAGGGAGACCATCGGTAGTTGAATCTCGTCGAAAGCGATCCATCGCTATCCATGCTTCCCTGCAAGAAGACCTGTATAGTACAAGTGAGTGATTAGTTGCATGGCTCAAGGTACATCGTCTAGCATAAGCTGCCATGAGTTATGGCAGACATGGCATCAGGCTGTGTGCTTACCTTGTTTGTGCCGTAGAGAGCAGCGAACGCATAAGGCTGCATGCGCTCACCCATGGCAAACTGATGCGACACCTGGAAAAGAGGTGATAAACTGAAGGCCTTGGTGAGGTCTGCTCTTAAACCAGTGTGCATGTAGTTGGTCAAGAAGACCTCACGCTGCACCTCCTTCGCGACACCCTCAATCGAGCCCGGGTTGGACAGGCCCAGCTTCGCGCGGCGGTCGGAAAAGGCATTGTAGGCGCTCGAGAGGCTCCGGGCAATGGGATTTTCTGTCAAGGCCCCGAAGGACGAGGACGGTGCTGATGAAAGCTCAACGGCCATTGTGCGGTATGTGTGTGCAAGGTCGTGACTCTTTTCCCCCCGTGTGATGGTTGGATGCTTTGGCGGTGGAATGCACAGAAACTCGTATCGTCGAGTCTAGACAAGGCGGCCACAGAAGACGACGCTGCGGTCGGCGTGATTGATGCTACAGGCGGTGCGGCGAGAGGTTGCTGTTGTCGCGAAGAGTAGGGGAGGCTAATGGCCGAGATAGGATTTTTGAGAGCTGCCAGCTCCGTCGTCACGACTGATGGGATCAAAATTTCTTGGGCAAGGATCTTGACAAGCCCCGTGCTCAGAAAAGAGGAACCTTAGCGTTATGGGGAATGGTAAACTGCGCTAAAGTCATAGTATACTCTAGTTGGCTAGCGGGATAAGAAATCTTTTAGCGGGTGTTATTCGCACAACGGCAGCACTGATTTCAGCTCATGTAAGTAGATATTCATGCATACACCAATAATCAATACTGCCATGCAGTTGAAAGTGAAACTCGTTCACTGTTAGCTTGGTGCGCCCCCCAAAGCAAAAGTCTGGCATTATGTCATATCTTCGTGGCTCTCGGATAACGACTGACCAACCAAGAGCACATGCTCACATACATTCCTGTCTTCTCTCGGGTTCTGTGATCGGAAAACAAGAATCTATTCTTCACTTTGTGTTGACTATATCAAAAACCTTTCTTCTCCGTTGCCTACTCTCTGTAGCTGCACCGAAACATATGAAAAAGAATTGTTTCTCACTTTGTTTGAAGGCAAACCTCCCGATTTGTCGCCAGTTACAGGGATTGACCAAAAAAGGCCCCATTCCAAGGTCCATATCAGATTTGCAGCAGCGTGGTCGCTATTATAGCTGCGACCAGGCGCGGTCCAGTCAGATCAAACCTAATCCACCCGAGCGCTACTCACTCACAGTCCACCTTCATCCTGCCGACCAAAAGCTACCTCATTGACAAAGACAAGCTGCGTCCAAGGTCTCACTCTAGGTTGCACGCCTAGCCAACGTCACTTGGGACCTCCTTTGCCTCGTGGGATTTCATTCCTGCTGCGCAGACCTCGACGAAATCCAGTCTTGGCTTGATAGCAAGCAAAAAACTGTGCCTGCCATCCTATACATCTACCATCTATCTTCGATAAGGACCTCGGCCTACTGCCCTTTTGCATCTTGGGGCTGCGATATCCCGTCACCGGCCGCTCCGTTGCCGTGTCTCTTCCTACTGCAGGCTTTCTTTGTCCTGCCTAGTGTGCCGTTATAGAGCTGAGCTGCGTGAGCAACGAATCTCACCTACCTAGAGGGTGCCTCTTTTGGTGAAGGACTGTGAGATGCACTAAACCCGGCCTCGGCGAAAACGGTCTACACAATTTTGAGACTCTCCTGCTCCGTTGGCAACACCAAGCTGCTGCTTTGATACAGAGTTTCCACATTGGGAAAGTGCTGGACGGGGATTGGCTACGGCATCTCACATTCTGGACTGGAGGGTTCGGGTCAACGGGTGATTTTGAAAATATTGTTTGCAGAAAGAGCATTCGGACAGCGGCATAGTACCTAGTCAACATGGACACTCTGCTGTAAGTTTTTGATCCTTTCTTTTTCATTTGTTCCTCCCATCTCACTCTTCCCTCGCTTTTCTCACTCACACTGCATTGTCTGCTTCCTCCAATCAATGGTCGGTTCCCTGCACTTCCCCCACATCAATCTTACGAACCACATCCCGACCCTCTCTTTTCCTTCACCCCTCGCATTGTTGTTCTCTAATACCGGACCCTCGACGGCTTAAATACTATCGCCATGTCCGGTCCGCCCGCACCATCCATCCCTCTGTTTCCGGCAGATCGGAGTGCCTCGCCCGGATCCCGTGCTCGGGACTTGGTCAACTCTAGGAACGGCACTCCCAGCGTGCTTGCATCTGTCCCCATCCACCCACCCCCAGCCAAGAAAATTCGCCAAGTCCATTTTGGGGACATCTGTTATTCCGACAGCGAGGCTGCTTCAGAAACTGAGACTAATGATATCAGTACCGCAGAACTGGCTGCAAATGCACCCCGCGTAAGTAGGAATCGTTGATTTTGTCAATCCTGCTGGTATTAGACACCATATAGCGGCCCAGCGAGCGAAAAACAGCTGTTACCGTACCGTCATGGTGAAAGTTCCAAAGCCATGTATCACAAGGCTAACGGCACTAGTACCGGAGAAAAAGCAGCACTTTCATCGATGGCATCCACGACACAGGTGAGGACAGTTCGGACAGGGCGCCAGCCCAGCTGTACAGTACCATGTCTGGCAGGCTGTTCCATTCCGGTCGCATCGCAATAGTCATGGTTGGACTACCGGCTCGTGGCAAGACGTAAGTGACCTATGGGTACCCTCCTTATCGGATTGAAAACTCAAGAAGAAATCTATTCTAGTCATATTTGCGTGTCGATGGCCCGCTATCTACAGTGGTATGTACCTTAGAGCTTGCCCGAGACAGCTTCTTGCTTACAGAATCCAGGCTGGGTGTCAAAACGCGCATCTTTCATTTGGGAGATTATAGACGAGCTACCGTCGGTGATGATTCCGACGTTCCAGAGGACTATTTCTTCCCCAATGCCTCCCCGGCATCTGTCATGCTACGACAGAAGATTTTGAAGAAATGTCGAGAGGATATCTACGCCTGGTTGAACCATGAAAATGGCCAGGTTGCCATTTATGATGCTGTCAATCCAACTGCCTCTGGCCGGAGATCTCTAGCCAAGGAATTCGCCAAACATGACGTGCAGGTGTGTTTCTTTGTACCCTCCAAGTTTCTGGGCTTTAGTACTAATGTCTACTCAAGACTCTATTTCTTGAGTCTTATGTCGACGATGACAAGCTCTTGCGAGAGAATGCCAGGAATGTCAAAATCAACTCGCCAGACGTAAGAGAGCCCATCACCGCTACCGATTGACGAGTTGCTCACCTATCCTAGTTTGATGGCATGGACCCCGACGAAGCTGCAGGCCTCTATCTCCGCCGCATCGAGATGAAGATTCCTACATTTGAGACCATGGATGAGAACGAGCTGAACTACATCAAGATGATGAATGCAGGAGAAAAGTTCTTCTACAACAATGTCTCCTTCAATTATCTCTCTCATCGCATTGTCTTTTACCTGACAAATACGCACATCAAGTCCCGCACAACCTTCTTCGCCCGAGCTGGTACCGCCACGGAGGAGGACTCTTACAAGGCTGACGCGCCTCTGTCTGATGCCGGTCGCGAATACGCCAATATCATGTGCGAGACGCTCATCAAGCATCGCGAACAGGAGCGCGCTGCACTCAGGAAGGAGGGCGGTCCTGATATTCCTTTGAGGCCTCTGACGGTGTGGACCAGTACTCGGGTTCGCACCATCGAGTCCGCCGAGCCATTCCGCGATCGTGGCTACAAGGTCCGTCAACGCAGCCAAATGTCCCAGATCAACCCGGGTGTTTGTGAGAAGCTCTCCGAGCGTGCCATTCGCCGCCTCTACGCAGATGAAGTAGAAAAACATGATCTGGATCCATACCATCACCGGTACCCCCGAGCAGAGTCTTACCACGACCTGGCTGTGCGCCTGGAGCCAATCATTTTGGAGCTGGAGCGTGAACAGAATGACTTGCTCATTATTGCCCACGAGTCTGTACTACGGGTTCTTTACGCGTACTTGATGCATTGTAGCACGATGGACATCCCGACGCTCAAATTTCCACGCAACGAGATTATCGAGATCATTCCGGCGGCGTATCAGAATGAGGCGAAGCGGATTCATATCCCAGGATTGGATCCTAAGATGGTGCCTTCAAGCCCTGAAGATATTCGAATTCCGGTACCAAGCATGCCGGGCAGCGGCACTGACAGCCCTGCGCCGCTTCCCAATGGCGGACTCGGTAGCCCGGCTGAGCTCAGTCCCGAGTTTGAGCGCAAACCCGAACGGATCGTGAGCACTGCAGTGGATGCGGTCAAGGACAAGCTGACCGATGTCGATTAGATGATCAAAGGTTGCAGGAATAGAGGTAGAGCAAGAAACTCCGTGGGCGAAAGACAGTATGAAAATATGAGAATTGATAGTGGCTACCAAAAACAGTCGTGAGAACAAGTACCTAGCAAAGACCTAGACATTGAGGCGCTATTTTTGTATGGAATAAGGTTTCTTTTTGCTCATGAGGAACGGTACCCTGTAGTCGATAATGATGTTAAACAAACAGCTTCACAATCGAGATGCAAAAAAGTAAACTTTCTTAACAACTTGGTAATCTTTACTCGATGATCTTATGTACGCCGAAACCCCATGCTATGTCTAATTATGTATGCATTGCCCATTTTAATAACAAAAAACAAGTGCGATTGAATTGCATCAAGCAGAAAAAGAAGACCTCTTTCTTGCGCTGGATTCTTCCAATAAACTGATGCAGGTTTGGGTATCTTGGCATTTAACAATTCATGTCTCTTTCCACACTCCCTTTTCCTTAGAAAATCAAAATCGGGGGAAAGACTTTCCATATTTTGGAGACAGCCGACCTCTACTGAACGATGCACTCTCTATCCGGTACGTCGCCATCTTTGCGAGTCTTTTCCTTTGCTTTGCCCTTGTCGAGTCTACCCTTGGATCTACCCCTCTTACTATCCTTTTCTTTATCCTTGTGCTTGTCTTTGGACTCTTCTGGCTCTTTCTCAAGTTCGCTAGTGGTCGCGCCATTCGGGTGGTGAATGACCTCGAAATCATCAGGGTCGCTGAATAAATCATCTCGTAATGGTTCTCGGAGAGGCTCCTTGCTGGCCCGCACGAGGCCGCTTAATCGGGACATGGTAAGGCTGATGCGATTCTCGCCCGCCTGACTCTGGGGTCTGCTCTTGCTGCCACTGCTTCGAAATTTGGCGGCAGCGCGGCTCAGACGTTGTGCTGTGGTCTCTTCACCGGGAGCTTCTAATGGTGTGCCAATGGGACTGGGGCCGGCAGATGAATCAATGGCGCAGCTTCCGCGACGAGATACATTGAGAAAACCGTCCTCGTCAGCAAAGCTGCGTCGGGGTGGCCGTTCCAGCTCGGCTGAGAAGCGAACACTAGCATTGGTCGACGGTAACGTGCTGAGGTTATCAAAATAGCTGCTGGCTCTTCTCGAGATCACAGGTCTTTCTGACGCTTGTGAAATCCTGAGCTGAAGTGCCGTGTCGTCATATGATGGGGGTTCGGTCTCATTCTCGTCCGCAGAGCTTGCCGTAACGTCGACAATGGGCACGATTTGATACAGAAGCAGATATGGCATCTCTTCCTTGAGCGATTGCTTGATGTCGTCCACGGGAGTAATGCGGCTCGAGGCTTCCAAGTCGTCAAATTTGACCCACTGCGCCTCCTCGTAATCGGGCGGGGGATCACTATCGTGTTTGCGATTATCCGTCAACAGTTTCGGTGCTACTCTGCAAAAAGAAATGTAATGCCCAGAGTGCAAAGAGTCTCCCCGGTGACAGACAACTGATTGCAGCACCAGTTTGTACTCCTGGCTTAATCCACTCTCTTCCACGTGACGTTCGTCAACAATGAAATGAGGCAGTCTAAGACTATCGGGAATATCGATATAGGTGTTTTGTCGTCTAGGCACACCATTCTCATCAACCATATATCGCTTGAGGCAGATACCGACGACTGGGCGTTGGCTAAAGTGTCGCGCAACCTCGAGATCATTCACTGGGTCCTTGCCTGCAGGGGAGTGCCATGCTACAAAGAGTCAGCAAGGATTCGATGCTAAAAACAGCCCGAGTTGAACTTACGAATGAGCCGGAAGAATTGCCAGGCAGGTATTGTTACTGCCTTGACGACTGACGCAGTTCGTTTGGCTCTCTGAAAAAGTCCTGCGGGTTCTGATTCCGTGGACTTGTCTTTGTTATCAAGGACAACCCGTTGTATGATGCTTTCTGTCCTGCTGCGATTTGGCCGTGTAGGGGATGATGGTCCCTGTGATGTAGATGGTCTGGATGCCGAGTTCTCAGTCCACCTCCGTGCCAAAGGGTTCATGTGCGTTTCGTCGGCTACTTCAGTCTGAGCCGCTGATGGCTTGTCATCTTGTGATTCTTGGTCCTGGTTCTGATTCTCGTCCTCATGGACGAGTCTGATTGTGCTCTTGGGCGTAGAAGGCATATCCGCAGGAGTCGGCGTTTGGGGAATTGGCGTCAACGTAGCTCTTAGACCTCCCTTGCGATCATCTAAGCTGTCACGGTGGACATGGACTTCTGAGTTGAAGTACTCTTCAAGGCAGTCCTCCAAGTCGATCCCCTTTCCATCGGTATCAGGGGGCACAGCGAGATTCAACAGTCTCTCATAGACAACCTTGTGGTCCGCTTCATCGTTCTTGCCTTGGTGAAACAGGTCGACCTGGAGAGGCAGTAGAGGCAACTGGAGGGTTTCGGTAATGAAGGCGAATGCCTCGGACGTGTCCTGTTGTTCTACCAGCCGGGCATCATGCCAACCACAGTCGCCTAACGCCTCCTGAATCAACTCTGTCATGTCGGTATGTATCAGTTTCCCGCTGCGCAGCAGGTTAACCCATAATCTCAGAAGCCCAGCCAGCCTCTTTTGCGGCTCGCCAGAGAGCTCGGTGGTCAGCATGCACTCAAAAGCTTCCAGCTTGGCAAACATGGCAAAGAGCAGAGCGTCGAGGTAACATGTGACCATTCCCCGATTGACTGCTCCTACCATGTGAACATTGGGATCATAGGGAATGATGGTGCCCGAGTATGTCTTCCTCTGGAGTTGCATGATCTCGACAGCCTTGTCCACGTCGCCAGCAGCGAACTGGGAGTGTAGAGCAAATGTGACATGATCCTTGCGCACATTTTCAATGTCGAGTTCGGCAAGTCGCTTGATAACCTCGTCAATCTTGGCCGATTCATCTTGTTGGTTCTCCTTGTCCTTTTCGGCTTGCTTTGCAGTCGGTCGAAAGAGGGCAAAGAAGGCGTCGGGGGCAAAGGGACGGTGCTGTCAAAGAGGCGCGATATTAGCATCCAGTTGCGACCCGATGAAGAGCAAGATCTGAGAGCAATATCACGGATCTATGAGTATGCGTACCTTGTGCGCAGGGTCGGCCGACTTTCCACGACTTTGGGCGTGCTTGTCCCGGCGGGTCAAGAAGCGCTTTGGCACTGCCTTCTTCATGCTGTGTGTGTACCGTACCTCTTTTGAGGTGTGGTGTACGTTTGGCGGGGTTCGATGTCCCTTTTTAGTCGACCTTCTGGCAAGGTGGCGGGGTCAAAGTCTGGATTGTTTTTTTTGGAGTGGGTAATATGCTTCCTGGGTACGTAGTGGTGGTAGTAGATACTGTTGCAACAGGGTTGGCATTCAGATGTTAAAGAATTGTACTGAACAGCTCGTCTTAGGGCTGAAGGAGATGGTATGAGCTGTTGCCACCAGAAATGCGCATCTTATGACGATGTTTTTTTTGAAACAGTCGCCAATTGCAGAAGGTCGAGGAGGCTTCCAGGTTGCGCGCGAACGACGTATGTTGGGGCAGGTGCTTGCTCGTAGGATCATTCATGTAGCCAAGCCTTTTGGTCGGAACAAGCAACGATGGATGAATGGATGCGACCGACAGCGGCGGCAGGGACAGGAAGGACAAACCAAACAGTTTTCAGAAACGCAGAGGAATCGGTCAAAAGGCACCGTAAATTAATGTCTTGGTCGCGGTCGAAAGCGCTCCGTTTTCCGATTACGTATACGGATTTACCCCACAGCTTCCAACGGGGTGGGTTGGGTGGGCAGGTGGGTGTGCCGCTCACTCATCAGCGTTGATGTCTAGGTACTGTACTGCCCCCAAAGGACGGACTTTCAAGGAGATCAGACTCCGAACTCCCAAATGCAAAAACCTACTTCCATTTGTTAGTGTAAAACTAAGCCTTGTACTTCCACCTTTTGAACGTTTGCAGCTACTACATTGATAAAAGCTAACGGTCTATAAATAAACAAAAACTCAGTTTCCCTAACGTGTCTACTACTACTACTACTTGAATCTGGAGTGCCTAAGGTAGGCAGATACCAATCTAGCAAAAAATCGGTCGCTAACAGCAAGCTTCAAGCTATCACCAGGTACAATCAGCAGCTTAAACATTAGGCATCTGCGTACAATAAGCGCCTACAGCTCGCACCACGTGGGATTCAGAACCCTGGCCGCCCAATTACTATATAAATCTTGATGACTATGCCACTGTCCGTCGGGTCTTATTTGATCAGCAGATTGTCCTTTCGTTGATTGGGCACAAGCAAGAAAACAGGCAATCATTAAACAGAGCACTCGGTAAATTCTATTGGTCGGTTATCGTAGATAGGAGGAACTGACCAAGTAAAACAATACCTTGATGCCTTGTCATATTCAAGTGAGCTTGTGAAGCTTTACTTTTCGTTTTAGGAGGCCAGAAATGATAATCCTACCTTGGTCAACAACAAGGCCTGGGTTCAAGAACTTTGTCTCCATTTGCACTTTTTCTTCTGAGCAGCGCCAAGTCCACAAATGTTGCAAAGAAACACTCGGCGTTGCAAACCGAGGTTTTCCCAATGGAGTATATCCGGTATTTGCTTTTGACTCGTGAATGTTTTTTGACCTCACTCATACCATAGCACATCTAGTATATCTTTTTCTTATTGGTCCCATACCAAAAGAAAGACAGAGTATTTTGAATTGCAGGGATCAGCATGCACTCCAGGTTTGTTCTCCAGATTTTTGTAGACCCCGGTTCGGCCCTTTTACTCTTTCCAACCCAGTCAACGCTTGACAACCTGAGGCTTCTCCGTACTTCTCCCCCACAAACTACTACCCAGCAGATAACTAAGCAGTCGGTCATCGTAGTATGTCTTCTCCTGCTGGGGCCGGTTCCCCCGACTCCAGTCGTATTCAATATTCGGTTCGGATTGAATACGAACAGTGGGGTTCCGAGGTCATTGACGTAGCTGCTACCATGGCCGGCAATCTTGCACGGCACCAGGGGCATGCTTGACTCTTGCGCGCCGATCTCTGTGTATTTATATTCGGGCTAGTGGTCAGTAGTGTATGCCCGAGTTTGCTCGTTTCGTCTTGAGACGAGGACATCCTGCAACCCACTGGGGAACAGAGGTTTATAAAGATGCCGTTCACAAATTCATCCATAGCAGCCTTGTTGACCGCCTGGCTGGCTATAGGCACGGTCGCTGTTTCTAGTTGTGGCATCTCGGTCGACGCGAGCCTGTCAGTGTCGACAACAAGCGGCGACTTGACCGGAACCATCAACGCCACCTCCCCAAATGTGCGGCAGTTTCTAGGCATCCCGTACGCCGAGCCCCTGGTGGGAGCCCTGCGCTTTCAACCGCCCGTCCGATACACATCGGACGAGGCCATCAACGCCACCGCTTTTGCCCCGTCGTGTCTGCAGACCATCTCGACAGGCTCTTCCGGTAGTGTCTATGATTTGCTTCCCGAGCTCCTGCTTGGAAGTCCAGTCATAAGCGAAGACTGCCTCTATGCCAATGTCTATGCGCCACTGCACCCGGTTGCCGATAAACTTCCCGTCTTTGTCTGGATCCACGGCGGCGGATTCTCGGCCAATGGTGCCAATGTCCCGTATCAGATCCCGGATCAGTGGATTGAGAGTACACAGGGACACATCGTGGTTACATTGAAGTGAGTCCTCGCCTCTGATAGGGATGGATTTCAGAATGAAGTCAAGTGATCTAACAAGAGACCAAAAAGCTACCGCCTAAACTTTTTCGGCTTCCCCAATGCGGCGGCCCAGCCACTAAATGTAGGACTGTTGGATCAGAGACTGGTGTAAGTACTTTGTATAACTTCCAAAACGTACCAACAACCCAGCTGATACGATGGCTACCCCAAAGTGTCGAATGGACACGCGACAACATTGCCAACTTTGGCGGTGACCCGGACCGCATAGTCCTCTGGGGCCAATCGGCCGGCGCCTGGTCTGTCAACTACTACGGCTACGCCTATCCCGAGGATCCCATTGTGGGCGGGCTCATTGCCGACTCGGGCGGTTCCACCGTCTTCACCACGGACCCCTCGCACTCCAACTTTACATCGGTAGCCGCAGCGGCCGGATGCGGTAACGAGAGTGATGCCGAGGCCGAGCTGGTCTGTATGCAAGGTCTCGACGCGGCGACTCTGCAGGCCGTGTACGCCAACACCACGGGCGTCAGCTTCGGGCCCGGTGTGGACAACCAGACCGTCTTTGCCAATAACACGGAGAGGGCGGCCGCGGGACTCGTGGCCCAGATCCCGGCCATTATTGGCACCAACTCTCGCGAGGGCAGCGGGTTTGTGGCGTTGCCTGCGAATGGCACGGCCCCTAGCGAGGCAGACATTCTTGCGGGAACGACGATTATCGCTTGTCCGACTGTTCAAGAGATCCAGTTAGTGAAGTTTTTTCTGGTGATTTTTGCTGCTTGCTATTTGAGGAATCTTTTTGCTTACATGTTTCTGGTCCTACAGGAATCGACTGTTAGGCGGTCTCACGACGCACCGTTATGAATACACGGGCAATTTCTCAAATATTTCGCCGCTGCCCTGGATCGGCGCTATTCACAGTGGTAGGTGATTGCTGCGTTCATGTCGATGGAATCATATATGGCTGACAAAGGACCTGCAGGTGAACTGCCGCTCATCTTTGGAACACACTTTCAATACAATGGTAACTCGACCGAGTTTGAGTGGCAAGTCAGCTACGCAATGGAAGGTCAGTTCTTTCTTCTCCCCCGTCCTTTATCAAGAATGCATGGGATATGGATAAAATTGTTGACAATGCAATCTTGATGCAGGTCTCTGGCTTTCGTTTGCAGAGGATACGTCCTCTGACCCGACATATGAGTCGTTCACCTGGCCAGAGTACGAGGCGACTACGGAGTCCATGGTTGTATTTGCCAGGGACAACTTGACGACCCAGCTTGATTACGGAAGTACTGTGGATCAGATCTGCAGCTAAGCGTTGTAGAAATTGTTGAAAGGGCTTGAAAGTATGGATCGTTGCCGCGCAGAGCTGCATTTTACCTGATTATTTTAGTATAAATATATAGTGTGTATCTTGCTGCGCGGGTGGTGCCGAGACGTTCCCTGTGAAACAGTATGCTTTCTCTCTTCATGGACTATGAGTATCGCATAGTACTTCATCCTTGTATAGTCTTTTCATAAGTATGCCTTGATGTCTCTGATGAGCACCATTGGAATCAAGTTCTCATTATTCAACTATTGCAAACTCATTAAACTGATTTTCCCAAATTGAGGCTGCATCTCGAAAGGCAGACATGGAACTCTGGCCAGAATCACCACACAGCTGCGCGAGCTCTTCTGCCGACAAGCTCAGATTATTATCAAAAACGGAAACTGATTGAAGATACCCAGACGGGGGTTCTTCAGGGGCCGGTGACTCGTCAAAAGGGGGCATTTGTATCTTTCCAGCAACGCTACGCATATCATCCAGGGAACATCCCGACGCCGACTCAGTCGGTCTGTATGAGGACCGGGTCAGACAGTCAATGGCGGTATGGAACGATTTGCGGCAAAGAGGTCCGTACTTGGAGGAATCTTGCGACGCTGCCAGAAACATGCACGAAGTCGAGTGCATCAACAGTCGGTCGGCCAAGGGCCGCCACAAGAGGCTCGTGTCAAGCATGCCTAGGTAGACATCTACAGATGACATGGCCAATGAGACAATCGTGTGGATGGCTTGGTCCTTGTTGGATTCACCGTCGTAGGAATTGCTCAGATAGCGAATGTGCGCCGACATTCTGATTTGATTCGCGCGGAGCTGCAGCATCGATGTCATGGTGTTTTGGACTTCAACGGGAGGAGTATCTGATACGCTTGCAGGAAACAGTCCCTTGGCGCATATCTTGTCCATCAACTTTTGGGTGCGGTAGTCGTACATTTCAATTTGTTCGTCCATCTCCTGGTTGCTGCCTTGTCGCGCCGCTGCATTGAAGTTGATGACTTCGGTATGAATACGGTTGAGGCCGAGCATTGCCGACATGTATGAGTGTCTATCATTCTATTCAAATCATAAGCTTCCGTTCGCTATTTCATGTGAATACTTTCAGGCAAAAAGAGAAACATACCAAATTCAAAACCTTGGCATCAATATTTTCATAGTGCAAAGCCCAAGGAAGGTCGGCGAAGAAGCTGCATCTTTTATCGAGGTCATAGACGCAAGAGAAGATTTCGCGATTTTGCAGACGCGGTGGTTGGTCAGTGTTTCCGACTGGCTTTTCTGTATGCAAGCCCAATTCCAGACTTGTTCTTGCTGCCAGACCAATCATACGCCATGCTTGAAGAGGCTTGTCTTTGAGAATCAAATATATAGTCTGCAACAGTCTTTAGTCAATCATGCTTGAACTTCGATGCAAGGCTTCAGTGCGAAAGATTTACCAGCAAAGTTGCCATGATGACGTCCTCGACTTGTGCGTGTTCCTCATTCATGGTAAAGTCGGTATTCCACAGTAAATGTGCTTTCAGATCACGACACAAGGGATTATCGTGCTCTCCATCCAGTATCATGGCTATTGAAAACGTTGCTTTCATGAGCTCAACATCGATTAGATCCAAACCCAAGTCCTGGAACTTGTTGCCACCTCCTGGTGGAGTTCGTGCGCTGTAGAGCGCAATGAGTCGCTCCGTGGCTACGCTCAAGTTTATGCATGGATATGCAGAGTAGACATGGTCTTTGAAAAGAGAAAGATACCGAAGAGCCTCGGCCTGACCAAGATGAAGGATTGGCTTAGCAGCTCGGAGTATGTCATCAGCTGGCGCGGGGGCATTGGCGACAACGTCTGTGGCGGGCTTTTCGGCATTTTCCCGACTTGTACATGTCTCGACAAAGCCCTTTTGGTGCAGAAAATCCTGTGCCCGACTCAAGAGAGCAACATAGCCCGGAGTAGGACTGGCCACTGTGGGATTGCGAGAAACAACATGACGAAGTGATCGCTTCAGAGAGCGATTAGGGATTGCTGTCAGATCGTAACTCGAAGCCGAGCTCTCAATTTCATCACACACTTTCCTCATGGTGAGAACCAACTGCCCAAGGTCAGAGCTGCTAGAATTTGACGTTCGTCTTCGCTTTGCTACTCGGCCAGAGGCTGCCGTGTTGTCGGTTGCGGACGACTTCAACGACAACGGTTCTTGATACAAGCAATCAATGTCGAGTTCGACGCAACGGCTACACGGTACCAGTCCGCTGCATTTGACTTTTCTCGTTTTGCACGTCTCGCTTGTAAAGACTTTGGTCAGCAAGAAGTTGCATGCCTTGGCATTACTGTCTAGACTCACCAGGCTTGACGAGTATACTTCTCGCGTCTGTGTCCCGGGCGGCCCTTGCCTGTCTCCAAGTTGAATCTTGCCATAGATCTCTCACGAGCCATTTTCGGAGTCGTCTTTTATTTTGACAATTATTCGCCAAGCTACAAGGTCGCCAGAGACATTAATGTTGACGAGTAGTAGAGAACAAGAATTGAAGAGCGTGCAAGAAACTCTCTTCATCTCCCCTGGTCCTCCTCCCGATACCCGAGCGGAACTGTGGGGATTTTGTCTTATTTAGTGTTCTTGGTGGCTTTGGGTTGTCGTCGCGGGATGTGGTCCCTTCTTGCGGGGTATAAGCCTTACAATCACCTTAGTCTCGCTCGTGTGCCGGCAGTTTCCAGTGGCTACAGGGAGTCCCCAAGGTACCTTACACGGGTAATCCAAAGCCCAGCGATAGGTTGCAAGTCCACAGGCCCCTTACTTTCAGACTAGGGAGCCCATCTAGCCGCTGGCGAGGGATCGACACTACAAGCTCGTCCGCAAATCAGAATCCATCGAAAAGTCCGAAGAACAAAGAGCCGCTGACATAACTATATGGAGCTACCTCGTGTTCTACAGAGGATGTACCGGATATCACCGGGATACTCTGGAGATCAAGTATACACAAGTATTGACCAATTTGATCATATTGGGCGAGTTACAGACATGATTGCCTCTGAAATGAACTTGACGGCATTTGGACTTGAAAATATTTGAGTCGAGACTGTGTATTCCAAGAAATTATATCTACATGTTTACACGCAAAATTCCATCTCATAAAGTGAACTAGTACGCCTTTGCAATTGGCCTATGTAGTCATAAATGCCACTCACCTCAATGAGACCGTGACGTTGCTTACAAGCACAATCATTTACGAAGACATTCTGCTTCGTTTCGTTTTATCCTTCCTTGTCAATGACCTTGACCTGGATCTTCTGCTTGACAAACCAGCCACTGCTTGTCTTCCACTCCGTGTCTCCTGCGGGGACAAAGTCAAATCTTCGCACGAGTTGCGGGAGGAGTTTGGACATTTCGAGCATTGAGATGTTCTTGCCGATGCAGGTTCGCGCGCCGGCTCCAAACTGTAATAGCGTTGTTAGAATGGGGATCATGAAAGTATGAGGGGTTTGAGTATCTCTCTGATTAGAGAGCATGAGACACTTACAGCCAAAAAGTGCTGATCCAAGATGGCAAGCTCTTCTTTTCTTACCAGCCAGCGTTCAGGTCGAAACTCGAGTACGTCTTTACCCCAGATGCTCTCGTCGCTATGAATGGTGTAGGCATTTATACCCACCACAGTCTATACGGAAACTTTTTAGTGAGAACTCCAAAGCCACGGGTCATGGTGTAAATTTCCAGGTCTCTCTTTTTAAACTTACACCTTGGGGGAAATGTCGTCCGGCGAGCTGTGCACCGCCTTCTGGAACCACCCTGCTCAGAATCTGGCCCACGGCCGCGTGCAGTCGCAGGGCCTCCTTGATGGTAGCTTGCAGGTAGGAAAGATTCTGTCCTTGTTGAAAGGTGACGGGATCAGAGAGATTCCCTTCTCGTTGAGCCGTCTCAATCTCGTCGCGAAGCTTTTGTAAGCACTTTGGATTCTTCATGAGGAAGTAGATGATGGCAGTCATGCTGATGCCCGTGGTGTCGGAGCCGGCGCCAATATTGGATCCGAGGACGTTGTTGATGGTGAACTCGTCCACCTTGCCCTCCTTGCTCAGCTCGACGCACTTTTGGAGAAAGTCTTTGCGATCGTCGGGGCCCTCGCCAGCCTCCATTCTCGCACCGATTTCCCTCAGAATTACTCGCTGTGTATCTTTCCAGTGACTCGGGATCGGCAAGACGTTCTGAAGCCAAAGGTACCACGGATGTAGTTCTGGGACCAAGCCCACCATGGAACCATAGGTTATAGACCCGACATGAACGGCGTGGAGGAGCGCGTCTTTATCGTAGCCAGCCTCGACCAGACCAAAGGACCGTCCCAGGGTGATCTCGCCAATGACATCAAAAGCATAGAACTGCATCCACGAAAACAGATCGAACGCACGACCTGTCCGGGCGTGTCCAGCCAACGCATCCATGAATCCCCCATTGACCTTGTCGACAAACGGCTCGTAGGACACCAGGGAGCTCATGGCGTACATGTTCGACGTCTTTCGGCGCTCCAGGGCGTGCTTGGCGTTATTAGTCTCGGAAAAGACGTCGGCGTGGGCCATGTCGGGGGCACCAAAGGGAGAGTAATAGGAAGATTTGCTAAATTTGGAGCCGGCGCCGTATATGGTGCGGATCGCTGTCGGATCGCTGATGCTATATCGGTTCGGTGCCAGCCGGACAATGGGGCCTGAAAGAAATCGTGTCAGTAAGAAGGCGGGCCTCTCGAGATGCACTATGTAAGACTATACCATATTGTCTGTGCAGCGCGACTGTAACATGCTCTAGTTGACCCTCCCAATTCCTGTACACCTCCCACAGACGAGTATATCGGGCAAGCGCTGGTCCTTGAACATCGCGTAGAGGATCCAAGAGGGCTCCGATCACCTTGTACAAGATGAGGAAAGTGACTGATATGCCAAAAAGGATTGGCCATTTGTATGGTGAGGATGTAAGTAACGAAAGCATCGTATGAAATTCTTCAATTCAGAGTATATGGCTTAGTAACAATAACAAGGCAACATAATTTCAACTTTGTGTGTTAGACTTTTGCATCAAGTATTTAGCTATTTGGGAATCCTGCTGCAGCCCTACGAAACGTAAATATTCCCTAGGCTTAGTATCTCTCTTCCGCGGTATTGTATATCCACTGACAAAGAGTGGAACCTTATTATAGTGGCAGTTTGGTCCTGTCCTATGCTGCCTTGCTCTATTTCCGACCATTCCGCGGGACCTACTGCCGCGCTATGACGAACGGCGGAGATTCGCAGATTTAACAATTTACCGACAATCGCAACGAAGTGTTACGAAATGTAGCACGTCTCCCACATTTCTCATTCATGAATAGAGGTAGTATGCTTCGATGGGAAAACGTCGCTAACATTCATAGTTTCTCAGTTAGCTACATCATTTCGATTTGACCAATTTTCGTTGCGTCCCAAACAAAGGCACCTTTCGGATTCTACGGAACATATCCACTCGGGATATCAGATTGGCTCACTGAAGCAAACGAGAACAAAATTCGACGTGCCAATATCTCAAATCTTATGATAACGTAAAGATATATATTCGTTGCAGGGCAATTGAGCTAAAAACTATAGTAAATGAACGCTTGGATCCCCTCGTTTCCCATGTCAAGTGTCAATTGGAGGCAATGACAATTGCTAGAGGGCCGACAGACTCAATCTGAGATTTACGGAAGCTTAGTCAGCTGTGAGTACTTTGTAGTAGGCGTGACATCTTCCACGGGGCTCGTCAACATGGGCAGAGGCGTCTCGGGATGCGGGTTTGGCACCCAGTTTCCATGGACCTGGTTCTTGGTCGGGAAAGGGAGCAGCGCAATCGCCACCGGCTTGGAGAAATCCCGCGTGTCGAGGATCATGAGCTCCCCCTTGGGGGACGAGTCTCGCTGAGTGTAGAAGATGATCCAGCCGTCGCCCTCGTCGCAGTCGGGCCCTCGGGGTATATAGGCCGGCTCCGCGACGCTGCCGTCGCTTGGGGCGCGGAAGACGGCTTGGTCGCCCGTCTCCGTGTCGAGTCGGATGATGGCGTTGAAGCGGGGCTGGATACCCGCTTCCTCGGGCACAAGCATGGCGGTCAAGTAGACAATCTTGGTCTTGCGGCCCGTTCTTCTCTCGTCAAAGATGGGGAAATCAAAAGTGCCCGCGGCCAACGTCTCGGGTGGAGGCACCGCGGTGCCTTCTGGCTGGGAGAGATCAATGGTCCAGCGTTTCCAGTCGCCGCTCGGCCGTCCCTCGGGGCCGGTATAGTCCTTTGGATTCCAAAAGTCAAAGACGTTGAATGAGACAAAATGGCTCTCGAGCTTGAGTAAACCGCCTTCCTCTTCCCACGCGTTACCGCAGTGGATGATTAGGCCGTGCGGGGCAGTATATTTACGGAACTCACCCGCTTTCCAGTCAGGATGACCTGGCGCATTTGCGTAGCGGGGAGCCACGAGGAACTCGGACGGCTGGCCTGGAATGAAATGCCAGTAGTCACCGCCAGCCTTCATCACCTCGTCAGAATTCACACCGAATGGCATATTGGAGAGTATGATCCAGTTGTCTGTGATCCAGCCATCATGTGGCCAGCCAGCCTTGTCCTGCTGAAACCAGTGTTCATTGGAGATGCGTCCCTCGGGATCAATCGAGTAAGTGCAAATGTCCCGAGTACTGAGACCCTTGGCAGAATAGCTCCAAGTGACGAGCTCGTTCTTGTGCGGGTCGACCTTGGGATGGGCCGCAAACGTCTTTGCAGCTACCTGGCCTCCATACGGATCAGCGCCTCTAGTCTCGAGCGTGTCCGGGTCAAGAGCGTAGGGTAATCCCCTCTCCGCCAGGGCGAGGACGTTGCCGCCCCAGTAGATGATATTGGTGTTGCCAGTCGTGTCGTTGGCAAGCCGCACACACGGGTGGTTATCGTAGGGGTTCCTGTAGCGACCAAAAAGACGTCGACCGGCCTTGCGCTCAAGGAGCCATCTCTCCGTGTGGACATATTTGATTTTCATGGACATTTTGCCGTCCTGGATGCGAAAGGCACATACATGCCCGTCGCCGTCGACAAAAGGAATTCCTTCTTGTGGGCAGAAGTGAGGATCGACCAAGATACGGTACCAGGTACCGCTAATGTCCTTGGGGATGTCGCCAAAGACAACCACCTCATCTAATTCGCACTCGAATCGACCTTGGGGGAAGGTATCCATGGGATGGTAATAGTGTTCCCATGGCGAGGTAAGCCCAAAGCGGCGTTCATGCTCGCCTTTTTCCATCGGTACCGTGAGGACGGTCTGCGCTACTTCGGACCCTAGCGTGGCCATGTTGTTCTAGTATTTGAATCTGTACCAAATCTGAAGTATATTGATGTGAATATAAGCGTGTATGATGTGCTTGGACTTCTATTACTTCTATTCTTTCAAGCATTATGAATTAAGAGATAGAAAGCAACGCATATATCTTCGACTGTATGCTATGGTCACAACCATACTCACTGAACCGCGGAAAATACGGAATTGAAGATGCTCCGCGGAAATTCTGCATGCCTCTGAAACTCTTGAAGCAACCTCGCATGTGCAAACGACCGGAATGTGGAGGAAAACGTATCATCTGGGGTAAATCTGGGGTAAGTAGCTTGGCCATTCCACTTTGGTATGAAGCGCGATGCTAGTGGTACATTGAGACAAATACAGAAAGGCGAGAAATTGATCGTGAATTATTAATCTCGGTCATTATTACCGTCGGATCAATGGCGAACGTGAAGGGCTGTCATGATTCTTGATCGTGTATGAATACTTGGCGTGGAGCTTCGCGAGAAGACTGAATAGGCACACATCCACTCCAAAATTAATATCTTCTCCTAGAATGTACTGCAAGTTCTAGTCGCTCATCATGATGCTTAACATTTCATGTCTACATAGCAATCTGTGTTTGTATACAGGGCCGATTTTATAGGCATTGCGCCAGAAAATCTACGCCTTTCTGAATGAGCGCAAAGGCAGCGTCGTCACGCTTAAGTCTGGCATCGAATCCGTGAGCAGCGCCTTCAACAAGATGTAGCTCCGTCTTGATTCCATTCTTCTGCAGCTCCTCATGCGCCCTTTTTGCAAACTTTGCGTCCACCACCACGTCCGCGGTGCCTTGGACAAAGACCGTTGGCGGAAAGTCGGGTCTCTTGAGCAGTTTCTCAGGGTCCACCAGATCGTACTCGTTCTCGGCAATAATCTTATCGAATTGGATGCCCTTTCGAACCGATGTGACGAGATAGGCCCCGCGAGGCGTGCTCAGATCAGGCCCATTGGGACCAAAGGGGGGCGGTGCAGCGACCGGCGGAGGATATTCGTCAAACACCTTTTCGATGAAATCGGCTGGTGGTGGTGCGGATGCATTGGAAGGCGCGGCGCTGACTCCGGTATGATAAAATGGATCGCGGAGGTATTTGAAACCAAACAGATCCAAAATCGCTTTGGGCGGGTGTGTACGAGAAGCCTAGAAACGTGCCCAAGAGGCCTTAATCATGATGATTCTCGCACTGGAATGCTTGTGTGAATCGGCTTACCATTAGCAGTGCTAGACCTCCACCACACGAATGACCGAGAGTGACAATGTTCTTTCCGTTAACCTGGATACCACGATCCCGCTGAAGAAGTGCTGGGAGCTCATTCTGCGCCCATTCGTAGGCGGCCACCGAATCAGCAACTGGGCCGTTCAGCACAGAAATCGTGGGACAAAGACGATAGTCGGAAGCTACGGCAATGAATCCAGCTTCGTGCAAAGCCTCGATATACGCAGCTGGAAGCATGGCCCGACTGCCAACAACATAGCCGCCGCCGTGGAAATACAATGCTGCAGAAATGGGTTAGCACAGTGTTTCTCGAGTAGTAATGTGCAGTGTATAGAGGGTCTTTTCTAACCGATTCCCTTGATTGAGCTGATATCCTTGGGCAGGTGCACAGTAGCTGTCAGATTTACTGCCTGGCTCTCGTAGTTGGCGACCTTGAAGACGTAGTCGATGCTCGCCATTTTGTTTTTCTTCGAATACTGTTGACCAGTGATGTTTTCATTCAATAAGAAAGGGATTTTTTTTAGTCAATGCAATGTTATGTTGACGAAATGCAGAATGATGCTGACGCAATCGTTGCTACTTTCGGTACTGGTGCTCGGGCGCATATCAGAAATGCACTTATAGCTGTTGTGAGACATACATACCTACAGGCGCTATAGTAATAGTGACTGCAGGGATCCTTGATTCCGCGGAACCAGTACGTTGGGCCCTGCTATGATTACCATCATCTGCCTTCCCCAATATAGCACTAAGTCTAGTCACGTCACAAATGGGGGATGTTCGGAATCGCTGGTGGAGCGACTCTATATGACGGATATAATTGCCGCTATTGGGAGCCGGGGGCCCCATCCTTTTCCCCGCAAGGTACTTGTCAAGCTGATTTCGTGGCCATCCTGCTGGATACAAGGAGAGTCATCCTGTTGATAAATCGTGTAAGAGACGAAGGAAAGATTGCTCTGAAACTTTGTGTGCTCAAACTTAGACGATATTGTTTTTAATCTACTGAGAAAGATGTGAGAGAAGCATATCTCGATTGCCACCAGCTACATGCTAACAATAGCCACAGGGGGGAGTATACAGCATCATCTGCCTTTTTCGAGGCACTATGGGATGTATGTTACCGTTCAAAATTGTTCAGGATATTCGAGGTTGAGATGGCTTACTAGGATACAGGCCGGTGTACGATACTGTTTTGTAAATCTGGGGTCAGATCATCCCAGTATGATAGAGGCCATGGTCAAAGGACAGAAGGAGAGACGAGACAGCTTTCCTAAATTTATCACTTGCCCGAGCGAGATGGTGGCCTTGTCAATGGCAGATGGCTACGCTCGTGTCACTGGACAACCTCAGGCGGTCATTGTGCACGTGGACGTCGGCACTCAGGCACTGGGGTGCGCCGTTCACAATGCCAGCGTCGGACGCGCGCCCGTACTCATCTTTGCCGGTCTGTCCCCAGTCACGTTGGAAGGCGAATACCGAGGCAGTCGGACCGAGTTCATCCACTGGTTGCAAGACGTCCCGGACCAGAAAGCCATTGTTTCGCAGTATTGCCGCTACTCTGCCGAGTTGAAAAAGGGCAAGAACATTAAGCAGATGGTGAACCGGGCCTTGAGCTTTGCCACGAGTGAGCCTCGAGGTCCCGTCTACTTGCAAGGGGCGCGCGAAGTCATGGAGGAGGTCATAGAACCGTACAAGATTCGGCAAGAGTTCTGGACACCCGTCGAGCTCGGCGGTCTCATGCCCAAGCAACTGGATCTTATTGCTCAGTCCTTGGTTTATGCTCGGGAGCCTCTCATCATCACGGGGTATAGCGGGCGCAATACCGAGGTGGTGCCTTTGCTTACGGAGCTGGCAAACATTGTCAAGGGTTTACGTGTGCTCGATACCATGGGCTCGGACCTCTCTTTCCCTGCGGACCACCCCGGCTGGCTGAGTGTCAGGTACGGATCCGACGATGCGATTCGCACGGCCGATGTGATACTGGTCGTCGATTGTGATGTGCCGTGGATCTACACTCAGTGTAGACCAGCGGAAGATTGCAAAATCATTCACTTTGATGTGGACCCTCTGAAACAACAAATGCCTCTCTTCTACATTGATGCGATACTGCGTTGTCGCGTCAATACTGCATTTGCTCTCAGCCAGATTGTCAATTATTTGAAAACCGACTTATGGAGTCAAATCAGCGCCAATCAGGAGCAATTTGACAATCGAGGGTCTTCATTACAAGCATCATACAAACAAAAGTTGAAGACAATCGCCTCGCAAGCCGAGCCAAACTCGGACGGCTCGCTCGGATGTGGCTACCTGATCTCGCAACTCCGGAAGGCGTGCCCTGCAGACACCACTTGGGTCATTGAAGTCGTCACCAATACATTTACTGTGGCTGATCAGCTCCAGGCAACATTGCCTGGCAGTATCTTCAGTTCCGGTGCCGGTGGCCTCGGTTGGTCGGGCGGAGCGGCTCTAGGTGTCAAGATGGCCATTGAGGACCGCAGCGGAGGCAAAGGGAAGTTTGTGTGCCAAATCATTGGTGATGGTTGCTTTCTCTTCTCCGTTCCATCCAGCGTGTACTGGATTGGGCAGAAATACGGGATCCCAGTACTGACTATCGTGTTGAACAACAATGGTAGGTCAAAGTTGACAATTTCATCCATCAAGTAGAATTATGGAAAAGATCATGAGCTGACAGGCTGTCATTAACTCTTATAGGCTGGAACGCGCCGCGCAAGTCTCTCCTCCTTGTCCATCCCGATGGACTAGGATCCAAGGTCAGCAACGAAGAGCTCAACATCTCATTTACGCCCAATCCCGAATACGCTACCATTGCCAAAGGTGCTTCGGGCGGGAAGTGCTGGGCAGAGCGAGCCGAAACCGTGGACGAACTGACACGATTGCTGCCAGAGGCTGTGAAGGCTGTTCAAGGTGGCGTTTCCGCGATCTTGGATGCTCGTATAGTATAGTCTGCGTAGTAACAAAATTCATGGGCCGTTCATTGAATGAAGATCTACTCCTAATGACTGAATAAAGTTATTGCTTGTTGAGATCACGACGAAGCATGAAAATCATGCACTGCTAGTTCAGTGCGAATAACCACGGTATCCCACCATTACTGACTCAATTCTGGTTGGCAATGTAGAATACTTAGACCTTTAAATGCCCGACTTCTTTCATGTTTCTCATCAAGTACATCATCCTCGTGTAATCACTTTCTGTCTGGCTCAACTTGGCTCTTCGAAGCAACCTCTTTTTGTTGTGACATTGAGTTAGAAATACAGAGGTAGAATCGGACTGGTACAATGACAATATTCGCGCAAAGTGTGTAGCAGCAGGAAAAACCCTTGACAACACAAAGGACAAATTGTATCTGTCTTGGCCCCGGGTCTGCATCTATGAAAGGCCATCTTTGCCGATATCCTTTGTGCTGCCGATTTACCTCTACGAGACCTAAAAAGGCCTATCATATTGGGCATGATCTCCGCGGGACCTCTACCGGGAACCTCTACCGCATCGTTTTGTTTCTAATAGTGACCATAGGACTTCCCAGAACCACCTTAACCTCCGCGGAACCTAGTCCAGCCTGGCCATGGCGGAATTGATGGCGTAGTGGATCCCGGTCCTGATTCACCGGAACCACCCCCGAGCTCCGCGGAAGCCCATACGGTCAGGTGGACGGTCATGGACAGGATGTCTGCAGTGTCGCTCAGAGAACAGAAACACCTCATGAAAGTAACAGTAACAAACGAAGGGTTTTACAAAAAGATATTAAATGCCATTCACGCATTACAGTATGCCACCTCTGGACTAGAGCATAGAGTTAATTGAACCTTCCCAAGGGCATATGTAAACGTGTGCCTTTTGTATTAGAACCAATCATTATCAACCAGATCGGCACACACTTGACACCATGAGCGGACCAAAGCTTGAGCATGGGGGATTCCCCATCCCATGGACTCCTACCGTCCGACCCGAAGACGAGACAAATATGTATCCATACAGGAAGCAGGTTCCGAGTACCAGAAACCTACCTGTCGGCTGGACGTTTGCACCGGGCAGACGACCTTTTCACCAAGAAACCGTATTCGATGAAGCGGTTGAGATACCAATGCGAGACGGAGCAAAGGTTCGTCAAAATCAAGTTATTTCTACAAGGGCAAAGGCTAATCTGAGGGCTCGAAGATTTACTGTGACATATTCAGACCCGTTACGGACGAAAAGGTCCCTGCTATACTGGCAGTAAGCCCGTATGGCAAAAATGGACATGGTCGGTAATCAAGTGCTATTGATAGTTTGATATACAAGTCTAACTATGGTATCGTCGCAAAGGCTTCCGTATCTTTGACAACATTCCGTTTCGACTTGGACTACCAGAGAGTGCCACCTCTGGGCTAGAAAAGTTTGAAGGGTGAGGATTCCAATTTCGGGTAATGAAGTTGCTCTTGCTAATCAGGGCGCATCTGCAGCCCTGACCCTGTTGAATGGTGCCCTCGAGGATATGCCATTGTCAACGTAGACATCCGAGGTTCCTGGGATAGTGAAGGTAACCTCTATATCGAAGGAAGTCAAATGGGTAAGTACGCTCCTGATCCAAAGTTGTACCGTCGACGAAGATTGATTGACAAAAGTCAGGTATCGATGGCTACGACACGGTCGAATTCATTGCAGCACAGCCATGGTGCAATGGTGCTGTCAGCATGTGTGGAAATTCCTGGCTAGCAACAGAGCAGTGGGCGACTGCCATCCAAAAGCCGCCTTCGCTCAAGTGTATTGCACCTTGGGAGGCGTTTACAGACAAGTATCGCGACCTCATTTGCCGTGGCGGTGTCCCCAAGACGAATTTCGCTTCATTCATCTTCAATAAGACGATTCGTGGCAGAAACCTCCGGGAAGACATTGGTGCGGCGCTCACCGAGTGGCCCCTGTTCAATGGCTACTGGGAGGACAAGGTTTACGACACCAAAGATCTCACCTTGCCTATATATGCGCTCGTGAGCTACTCATCGGGCAACCACGGCTCCGGGACCGTGCGAGGCTTCAATAGGGCAGCCTCCAAGGACAAGTGGATTCGCTTTCATCCGACTCAGGAGTGGTTTGACCTTTACACTCCGCGATACATCGATGACCTGCAGCGTTTCTATGATCGGTATTTGAAGAACATTGACAATGGGTGGGAGCAGACCCCTAAAGCCAGGGTGTCCATTCTCACTTATGGAAACCGTTTCGAGCCTGTATGAGACCATATGGTTCAAGTGCTTTTATTAGATACACCGACTAACTGGGTATATTAGGGTCCAATGTGGGACGTCCCTTTCGCTGACTATCCCGTCCCCTCGACGGAATATCGTGCACTCTACCTTCAAGATGCCGGAAAACTGGCTACTTCATCGCAAGCCAAGGAGAGCTCCGTCGCACATTATGCAGACAGCTACCAGGCCAAGCCATCTGAATTTCAATTGACATTTGACAAAGCTACAACCCTTGTTGGCCATTCCAAAGCAGTGTTGTGGATGTCCTGCAGAGACAAGGACGACATGGACGTCTATGTCTCCATCCGCAAGCTGAGCACGAGTGGCGAGGTGCTCGAACACGTCAATGTTCCGTGGGAAAAGTTGCCCGAAGGCGTCAACACTCAATACGACGTTCCCATGGCGCAGACAGTCAAGGTGAGTCAGATGCACACAATACCGATGATAGATCATTGAAGGCGAACTATTCCTAACATGCCGAATAAACAGTACACCGGACCGACTGGCATCCTTCGGGCCTCACACCGAGCCCAGATTCCAGAACGAAGCACTCCCATGATCCCGTACCACCCACACGATAGGGAGGAGAAAGTTACGCCGGGTGATGTTGTCAAGCTGGAGATCTCGCTCTGGCCCATGGGCATCCACTTTGAAGCTGGGGAGAGCCTGCTATTCCGTATTCAGGGCTTTATTGACACGAGCTCTGATTTCCCGAGTCACATTGACAAGAAGCTCGATAATCTGAACGAGGGTCAGCATATTATCCATTTTGGTGGCAAGTATGATTCGAGCATCATTGTGCCTGTTGTTCCATTGCCATCTCAATAGATTGAAGCTAGTATAGTATTAGCAGCGTATCTGCTTCTATGTAGATGAACTTTTTGGATTCATGATGCTTTAAGTCGCATGAATAGTGTGCAATCTATGCGTTTCAGCAGATACAAGCCATCAAACCTCAATCGATAGGCATAATTCGACTCTGAATATTCACAACACTGTGGACTACGTAGTTTTCTCCTCTTCAAAATGTATATTCACATAGGGCATGCTGGCCAGAGAGTAGTCTTTTGTGATAGGCAACTCCAAAACAGTCTGTCCGTCGCGGTTAATCAGGCTTGAGACTCAACTGCAAATGAGGGAACAACCAACGTAGTTTAGTGACGATAATGGGTGAACAATGCGAACAAATCTGAATAACGCAGACATAAGCGAATATGAGTTCCAAAAAAACAGAGATTTGGTCGCAATATACCAGTATTTTATTTTGGCTGATGATACAGAGTAGTTGGGTCGTGCATATATAAAATTGGTGTACACCCTGAAAGAAAGTTGGAGCACTAATGTGGCGGGTACAGGGGTGTAGTTACCATATGGGGGTTGCTTTAGGTAGATCAGACTCAAGGCACGGGCCAGATGGACTAGCTAGGTCGGACTTTCAGAGCCTCCGGTTGGCAGGAAAATTCCCTGGAGCTCGCGTACGGGGATAGCTTCAAGTGAGCGTTGGGTTGATTGGCAGCGAAGAAGGGAGTACATCCAGGTCCCGGTCGCCACTAATCCTACAGATCGCAACCATGGCATCGTTACGGGAGGTTCCTCGCGCGGCGAGGCACATGTTAAAGACTTCGTCGCTACAGTCTTCCACGACCACATTCCGGAGATGCGCATCGACCGAGGCCGCGTCTGCCAATTCGGCGCCTGCTGTGTTGGATGTCGAGACTGAGTCTGGTCTCTCAGCACCGATTGTGCAGAGAAGTGAAATCAAGATCCAAGATCCGAGGAAACGAGCAAGTCGGAGAGAAATGGAGCTGCCGCATTCAAGGTCAATTCTGCCTGCCATGAACTATCATTAGCACCAGGTCAATATCTAACTAAGACCTCACATGCAGATACCGGTATCATCCGCCCAAGTACTACAGAGGTCCTCTGCACCCAGTCCAGCCGCCGCCGTCCTCCGACCCCGTGGCCCGCGACTTCGTACCGGGACCCTTCAACCTCCCGCGTCTCAAGCAGACGTTGCACAGCACTGTCGCATCAGACCTCATGACACTAGCATACCAGCACAAGATCCCCGGTACGCCCGACAAGCCGGAGCGGATACGATTGCGAAGCTGGGGCGACGAGAGCCCGTACATGGAGAACCGACCAAAGCGCGGGCCACGTGGTGCCGACGTGCTGCTACCGCTGGAGCAGAAGATTACGTACCGCAACGTTCCCGAAATCAAGTGCATCCACATTGCGTCGTTCATGCCGCAGGCCAAGAAGAGCCAGGACTACGTGACGGTGGCCAAGGCCGTGATACAGAGCATCACGGGAGTGCGGCCCCAGGCTACGCACGTCCAGCACAGTGTCGCGCAGTGGCAGATTGTCAAGGGCGACCGCGCCGGTGTCAAGGCCACCATCCACGGTCACCAGGCCTACGAGTTCCTCGACAAGATGATCCACCTCGTCTTCCCCAAGATCAAGGAGTGGAAGGGTGTTGCTGGTTCCACAGGAGACGGCGCCGGAAATCTGGCTTGGGGTTTCCAGCCTAGCCAAATGATGTTCTTTCCCGAAGTCGAGGCCAACTATTCCCTTTACCCTGCAAAGGTAGGTGTTTGTATATGATACACGTGGGCGTATGTATGCTGACTGAATTATCTAGATGATCCCCGGTTGCCGAATCTTTGTCGAGACCACAGCCAAGTCTGACAGACACGCCCGCCTGCTGCTTCAATCATTAGGCGTACCTTTCCACGGCAAGCTGATTGATTAAAAGGGAACTCGATAGTCGTATCAGGAAGGAAATGTGTACATGAACCATCATATAAAGCAAACCATGTGTAGAGTGTAATATATCTGTATCACCAATGACGGTCAAAACAATTCTTGCTCTTGGTATCTTTTTGTCATTGCAGGTATCTTTTGCCAATGCGGCTATGCCAGCAAGGCCTCTCTATTTATGAGAAGGTAAAAACATATATCCGCCCAACGCCAAAATATGCCAGTCGTGATGAAGTCTTCCTTTTTGCCCATGTCATTTCATTTCGAGTCGTGCTTTTCTATTTCTACGCACTCGCGACCTTTTCCCTCAGGCCGTTGATGACAACATCGACGGCATCCATATTTGCAGCGTCGACCTTGTCCGCCTCTTTACCTTCTCTCTTGGCCAGCTCCTTGCTCACAACGTCCATGGCGGGCTGGTAGTTTCTGCATGCCGAGCTAACCGCATAGACGGCCTTTCTCCTGACGTCCTTCTTCTCAGGCTCCGCAGCGGCATCCACGGCTTGATCGCCCTTGGCGACGCGCTCGCCCAGGACCATGGCAACCAGCTTCTCGAGGCCGCCGAGGGCGACGAGGCGCTCCTGGGAGGGCTCGTTGTTCTGGACGGCAGTACCGACGACCCAGGCGGCCATGCGGCGGATCTCGTCCTCGTCGTGGGCGAGCAGCTCGAGCAGCGGGGTCCAGAGCCCGAGCTTGGAAAGCAGGTTGGCATTGTCGAGCGACTCAATGAGCTGCTCCAGGTTGTCCAGCGCCGTCAGCTTGGACTCGAGGGTGATCTCGGGGTCGGGCGACATGACGTTCTCCATGGCGGCCACCATGAGGTCGGCGTCCGAGGGCCCGCCCAGCAGCGCGGCAATGGCGTCGGCGTTGGGCGATCGTACTGGTGCCGAGTCGGTCGTGTTGTCTTCTTTTTGTGTAGAGGCGTTGATGCTCCATTTCAGGAGATCGTTGAGGCGCTTGTCTTCCATTGTGGGAAATGTGATTGTGAAATTTGTAAACTCGTCTTTTTTTGAGTTGGAATTTTTGTTTCAGGTTGCTTTACGTCGTCGCCGAGACTTGTATATGAAGCTTCTTCGAATGTGCAGAAATCGTAGGTGGGGTGTGGTTTTGGTCCTACGAATTGTTTTGAATCGCGACTTTTCGTCACAGTTTGTGGTTGTTGGTTTTATCTTGTTTAATGACAAGATGAATTATATCAGAATAAGTTCGAATGCTCAAGTTTTGTTGTTCCAACCGACTTTTGCGCATCGACTTCTAGATGTTTTCCAACGTCATATCCAGAATGTTCGCGAACATTCCTACAGAAAAAGCATATCGATAAGGTACCTGACACAGGCTGAGAGTGTGTGCAGGACCTGACCTGGGTCCAACTCCAGAGAGTCGGCTAGCGCCAGATCACGTGTAGCTTAATTGCACCCTGGATTTCCGTTGAGCTTCCATCATCCAGGGTGCAATTGAACATGCAATCTTAAGAGTTGCAAATGAGAAGCCAGGGCTGATTGATATTGGCAGTAGTAGTCACATACATCTCCATACACGGATCGTTTCCGGCAGCCACTGGACCTAGGAGTATCATCGTGACATTTGACAAAAGCCCTCGACTATTGACTTAATTCGCGAGTCGTGCCGTACATATTATCAGCTTGAAGCTTTTGCCCCACCAAGACTGCCCCTCGTTGCCGCTTTAAGAAATTGGTTGAGCGACAACCTGGGAAGCTTTAGAATACGATGCTTGCTGCCTTGCTACGTACTTGGTACTATCGTGACGGGAGAGGCGGAGGCGCCATTATGTGCTCGACTAAGCATGACATCTGGGTTGGAACTTTGACATGAAACCGCTTCATGAATTTAGCATCTGAGACAGTTTGTCATGTCTTTATTAGTATAGGCTGCAGTCTTGAAAGACCGGCAGCCTTGTGAAGAACGTCGGTTGGTGCTTGATAAATGTCTGCCTTATTGAATCATTGCTGCAACATGGATCGTCAAACGGATGGTCATTTTAGAGATAGCATAGCTAATATTGCGACAATGGGTTCGGAACGATCCACTGGCCGGGAACACCGCTGTAGTACTACTGGAGGTAGTTATGGTAGCCCGTCTGCTTGTGAACAGGCTCCCGTATTATGGATGCGATCTCCCGTCAGCATAGCCCTTGCATACGCCATGATGTCGCCCCCAACTTGCAAACCGTCAGGCTCAAACTGTCAGTTTGGCGATGCCTGCTTGGCGGTGCAAGTTTTCCTACGATTCCAAAATCAGCATGACATACGTAACCATACAGCAAAAGCCACAAGATCAGACGTTGCCTATTGGTTCAATCCGTCAGCCCTTAGGGCAAACCGGACTGGGATCAGACGAATCAGAATTGGAGTATAGCCTCAGTATTCACGACTCCCGTCTAATCTCGCGCATATAGCAAGGTTTTAGAGGGTTGGGTTGAAGGCTATCGGACAGGCATACGACTTTTTGGCAGAAGATCAAAGCCTGCGCAACTGTGGGGTTTTCCCACGATGCTATGGAAATCATGGCCGCCTAATAGTCGTCGTCGTAATACAACTTGCCTTCTTCTTATGGTTCTCTCGGTTGATCCATAGATGTTCCAGACTGAAGACAAGGCAAACATGCATAGAAAGCTCGAAATCTGGAGCCTGAAAGGAGCGGTGCGTGTTGAATTCAGTCACGATGATAGTAGATGACGACAACTCCTCAGCTCGCAAAGAGCGAGCTGTAATAGGAGTGACAGAGAATGGTAATATATCGATACTTGTAGATCGTCATACAGTAAGTCAAAGGGTAGTAGGAATGAGGATTCACTCTCCGCCTTGGGCTGATGCTGGCCAGGTCAACGAGAGCTCATTCCAACGTGGGCAGCACTGGCCACATTCCACTCGGCCAGCAATCATTTCGTTCCATCTGGCTTGTTGCTCACTCAAATCACTTTCTCTTATTCCGTTGGCTGGGTACCCTTCCTATTGGGCAGGTAAAAGCGGCAAGACATGCCACCAAAAGAATTCCAGCTTTTTTTAGGGGGTAAGAATGGCGCTAAAGGGGGGCAACTGGGGTCAGGTTGAGGGGTTCTAGATATTCGAATGTTCCACGGTCTTGGCTTCGGTGCATCGTTTAATAAGGCAGACAGATAGACAGATGGAGCACAGGCAAAGAAGAAGAAGAAGAAGAGAAGGGGGGGAAAGGTTCTTTTTTAGGGGGTGTGTCCAGGCTTGGGTCGCTCCTTTGTGCAATTCCGGGATTGAATCCACAACTGTGATTCGATTACATAGGTGGGCAAGAAAGGGAAAGGAAAGGCGGGCGCCCACTGACTGACGGGGACAGCCCACTTGGCCTGCACCGCACCCGATTGCACTGCACGCACGCACTGGCGGGCACTGGGCCGGCACTCCTTGGACTGACTGGGACCTAGCGACTGGAGCTGGGCCTTTCCCTTTTTCCCACCTCTTCCCTCCTCCACCGCATCAACCATCACTCCGACCATTGACAACACATTTTAAGGTCCATCTCCCAGCCTCCTTTCCTTGTCCGCTACTCCATTGCAGACATCGAGACTCTTTTCCATCCCCAAGACCATCACATCACACCAAAAGCTCCTATACCGTGAGCTTCATTCTTCTTCCTACATTCACTTCTACTCTTCGTCACTACTACTACTACTAATCCGCCAAAATGGAAGGTATGTCAAGCACAAATTCCCTGCCCGATTGCCTTTGCACCCCTAAAGCTGCCTCGCGTGTGGCGAAAGCTCACCCCCTTTAACTCTTCACTCTCAAGAATGAACATGAGCTAATGTGCAATTCTCGTCACAGAGGAGGTCGCTGCCCTCGTTATCGACAATGGGTAAGACAGTTATTCTTCCCGCCCTCACCGACTCGCTCGAGCTCCTATCCTGGCGAACCCCTCGTTTGCTTGGCCTCGGAGAACTCAATGCGCCCTGCGACATGTCGAGAATATCTTCAAGAGAACTGTATGAGCTGACTTAATCCCAGTTCGGGTATGTGCAAGGCCGGTTTCGCCGGTGATGATGCTCCCCGAGCTGTTTTCCGTAAGTCTGACTTTAACCACCTCCTCTCCTCAGTGTCTGCCACCCCGCCTTATAGCGCTATCGCGCGGCGCTGGTTCAGACTACGCAATCTACGGCCAACAAGCCGCTAACTCTGCTCAATAGCCTCCATTGTCGGTCGCCCCCGTCACCATGGGTGAGTAACCTCTTCTTCCGGCTTTTCGAGCTCGACCTCGATCGCTTCCCCGCCCTGTTGTACGGCTCCTAATCAATATGGCAGTATCATGATTGGTATGGGTCAGAAGGACTCGTATGTCGGTGATGAGGCACAGTCGAAGCGTGGTATCCTGACGCTGCGCTACCCCATTGAGCACGGTGTTGTCACCAACTGGGACGACATGGAGAAGATCTGGCACCACACCTTCTACAACGAGCTGCGTGTTGCCCCTGAGGAGCACCCCGTCCTGCTCACTGAGGCTCCCATCAACCCAAAGTCCAACCGTGAGAAGATGACCCAGATTGTCTTTGAGACCTTCAACGCCCCGGCTTTCTACGTCTCCATCCAGGCCGTCCTGTCTCTGTACGCCTCCGGTCGTACCACCGGTATCGTGCTCGACTCCGGTGATGGTGTCACCCACGTTGTCCCCATCTACGAGGGTTTCGCCCTGCCCCACGCCATTGCCCGTGTGGATATGGCCGGTCGTGACTTGACCGACTACCTCATGAAGATTCTGGCCGAGCGTGGTTACTCCTTCTCCACCACTGCCGAGCGTGAAATCGTTCGTGACATCAAGGAGAAGCTCTGCTACGTCGCCCTCGACTTTGAGCAGGAGATCCAGACTGCTGCCCAGAGCTCCAGCTTGGAGAAGTCCTACGAGCTTCCCGACGGTCAGGTCATCACCATTGGCAACGAGCGTTTCCGTGCTCCTGAGGCTCTCTTCCAGCCCTCTGTTCTGGGTCTTGAGAGCGGTGGTATCCACGTTACCACTTACAACTCCGTCATGAAGTGCGATGTCGATGTCCGTAAGGATCTGTACGGAAACATTGTCATGGTAAGTCAATTCTGGGCAATCAATTCTCCCATACCACGCATTGCTAACAATCATTTCTTTAGTCTGGTGGTACCACCATGTACCCCGGTCTGTCCGACCGTATGCAGAAGGAGATCACTGCCCTGGCCCCGTCTTCCATGAAGGTCAAGATCATTGCTCCTCCTGAGCGCAAGTACTCCGTCTGGATCGGTGGTTCCATTCTCGCTTCCCTGTCGACCTTCCAGCAAATGTGGATCTCGAAGCAGGAGTACGACGAGAGTGGTCCTTCCATTGTCCACCGCAAGTGCTTCTAAGCGTCCGTGGCTAGTAAGATTTAGTTCCTCGGCCCTCTTTTCACGAGTTCACGACACCGCCGCCAAGGTTACCAATTCCCCAGGTCCAGGCTTTCTGGTACCAATGGGGAGGTATGCCTTTGGGAGGCGAAATTCATATCTAAGAAAAGTTCTAGTAATGGTCGAGCGGTTTGGGCCTGTATGTAGAAAGGCTCTCGAGAGAACGGATATGATGTGCTTCGGCAGGAAGCTTTTCATGCTCAGGAAAGGGGTAGACAATTACACAGGGTGATCGATCATATATTTCCTGCTTCGTTCAGCGTATGACCTACACTTCCTATTCTACATGTGATCATATATGTGCAATGTGCTTTGTTAAGATTGTAGTAGGACAATTCATTTGGCTTACCCTTGTGTATTGAGTGTCCTGACAATCAAATTCTGACAAATTGTGTCATTGCTCAAATCTATCATGATACTGATCTAATTATTACTACGTCTTTGCTTTCGCGATGTGGTTCGAGTTCATTTCTGTGGTTTGCGCTTGAGCATCTTGCCTAGTATGTTCCACATCTTCAAGCTCGTCCTCCAGGATCTCTTCGTGCTCTTCGTCAACAGCCACCTCCTCCTCCCCCTCCCCGAGCTTGCGATATTTTCTCCTCTTCTTCTTGGCGGCACTGGCGCGCTTCTTGCGACGGACCTCGCCGACGACGGCGCTGCGGCTCTCGTCGCCACGGGCCAAATCGTCGAGGCGGGTCGCGAGCAGCTGGCGCGCAATCTTGCGGTTCTCAGTCCGCGACCGCGTCGCCTGGCACTTTACCACGATGCCCGTGGGCAGGTGTTTGAGCTGTACGGCCGAGTTGGTCTTGTTGATCTTTTGGCCGCCGGGCCCGGAGCCCTTGAGAAAGGATTCGTCGATTTCGGACTCGGGGGGCGGCGGGGGCCGTGGTGGGAGGTTGACTGGTTTCTTTTGGTGGTGCGAGGTTGTTGAGAAGGAGGTGGTCGAGGGCGAGGGCGAGGGCGAGGGCGCGGTGGATTGGAGGAGGCTGCACTGAGGTCGTAAAGGCACTGTTGCTGCTACTGGGAGACTCCAGCTGGAAGCTGCATGGCGCATGTGCTGCCATGTCCTTAAAAGTCGGGACATTTCTTCTGCGCCTTTGGACTGGCTCTCTGGTGAGTCGTGACAATATGCTTGTGTTGCTCTGTAGGATGCCCCCCACCAAGGTCACGTCTCGTTCAGCGAAGGGCTAGCAGTCACTCCAGCTTTTGCCCAATGTCAAGTGCTTCGGGATCCAAGGTTTTCGGTTGTCGTTGCAAATTGCTGTATAAAAAACCGTTTCAGTATTGGGAGGGCAAAAGAAAAGTTGAGCTTGGCGTTTAGAGACATGGGATGTCCCTGGAAAAAATGACGTCCCTTGCGGGAAGAATGGCCATAGCTCCTTAGCTATACCAACCCGTTCTTAGTCATTCTATTTACATGTAAAATCTACCTTGACGAGTTCCTTGTCTCTAATATCAAAGGGACCAATCTAATTTCAACATCGTCACAATCATGAATTTTTAATATTGATAAATCTTCACGGAGCCGGTCTCTGGGACCATCCATAAGGTTTACATGGTGCATAAGATCATATAAATAAGTTGGGAGCAAGCATGTCCTTAGTCAGAATCTTATTGTTTTACCAAACCAATCTATTTCAATGGCATCTTGACATTTTACGACTGAAATAATTGTTGTTTGGAAAAGTGATGTATCATCACCAGCTTAGGCTCACGCCAGAGAATAGACTCTCAAAGAGGCATCTTCTCCTGCAATTGCCAACTCTTTCTCTGCTACGTTTGGCCGCCACGATAATTGAGCAACCGCCTTGGCAAGAGATAGACTAGACATGATTAGAAGTCATTCTCACAATGGATAGTAGATTGGTATACTTACTTGGATTCCAATACCACGCTGGACACGACGGCGAGTGTCTCTGGCTCAATGATATGCACCGATACCTTTCCGTCTTCGGTTCCAGAGGCAAGCAGGAACTTGCCACTCTCATCCTTTCGGGGGAGAAAGTCAATTGCTGTTACAGGGTGTGTTGCTGGTATCGAGGTTGCCAGCACAATCGCATCGTCGGAAGCGCCCTTTTTCCAAAGCTTGATCTGCTTGTCTCTGCCTGCTGTAGCAAAAACCAGAGACTCTGTCTCGGGTGCCCACGCGGCATCGAGGATCATTCTTGTGTGACCCTTCGGGTTGGTCTGCAGGGGCTTGTACTGTAATTTATCTTCGGTGTCCCGCGCAAAGACGGCCCATTGTCGGTCTCGGCCAACTGAAAGCAGATACCTATCATCTGAAGAGAATCTCAATCGTGTGGCTGTCAAAGTATGAGCAGCTAATGGTGGCCTGACCTCGGTCCACTTTTCCGTCTCGAATATCCTGATGACGGCGTGGTTGAGCGAGCTGGCCTTGCAGGCGCTTGCTATGACAGTGCCATCATGGCTGACAGCCAGACTCGAAAGTTCGTAGCCGTGTCCATACAGCTTTTCCACCTCGGGCCACAGCGTATGCCTGGAAAGACTGTCCTCAAATGGAGGATGGTCAATTTCCAAGACGGACTTTCGGACGGTTGAGCCAGGATCAAGGGCCTCGCGGTCCTTCTCGGGGTTCACTGCCTCAATTTCTTGCTCGTCATCAACTGCCTCGATAGCTTTGTTCGAGAGACCAAGCACAGGCATGTTTGCTGCGTCTGGTAGGTTATCAATCTGCGAGTCGCCAATGTCGCAGAGGCGATTCAGCAGCTTTGCGACGGCTTTGGGCTCGTTGAAGACTCGCATCAGCTTCTCATCGGCTCCAGAGACGAATTGCGATGATCCGATAGAATCGATGCAGTTCAAGTCGTAGCCGTGGATTTGCGGCCTGGCCATCTCGTGCCAGGTCTTTCCGCCAGCTCCCGTCTTCCACTTGGCGTGCAGCCGCGTCGTTTGGTCAAGACTGGTGGACAAGAGATACTCGCCATTCTTGGACCACGAAATACCCGTCACGGATCGTACGTGGCCGCTGATGCCAATCTTTTGAACCCAGTTGATCTCTTCCTTGTTATAATCCCAACGCCTCCAACTTCCAGTCCGACCTAGCGTGATCACTGTCTGTCCATTTGGCGACCAGAGACCGGTCCAGAATCCGCCTGTACTTCCGGTTGCTGTCGTGGCTCCCTTCTCACGGCTAATCTCGCCAAGGCGAACCGTCGTCACCCAAATGCCTGACGTGGGATCTGCCTCCCATATGGCAAGCGTGTTGTCTGCCGAAGTCGATAGCAGTTGAGTTCGTCCCTCTGCGTCATTGAACCATTTAGCGCTGTAGATCCAGTCATCGTGACCTAGCAACAGTGCCTCAAAAGTGATTGAGTAATCTTTGTCGCCAGCTTGAAGACGATGGGCCTTGTTGGATGGCGATTTGCCGGGCAGAAAAGTACCAAGAGTCGGGTCGTTGCCAGCAGCAGCCGCTGCTGGAAGCTCTTTGCCCTGGTGGAAACGCCATAACCGAATGTACTTGTCTTGGCTAGCAGATGCGAGGATCAAGTCACCCGATTCTCCAGATGACTCAAAGGCAAAATCTAGCGAGCGAATCCATTCTTCGTGGCCAGTGAGAGTAGCTTGCAGCTCGAATTTGGGTTCCGGCGTCGACTCGGCCACAAATACCTGGACAATGTTCCTCGTTCCTGCTACTGCCAAGGCGATGCCTTCGCCTTGAGGACTGAGTTCGCTCAGGGCCAGACAAAGAGGGAAGAACTTGGGACTGGGTTTGACCGTTTGCAGTAATGTGACTTCGCCGTTTTCAAAGCGCCATATCTTGACGGTTGCGTCTGCTGCTCCAGTGGCAAAGATGTGTGTCTGTCTAGCTTGACGACTGTGAAGAGATGCAATACAATTGACGGGAGCTGTATGTTCCGCGACCGTCTTGACGCATGCCGCCGAATTGTTCTCGTCTATCTTCCAAATCTTGAAGCTCTTGTCGTCACCACCAGACACGAGATATGAGTCGGTCTCATTCTCCAGCTTGGGGAGAAACTTGACGGCCTTGACGGCATCTGTATGGCCTTGGAGAATTCTGCCAACGCCCTTCACATTGTCATCCTATAGGTTGCAATTAGTCGAGGTACGTCCAAATGTCCCATAGTTCCCACTCACATTGGGCTGCCAGAGGGCAATGTTGGAGTCGGTGCCGAAAGCCACCAAGCCATTCTCGCTCCAGTCCGCCCCCGCCGTATGCCTGTTGGCGCCTACGGACAGGTATTCGATGCCAATTTTGGCCTCACTCATCTCCAAGGTCGATGTGAAATCATTAATGTGAGAATGTGAAAGTTTTGTCACTGACGAAAGGCTGATCTATGATTGGCCCCATGGCGTTGGCAGCTGGAGCGCGGGTCACTCGCAGCCGCCTGCGAAGCTCCGCCAGCTGCCAGATGATGCTTCTTGCATGTATTTCCCATCAACGCTCTATTACCTAATTTTCCATGCAAACTCCTTTGCGACATAATAGTTATGGAAAAAAGGACTTTGAATTCGAATGTGTATTTCTAAGTATAATACCAACGTCGGTATTGTTGGCCGATTGGTAATTTGCGCATAACCAGATGTACTCAAGCGGCTTGAAATATCCTGCTCACTTTGATAGATATTGGACCCGATTTCTGGTTCTGGTTCTTCCTCACTGGCATGCTTTTTATTTCAGGTGTGATGTATTATACAACATTTCTTACTTTACTTCACTATAGCAGTCACTTGAGCCGTACATTTAATTGTAGCATATTGTGCACATCTTTCCAGACATTGTGAGATAACCTCGTAATGCGTAGACAACAGTATGGAATCATCATCTATAGGTTTCTTTGATATAGGAAAGGCGAAACGCTTTAGCTCCTGCTATTCATTCTCGAATTATGTGTCATGGCAACATATAAATGGTGCATTTAGTGAGTTTAAAGAAATAAGGGTCCATACACTTACGTGAGGTTTCAAGATTGCCGTCTGTTGCAAATACCCAAGTCTAGAGTACAAAGCAACAGGTTGTTTCTCGCCAACTATCACCCTCAACCTCAATGAATCTCGCAGTCACTGATCAATCTACAAGTTTTTAATCTTTGTTCGCCAGTGTAGTATATGGCATCTGGGTTTTGATCCTGACACGTAAAGGGGTCCGTCACGCACCGCAAGGTCTTGTCATCAATGCGCTGTAACTGAGATCATAATGAATAAATCGTTTCATAGGAATCTTGGAGACTGATGGATGTTTATTTTCCTGAAAAGTCTTTTGTATATAAACCCAGAATATTTCGAGGTGTTGAACACGAGATCCAAGCACGTTTTGATCATTGAAACGGTTCCAAGATGGAGATTTCCAGCCAGACCACATGTTCTCAGCCTTGGACCTATGTTGCCGGACGTCGAAAACCTAGAAACCCGCTTAAGGCTGGATCAACTTTCAATGCGAACAAATTCTATGCCAAAGCACTCATTCTCCAATGGAAAACTCAGCAAATGTCACCGGACTCTGTGCCAGCTACAAAGTCATCACGTTTTCCTGTGATGCTAGATGCCGGCGATGAAGTCAAACAGCTTCTATACTGTTTTTCTCTACTCATTTCTCCAGAAAGATCAAATCATTGCAGGGGAAATTCAAGGTCTGCTGGCGGTACGGTCACTGCTTGCGCCCTTCGCGAACAATCGTTGGCCAAGGGTGTAAAAAAGTATACCCTCTATGCCGCGATGAACAAGGGCATCGGTACACAAGACGAAAAACATGTACTTGAGGTTGCAAGATGGGTTCAATCGCGGGACAGCGAGATAAGTGAAATTTACCAGCTCGTCTTTGATCATTTGAGCAGTCGTATCGAATCATACCTGGATTGCATCTCAAGCGACTTCGATGATGTCACAGTGCTCTCGACATATCCATGGACTGAAAAGCTAGTCGAGCTCCATGGAGCACTTTCAAAGGCATATGATTCTGGGAAGGAAAGATGCGATGATTGGCGTGCGAGACTTGACCATGCCGCCGAATTTGTGATGGAGAATCGAAAGCATGCAAACGATGAGTTGTTCTGCCTTTCCGATTCAAGCAAATTCACGAAACTGGAACAGATGTGGGATGAGATAGAAAGGCTGTCGCGCATACCAATTGCTATTCAGTGCCTAATTGCTTTCCGACACAAAATCGTCAGTACTTGCTCACAGTTCGAAATTACGCAAGTTAAATTAGATCAACCCCGAGACATTCCAATCAGAGCAGAAACTGAGAGCTCAAGGGATTTAATTTTACGATATGCCGACCTCATGACAGAGCTGGAAAGAAAACAATTGTGCGTGACCAGGGAAGACCTTGACCATTTTGAAAATTCAGAGAATTTATTAGGGCGTTCAAAGACGATACATTGCGAGATCCAACTGCTGCAATGTCTTCTAGTCGCCGAGAAAAAGCATGGTCTCCACAATGTATACAACTACATCGGATGTAGCAAGGAGCCCTGTTGGTTGTGCGACTTTGTCATTCGGACAGGAACAAATTTCAAATTGGCAGAGTCACACGCAGGCATCTACTGGAATTGGAGTATGCCCGAGTCTCTGGCTGACATCTTGCAAAGGAAAGAAGCTCTTAACAAAGTTGATGGGGTCATGTTTGACATCATTGAAGAGGCAAGGTTTGTGTTCAAATTGAATGTCCAGAACAACAAGCGATCTCCAGCACTTTCATTTGTCATGATCCCATACCATTCACTAATAAATTCATAAAAATAAGCTTTCTCACTGTCTGGGGTAAGTGAGTACTCACTAACGTCTGCATAATAGAAAATCAGGAAGGTGGACGAATATACGCAAGCGGAGGGAATCAATGAGAAACAATTACTTTCTCACTGGCATTGAGCTATCGAATTCGTCTTTTACAACTGCTTGAGATGTAAGAGATCTTCACGAGGAGATTTGAAAGGGTGTGAATCTTCCATAATATCTAAAAGACCAGAGACCTAGTACTTGATATTACTTTATTTTTATTTCTTCCTACAAACCAATCCATCTTCTTCCTCACCTCGTGATGTCGTTGGTGGCTTTCTTGCCAATGTTGGCAGGACTTTGACAGAAGTATTCAATGGTCCTGCTCTGGCAGGCTTTGGCCGAGCAGTATCGGCAGTAGAGATGAGAAATGTTGAGGTTACAGCCAGCAAGAACTTTACCACGTGGTTATATTACATGACTACCTTTTCAAGTATTGCTAGCCTATGAACAATTTGCGCTTGATGAAAAAGTAGGATGAAAATGACCACTGAAACGTCGTGATAATTTTGGTAATTATTCAACCATTTTTCTTTTTCGACTGGCATTTCGATGTGATGTTCAAGAACGTTTTGTCCCAACGTAATTCTCTTCATACAAACTACGTTACGCCATCTATCCTGTCCTAGAGTCTTGTACATATACTTCTAGGCATTCTCAACCAGATTTGCAATGCAATTAAATATTTGGCTGCTGTAGGGGGTGGGGGTTTGTCGTGATGCAGCGTGGTAGAGGGATGGCACGGCGCAGTGGCTTTCTGGAGTGAGAGAGCTTGAACGAATGAGTCAGGCAGCAGCCATGAAATTATCGTCCACAAGATTCTTTGTTGTAAGAGAGGTGAAGCACTTTAGCTGTTGCTACCCACTTCTAAATTACGTGTCACATCGTTCTCAACACGATGCATAGCGTTGGGGTATGCCACGTATGGGCAGACTCTTTCAAGAAATGATGGCCTTGAATACCATAAAGGAGAATTGGTTTCACGTATGGCTTGGTTAACAAATTTGCAACCAGAGAGATGCTTTGAAGGTAATACCAAGCACATATAAGGATAGTAAATCCATCTTTTCGAAACTGAGATTTATATTTATTCTGACATTTTTGCAGAGAAATCAAAGATAAATCAGACTGCAGGCCAGACTACAGATTCTTGCTTTACTTCCTAGCCTTTTAACTTTTCTCCTCGTACAACATGACGTTGCGACCTGAATCTCTGTCGTTCTACGCCAGGGCGTGTGTACTTCAGCAGCATGCTCAGCAACAATGCCAAATAAGTCCTCCATTGAAAAGTGCTTCTGCGTCGCCTATGATGCCGACTACCTATCGAGATGATATCCAGAGATTGCTATATTGCTTTTCTTTGCTCATATCCAGAGCAAGATCAGGCAAAGGGAAAACTAATTTATCTCCAGCTGGTGAGATCGCTGCCTGCGTACTTCGCGAGCGGCCGTTGACAGAAGGAGATCGAGATGCAAAAGAATATATCCTTTACGCTGCAAAGAACTATGGGTTTTCTCCCAAAGACAGAAAATACATGGCAAACGTTGAAAACTGGATGAATTCAATGCCCCTAGATGATTCGGGATCAAAGCATGAGAAAACGAATGCTCAACATGAACGAGACCATGATTTCAAAGGACAACTCGATGATCTTGTATTGACTCACCTAAAACCTCGGATCCAGTCTAACTTGGACTCCATGGTGGACATTAATAAGTTGAGTACAAGGACGGTTCAAGGGTATTCAAAAATGAAGTCGCCAATTACCGTAGAGGAAGAGCTTCTGGAGATCCATAGGGAACTTTCAGATTCAAGTTCCAGTGATTTTGAAGAACGTTACGAACAACTTCGACAAGCTGCCATTTTTGTAAGACAAAATCGAAAGCACTTTGAGCTCTGGAATGGCCAAGAGGGTAACTTGATGATGGTCGCCTGGAAGAAGGTGGAGAGCGCGACACGCGTACCAATTGCTGTAGACTTCCTGGATAGCTGTCGAAAGGGGCTCGCCGACACAGGCTCTACCTTCAGGATTGAATTTGTCGAATCAGAAAAGCGCTCTCTCTTCTCAGAGGGTATTACGACGAGAAAGATCAAAGACAAAGCTCATGATATGGCCAGAACCCTCAGTCGCGAAACTCGGCAAGTTTTGTGCCTAAACAATTCCCTACTCCCACAAGCCAGAGGTAATATGAAGAGACCGAAAACCGTTCATTGCGAAATACAGTTGCTAGAACACTTGCTGGACACCTTGGGAGAACCAGTCCTCAAGGAGTTTTACGACTTCATTGGCTGCAGCAAGGCGCCCTGTTGGCTATGTGACTTTTTGGTCCGGCACGCAACAGGCTTCAAAATGTCCGAGTCACACGCAGGCGTTTATACTAATTGGGCCCTTCCAACAAAGTTGGTAAAAAAGCCAGCTATAAAATCCGCTCTTAGAGCGATTTATTTAAAGATGTCCGAGATCATGAAAACAGCTGAGTAGGTCTCGAAATTCTTATTGTCATTGGTTTGGCTTTCCCCTGCCTCGACTAGTATCTAGGCAATGAGCCATAACGTGGTCTTCTCCCTCAATTAGCACTAACGCTGTACAAACAGAATGGACAAAAGTTGGGGGAATAGAACGAAGCGCAAAGAGAGCATGGCGGACAATCAATTCCTGCCATGAATGCATCACTTCTACGACCTCTGATTATAGCAAGCGACTAAATTGGTATCTAGGTTAGATGATTCAATTATTGATGTGTAACAAAACATGCATGCTGAGAGGTATTTCAGCCAACCGTAGATTCGGGGCCTCTACAATTTCCTGCTTCAATGAGAAAAGTTGAGCGTTCTTCGGTGCCTGATCGTGAAATGGATATATACTGCCACCAAAAATCTCAACTTCAGGTGAATGGCATTATCCAGCACTACATCCACATGTCTTTTCTATTTCATATCCCTTTTTGCTGGCTTGTATGGTTCAGTAAGTCCAAATGCCGCCGTATGTCGATTCATAACATGGTGACAAGAAGTGATTATTGAGCGAATGGTGTTTTGAGATGCTGTCAATCTTGATATATGAGGGCATTGTTTCTCTAATACCATACACTGGTGGTAGTTTCAATGGCTCTGTTTGATCAGAGTTGCACTATTGAACATATTCTGTTTAGGACAAACAGCCCAAAGACTGATGACTTCATCAGCAACCTTATTACTGCCAGCTTGGGCAATGCTACATGAAACTCCATGCCGCTAAATCGGGTTATTCAGCAAAAGACTGCCGTCTCCATCCCAGCTATTCTCCTCCCCTGGGACCAAAAGCCATGAACCACAAAAAGACAAAGAAGCACGAAATGACAAGCATTTGATGTTTCTGTTGTACCCAGATCGTGGGAAACCCGATCTCACCGGTCAGTCGCGTAACACAACTCATCTCTGCCGTGCACACATGCCAAAAAGAAAATCGACATGGGAAGAAAAAGATAGAGAGACTGCACGTGTCCGCACGGGGCGGCATCGGACGCAACGTAAGCCCGTGGTCCTTTTCTTCAGCTCATCACACGCAATAACACAGGACCAATATACATTTCGGGAAGTGGGCGGGCGGATTTGGAAGCAGAGGTGAGAAACAAAAGTGAGAACAAGAAAAAGGTCCAGACTCCTTGCAGTGCCGAAGCTCAACAGAAAAACAAAACAACAAAAGAGGAGTAAATGCCCCGGATGCTTTTACTTCTCTTTGGGCCCCAACGATGTTGGGAAAGAAAGAAAGAAAGTCGAAACGTCCCGCTATCCCGTTGGTTTATACTCGAGGAAGAGGGTACGGTAAGTTTCGAGCTAAAGTTTCAACAGGGGAACTTCGAAATGAGTTTAATACTTGGACCAATGTTTCCCGCCAGAGGGGGGGGGATCAAGACCCCTGCTTCCAGCCGCGTGAGAATGCCCAACCCAACGGGCCGTTCCTGGGCCTGAGTAACAGAAAAGACAAAGAAGCATGCCTAGAGCATGGGATATCGGGGCGTGTCAGCGCGGAGGTTTCCTATGGTCCAAAAATGATTCCTTTTTCTTTTTTTCATCCCTCCTTTCCCGGGTCAGGTGAGGTTGAAGGAAAGTGGACGGAGCCCCCGGGGCAGGCCTTTTCTCTCCGAATGCATTGCTCAACCTATATGCAGCGCACCGCCCAACCCATGGTGCGATGCGTCCTGCGTGTGGCTCGATCCGGAAACCACCTCAGCAAAGGTCCGACGAGCATAAAGAGGAGAGATTCAGCCGTCAGCGGCCCCGATACCTGATCATGCTATACCAGATATCTCCCAAGAGGAGGCATGACATTGGTGAATGGTTGGCGAATGGCGAGCCCATGGAGCTGCTACCAAAGCGATTCGTGGTGTATTCTCAAGACCTTGAGCATAAAACTGGTATAATGGAGAGAGGTTGCGCGGCCGCAAGTCTGCAATCGATGTCGGTTGGAGAGTATACCGAATGACACCCCTTGGGGTTTTCTGGTGCGTGTTACTTTGTAGCGAAATGAGCTCTGTCCTGGACCTCATCATGATGACATCTTTGCTATTTTGCAGCTGTATTTCCGCAGGAACAAGAGCTATGTACTCCAATACCCATGATCATATCGTCTTTGCCCACGTCCTCGCATGTGACATGAACGCGTCTGTGGGATCGACAGCGTCTGGTTTCTAACATTAGATTGGAAATACGCAGCCCTAGGAGTGATGGGCACTGCAGAATTTTGGATATGAGGCTTTTTCACCCAGGGGTCTGTTAAGGTTCGAAGGGGGAGGATATTGAGAACTGCTTTCCGGGAAAATGTGATAGATCACCGCTCTATGTCGTTGCCGCCGAATCTGGGATCCACCCTGCCTGCATCCGCATCTATAACTCTGCGGTGCGGGCATCATGGGCCACTGTAGCTGCGACACAGATAGGTACAATGCATAACCTAATATGTGCTGGAGGCATCGTTTTGGTTGGTCCCCTTCGCATACAATGCAGGATGTGTAAGTATGACAGGAGTGGCTTGAACTTTCAAGTCTATCACAACCCCTGTCGCTTGGCATGGACCATTCGCACTCTTGGACGGCAGTCTTGACCATTGTCTTGTTGTCGGAGCAGCTGCTTTCGGTCCAAGAATATATCGTACGGGTTACCTCTGTAGCCAAGTATGGCGAGGGAACGGACCACCACTCGGCGCCTTTTCGCATATATCGCCATATAAACAGCTTGATTAGGTGATACTTCAAGCAGTGAACTTCTTGAGAATCATGACTCTGCGCAACGTGGAATAAAGTATGATGTCTCGGCAACGTGACACTTGTCGAACGCCACACCTTTTTTTGTCATGGAGGTTTGCCAAGAATGTCTCATATTCTTAAGCAGAGCATCTCAAGAGCACGAGGGCCAGGACACAAGAACTAGGGGGACGCTGAAGTTGCACAGTCATCAATGTCTGACGAGACGTCGCCGCCATGAATGCATATTTTGTTTTTCTCGACATTGCCTACTCTCGGCGTATCGACCTTTTGCTGGTTTGTAACAGAGTGCTTATTTTATGTCGCTTGGCATCGCCCATGTACCGAACATCCATGTAGTGTCGAAGAGTATAGAATCCATGGGGGCTGACAAGGACTTTGCTAGCGGCATAGTATACTAACCACATCAGCAGAGAGTCCAGAGACACAATAATCCCAGCTCGTGTAAGCTTGTTTCAACTCGAGCATGAGCGTGGCTATTTCGAAGGCACTCGATCACAGGCACGCCTCGTCATGCAACTGCCCGTCTAAATTCTTCGTGTTGGGCACAATGGTTGAGGCCGCCGACATAGGAGTATTGAATGAGTTGTATTAAAGTCATTGTTTCCCGGGTGGAGGAAGATCGAGATGGACTGTGGCTGATGCAAAATTGCCCCCAAGAATGACGAATGCTTCTCTTGCTTTTGCTGATCCCACAAATTTCAGCAAGATTAGAGCTAGTGCAGACGTTTCCATGGCCTGCAATGCCATTTTCATCGTGAACAACGATGAGTAGGATGCGCTGCCATGAAAAACATTGCACAATTCTGCGAATGTCTTCACTACAAAATGTCGGTATCGCTGTGGCATCACATCTTGTACGGTATTGGATTGCAGCCCAAATATCGCGATTTGCGATTACCGCTTTTGGGTCAGATTGATGGCATGCGCTTGTCTTGTTGAATAAAATGATGCACATAACATGCATGCTCGCGGATTGCATCGGCTCACGCATGCTGTGCAACAAGCTAGTTTCTCAAACCAATTGATATTGCCTGATTGTCACTTTGGTGGTCAACAAAACGGGCCAATTACACAATAGCTGGATGTTGCGTGCCTTGTGCTGAGATCCTATGATGAATCACGAAGACGTATAAGTCGGGATACTGCGGCTTTGCACATCAGTGTAATATAGCCTCAAGCTGTCTCTAAAAATACGTTTTCATCTGCGCGTGCATCGAGGCGAAATGCTCATGTGGTTTCTGATGAGCTGGAGTCAGGAACTATTCAACCAGCGCCGCCTCCCCAGAAAGGAACATGAGGATTGATAGGGATATCCCTAGCCAAGCCATGTTTCGGCAAGCTATCCGCCCCTCTACGTTGAGGTTGTTGATTGGCTGTAATATATACTTGCCGGGGTATGCAAGCACCAGACGACGCAGTGTTGAGCCGGAGTGATGAGCGGGAGTGCTGGGTGCGTCGTCTGCCGACATATTCCAGCTTTGTCAATATTGTAGCTGCTGGAGTCGGCAGGAGAACGGGTCATAAAAATTGAATTAATCGGCCTTGCCGTTGAGGCCAGGCCTTGTTTTAGAGCGCTCGGTCTGCAGCAACACCGTACGGAACAGCTCAAGTAGTCGTTCCAATGGTATATACTTGCAGGTATGACGGCGTAGAACTATGCTGGGGGGGTTGGACCCTGATTTCCTGAATGTTTGGCTTCGAAGCTGACACAACGTAAGAAGGTAGGCAGAGAGCCATTGTCCAATAAGAGTGCCATCTTTCGAATCAAAATGCCAGGAAGGAATGAGAAGACGGCGACAAAGTCCCGGTCGTGTAATAAGAACGAATAGTGTAAGCCTCCTCTCCGCTAGCCAGTCGTGAGTAGTATAGCCACGGCCAATAGCGACCTGGCTCGTGTCTTTTGGTCACGTTGCTTATGATTATTGCAATGAAGTAGTCAATGACGTGGGGCCGCCGTCTGAGGAATCCGAGTCTCCCTTTGGCTGAATTTGTGAATAGGCAAGTACTTCGTAGTCATGTAAATGAATGCATGTTAGTTTGTAGGAAAGGTCGTGGTGTCGGGTCGGTCCATAGGGTACCTGGGCAGGTAGGGAGGGAGTGCTGCTGCATGTGGGTTTGGGAACAGTCAAGTCTACATTAGCTGAGTCCAGAGCCCGGAATTTGTGGTTTAGCGCAGCTGGGTTCGAGGTCCCATGACCAGATCGTATCCAGAAAAAAGCAGCCACCTGGCCGTCAA